GCCGTTGCAAGCTTTCTGGGGGTGGTGGGAAATCATTCTAAAGATCTGAAGGCAGACTTTTCCGCCTTTATTTTTATTTTTATTTTTTTTTTTTTTTTTTTTTTTTTTTTTTTTTTTTTTTTTTTTTTTTTTTTTTTTTTTGGGGAGGCGGGGTTGTATTGGCCATGGCTACTTTTACAGGGCCCGGTTGGGGTGTTAGGTTTTACGGTGTCGATTTGCGCAGTCGTTCACAATTCATCATTTGGCACCGCCTTATGTATATATCAGGTATCGAATCTATATCTATCTCTCCTAGAGCGGAGGGGGTCAGTCATCGCGAGAACAACCTTGTTGTTGTTGTTGTTGTTCCTCCGGGGAGAGCACAGCAGCAGGATAGGTATGGACTGGACAGCTGCAGCGGTGATCTTCGAGATAGAGTCTGTGGGTGATTGATTCTCACTCTGATGTAATAGCTTCCTGCTGTAGGTATAGAGAAAACATGCAGTTTGCTTGGTCCATCGACCACTGCAGTATCGGTACCTGTGATCACATGACCTCTCGAAAAGCATGTCACTCGGCGACGCTGATTGGCCAGCCGCCATCCGCCCGCTTTGCATACTTCAGCTCATGCAGGTACTACAGTATATAGTACCTGCTCCGGGGATGGGATGAAAGCTCACTTAAGAACAAAATGCTCCATCAAACACCAAGTCAATTCTGAAAATATCAGCCGAAGAAACTCCATAATATGTCTCCAGAGAAGCCAGCACTATCACCCCCAACCGACCTCGAAGCATGCAGCGTGGACAACCAGCCCCAGGAGGAGGAGCCTTCCCAACCCCAAGCCAATCCCGCCACTTCGACCTTCCAGCAGCTCGCCATCCTGGACCGCTTCCTGGCTTTATGGATCTTCCTGGCCATGGGAGTGGGCATCCTGTTGGGGAACTTTGTGCCCAACACCAGCCGGGCGCTGGCGAAGGGCAAGTTCGTCGGGGTTTCGGTGCCGATCGGTGAGTGAGCCCCCCGGTGTCAGCCACGGCCATTGGCCTGGTGGAGACAATGGAGGTTGCTGAGTATCGACCACGCCATGCAGCAATCGGCCTGTTGGTGATGATGTACCCCATCCTCTGCAAGGTCCGATTCGAGACCCTTCATCGCTCGTTCCGGCAAAGACAGCTGTGGGTTCAGATTGGGTTTAGTCTCATGGTCAATTGGATTATTGCGCCCTTGTTTATGGTATGCCCCCCCCCCCCCCCCGGTCTCTAACGGTTCCGCGGATGTGGGCGGTGCTGATAAGTTCGTCGGACCTGCAGCTGGCGCTGGCTTGGGCATTCCTACCCGATCAAAGAGGTTTGCGGGAGGGACTCATCCTCGTGGGCATTGCGCGTTGTATTGCCATGGTATGTTCGCTTTCACTGGTCTCGCCCGTCGACGGGCGAATGGCACCGTGCCACAGGGGCTAACCCGCCGCAGGTGCTTGTCTGGACGGGTCTCGCAGGAGGCGATAGCGAATACTGCGCCATCCTGGTGGCGATCAACTCCGTTCTGCAGATGGTGCTCTTCGCCCCGGTTGCCATCCTCTTTCTGCGTGTCATGGACGGGCCGGCCCCGCATGCTCTGACGATTGACTATTCTCTGGCCGCGAAGAGTGTCGGAGTGTTCCTGGGAATCCCCCTGGGCGCCGCGGTCGTCACCCGCTTTGCGCTGCGGTCCTGGAAACCAAATTGGTATGACGAGCAGTTCTTGAAGTGGATCAGCCCGTGGTCGCTGATCGGGCTGCTCTTCACGATCCTCGTGCTTTTCGCCTCCCAGGGGCGGCAGGTGGTACATCAGATCGTGTCCGTGGTCCGAGTGGCAGCGCCCCTGGTAGTCTACTTCTCGGTGATCTTTGTGGTCACACTCGTGGTGACGCGGCGATGTGGCTTTGGGTACCGCCTGTCTTGCACCCAGAGCTTCACGGCGGCGAGCAACAACTTTGAGTTGGCGATCGCGGTGGCTATTGCCACGTTCGGGGTGGACAGCGACCAGGCGCTGGCGGCAACCGTGGGACCCTTGATAGAAGTACCGGTGCTGTTGGGGTTAGTGTATGCAGTTCGGTGGTATGCCCGAAAGCGGCGATGGGAGGCGTAGACAGTTGTCGTGTTGTTTATCATCGACGAAATGAATAATAGGTATATTTCCTGCCGCTTGGGGGTTGACTACCTCCTGGTGCAGGCGGTTAGTGGTTGCTGATCTCGTCCAGAACCTGGAACAGAATCTGGTTCTGCACTCTGCATCCTTCTTCCGTAGTGAGACCTTTGGTGAAGCCTGCCCAGAGCTTGCGTCGGATTTCGTCTAGCTCGACGCCGCGCGTGTTGTACTGGGTGATGAGTTCGTCGGCGATGGCACAAAGGGTGGTGGTGAGAACATCCCCGCTGGCACTTTCCGGCCATGTTGGGGTTTCATGCGGAGAGCAGCCGCAGACTGATGGGCTATTCAGAGGCGTGGGGATGTTCGTTACTGCTTGACCCGACACAGCGGTCTCGTCTTTCCAGCTGCCGCCGGACTCAGGATCGAGCGCTGGCGAAGTTCGGGCAGTTGTAGGCCTTGTCTCGCAAGGACCACCAGTCTGGCTACGGCCACGGCACGATCGAGTCGTCACAGCAGACCGAGGAAGACCGGGTATGGCGATCTTGCGCGTTGAGCTCGAGCCATCCGCAGTCGCCTTCAGATACTCCTCCACCGTGCTGCTCGATAGGCCCAGATCCGAGAGTAAAGCTCTTAACGAACGGTTCTCCGCCTCGAGACCTTGAACTGCCAATCGATGTTCCACATCCTTGTGGCGGACCAGTTCCTGGAGGGAGAGGAGTTTCTCTTCCAGCTCGCGGATATGCGCCTGCTTCTTGGCGCGACTTTTGCGTTGGTTGTCTCTGATGCGAGCCAGTCTGTCTGCATCCTGAGTTGATTGTTGGTTAGTTAAACGGGGCGGCCTTGAGCTGGCAACCTTTGAAGGCTTGGAGCCGTCCATCTTGCGTGGTTCGAATGATCGTGCAAGTCTCTAGAGAGAACTACATCAGAGGTACATGTGGGAAAGATGATTCGTAAAATGCCGCTGAAAGTGAAGGTTATGCAAGTATGATTCCTGCGTTGATGGGGTCAATGGCATGCCGTAGTCCGCCTCGGGGTCCATTGCCTAATCGGGGCAGGTATACTCTTTTACACTCGAAGTAGATTTGCATCAGTTTAGAATCAGATAACATGAAACCGGAAATCTGGGGGTACTGAATATCACGTGTCATCCTCATGCGAAGCATATTGGAATTACAAAATTTGGCTGCATCCACGATGGTGAACACGATGATAGCATGAAGCGGTCATATTTGCGTGGGTGCTGTATTGTCCTGCACGACGTCATTAACTGAACTTAGCCGTCTGTACCTCCCAACATCTTCAACCTCATCTTCCTCCTCCCTCCCCTCCATCCAAAGACAACACCCACCCCCTCTCACACGAAGAAGCAAGAAAATGGTCTCAACGCGCCACCATCCCACTGACTTCCCTCCACCCCCCAAAACCCCCTCCCCCTCCCCAGTCCACACCAACAACAACAACAACAAATGGGTCCATACCCCCTCCACCGCGATAACCCTGTGGCTCGTCCTCTCCGTCCCGCTTGTCCTGTGGGATGCCGCCTACGTGCTCCTGCGCCCGCACTCCATGCCAGGCCACAGCCTGCACTCGCCGCTGTGGACCCCCTACGCGCTCTACGGCACCATCGACTACATCTACGGCTGGCCGGCCTTCAACGCCCGGAACGGCTTCACCGCCGCGCAGACGGTGCTGAATCTCGTGGAGAGTGCAGGGTACGTGTATTACCTGGCGGTGGTCTACTGCCACGGCACCAGTCTGACGGCGAATGGCCGCGGCGGGGGGCAGCGGCGTCCGCGCAAGGGGGTGCGGTGGTTCCTGCAGGAGACGAAGGTCGTGGCGGGCCGGCGGGGGGCGGGGGCGTTGTTGGTTGCGTATAGTGCTTCGGTGATGACGGTGGGGAAGACGGTACTTTATTGTAGGTTTCTTTTGTCTTTCCTTCTTGTTTTTGTGTGAGATTGCTGGTTAGTACGCTTTGCTGACGACAGTTGTCTCTGGCAGGGTTGAACGAGGTGTTCTCGGGTTTCGAGAATATCGGACACAATGACCTCTGGACGCTGGTGTTCTTCTGGATTATTCCCAAGTAAGTTTGATTGGTATCTTGTTATATTTACGCGCTCCAGCTCTGGGGCTGCGGGCTGCGGGCTGCGGGGAGAGGTGCTAATGCGTTTGACGCAGTGGTCTCTGGATTGTCTTTCCCGGGTATAATGTCTATCTCCTGGGGGCGGAGATCGTCGCCGCCTTGGAGGACTCGGCTCCGCGCCAGCGCGGGGGACGGTCCAAGTCGTCGTAGCTTTTTTTAGGGGAGGTCCCGGCGCGGACTGTGTCAGACTAGAGGGTGGTGCAGGTGCAGGTCGGTTGCAAAGTGCGATGCGCCGTAGAGGGCAGAGATTTGGCTCACGCCAGCAATCGAGTGTACGAGACCGAGTTTCCCCGGGGCGAGTCACCAATACAATACAATACTCTCGCTACCAATCTCCCAAAGCGCCTAGCGTCCGGTCAGACATATCATACGAGAGACGATCAGGATGTGGATCCAGTGGGCGGAGACGCGCTGAGAGAGCCGCCGTCACCCGACTTGACGCTGAAACCAAGGCGACGGCATATCAAGCTTACGATGAAAGAAGAAGCCTTGGAGTCGGAAGACGTGACCCATTGTCCGGTTGGATGCACACTCCTGCACAATCATCCTATACTCATATGATATAGTCTATAGCTTCTCTATGTTAATTAGTAGTACTATAAAAGATTATAGTGTAAAGTTGATACCAACACCATTCTCTGTGTATGCTTGATATTGCCACAAAAGGGAATGCATGACATGAACAAGCATCATTGGTCTAGTGGTAGAATTCATCGTTGCCATCGATGAGGCCCGTGTTCGATTCACGGATGATGCACACCAATTTCTTTTACCAGCTCATTTTTTTGTCTGCTTTCCATCTCTGCAACAAGACACATAGTCCCTCAAGTCTTGTTCTCATCCTTTGCTTCCACCACTTATCGTTGGGGCAACGATTGGCATTAGGAGTACCTTGTTATTATCGTCACCCGGGAGTTTTCTGCAGAGGTCTCGAGACCATAAATTGAACACTGCACACTCACCACCAATCGACCCAGTCTACAGGAGCCAAAAATGTGGAAAATATATTCGTGGTATATAGCACCTACATCATCCATGCAAAAGCCAGCTAGGGGCATAAGTAAAAGGAAAACAAATGGCATCAATCACAGAACCATGTGACCACCCAGATCCGTAGCTCTCATAACTCCGGTTCTTTTTTTCTCCCACTCCCAAAGACAGCCGCCCGATTCAAAGCAGACACAAAGATTTCGCCAAAGTACTGAATTCAAAGGTAAATACACGAGGGGCCCGGGATGGCCGGGAAGACACAAACACACACCCTCCCTATGATTCAGGAGTATGGTTATGGTTATGGTATGATTAGGGATGTGAGCTGCGGTTCACTCCCATCCCCATGTCGTACGCGCCCAGCGGCATGCCGCCCGCCCCGCCAAAGCCAGAGAAATCGGGTGCGCCGACGGGGTTGCTAGTAGGACCGCCGGCCTGAGCGGCGGGATCGAGGTTGACGGCTGCCCCAGCGCCGATGGGGTCGAGGTTGAAGGGGAGGAACCAGGCGCTGGGTTGGTAGTATTCCCCGGCGCCGGAGGGGGCGTTGGGGTCGATTTGCCCGGTGAAAATAGTGGCTGGGTCTTGGTTAGGCGGAATGTCCGGGGGCGCCGGGGGCATGGCTGCTTTGTCCGGTACAGGGGGCACGAAAGATGCGCCCGTGGGATCGAAGTCGCCAAATGAGCCATACACAAATTGGCGGTCAAGCTGGGGGAGCTGATCCGCGGCGGGCAGGGGAAAGTCGAAGGCTGTCTGCCCGAACGGGCCTTGTCCGTTGCGGTTCTGATTGAACATGGCCGGTTGAGGGAACCCGGTCCCCGTGGTGCCCAGCATGCCCGGGGCACCCTCCATACTGACATCCACGGTCTGTGGGGGCGTGGCCTGGTCAAATCCACTGAGGCTGTCGCCCTTGGCGCTCCGTTTGGACGGGCGACGGGGCATGGTCGGCTGTGGCGTTGGGGAGAGGCTGGCGAAAAACTCCTCGACGCTCTGGAGGTCGGGTCGTTGACTCATGACTCCCTCGTCGTTCTTCGACTTCAGCTTCGGGTCGGGCTCCTCCCAGTGGGATCTCGCCATGCCATGTGGGTATTTATCGAACCAGTCGCCGTACTGGAACATCGGGGTGATCTGTCCACCGTTCTGCGTGATCACAGTGCCCTTGATGGCGGCGTCGGCAAATTGTCGATATCGATCCTTGGCGCTCTCGACCATATAATGAAACATCCCCCAGTATTTCTTCATCTTGTTGAGATAACGGTATGTATGGCGGAGGTTCTCCTTGGATCGTGCCTCCAGCTGGACGTTTTTGGAGAAGATGCCCCAGATATGAACAGTGCTAGCGGAGTATGCACAGTAGCCCGCGAACGGGACGGTCAGCGGATACGCCGAAGCACGATCAATCAACACGGAGATATGATGGGCGGCTTCGACGGCCGCGCGTCCAGCATTGCTCAAAAAGACTTTGGGCATGTCCCGCGGTGGTCGGCCGCCGGGGGACAGTGGGATGGCGAATTGGTTCAAGAAGAGCATATTTTGGTGAATAATCATATGAAGGAAGAGAAACTGGTTTGCGATGCGATCAGCTGCGTGGATCTGGAGGTTCTCGTAGCTGAAAGAGAGATGACTAGGGAGTGAGGCGGAAAATTCTTCGATCTGTCGCTTGAGGCGCATGTAGCCAGACTCGGGCGACCACAAGGGCTGTGTATCTCTTCGCCTGCCTCCTAAATTCAAATAGTCGACAATACGCCCCCAGATGACCACGGCACGGATGATGTAGGCTGACACGCCCATGTTGTCTCGAGCGTTGGATAATTGGCCCACGCCGTCTGGTACAGGATTGAGGATCACACCATCTAAGTCTTCGGTAGGGCCTGGTATCTCCATCTGGAAGTGAGTCTCTTTGATAGGCAGCTGAATTTGCAGGAATTTCTCGTTGCCAATGGGCGGGCGCTGGCTCCCAGACGAATTATATCGATCCATCAAAAAGCATGCCCACATGGTTCGTCTGCGAATTTCGCGGTCTGTGAAGCTGAGCTGCTGGGATCCGTTCCCATTCTTCTGTACCAATAGAGGATCGTACTCGAGCTCGCGGTGTAACTGCAGAGCATACGCCATGCGCAACGCTTGTCCACCAAAGGACCAACTCCGGCCCCCATGACAGGTCCCAAACTCATGAAGCCCGAGCAACAGAAACACGGTCAAAATCGTAATATTGGGTTCGTCATGCCGACTGAGCGCGATCGCGGCGGCCGGGTTCGCCCAGTTCTCCCCGCGCAAAAACGGGGGCTCGGAGTTGATCTGCGGATGCGTCGAAAACCGAGCTGACACGGCACAGACGGCGAGGATGAGCACGGGCGGGACCGTCCGGGCCTTCAGCCGGCGCATGAAGCTGGGCTTGTGTAGCAAGAGGTAGGACTGCCCGTAGACGCAGTCGAAAAATACCTCCGCCAGGTGTTCCTGAATCTCCAGCGAGGGCAAGAACTCGGCTCCCTCCGTCATCAGCCCCGAGGCGTCGCCGCCGGGCTTACTTTCACGGCGCATAGGGAACGTATCCTGCGGCCCCTCGCGACTGCCCCGGCCCCATTCGTCCAGTTCCGCCGCGAACGCCTCCTCAGCGGAGCGCTTCTTCTGCGTCTTCGACGTCTGGCCCGGCTGCGGGGGCCGCACCACCGACCGCCCGATGGCGGCCATATCCCTCGTTTCCTCCTTCGGGATTGTCTTGATCACGCGATCCTCCATGCGCTTCAGCCGCTTGTCGAGCATCGCCATGTAGTCCGTGCGGGGCGCCGCCTTGCGGGTGGTGACTTTGTAGACGCAGGGGATCCGGGAGCGCGAGCAGTGCTTGCAGGCGGGCTTCTCGCCTGAGCAGCGGATCTTCTTGCGTCGGCAGGCGATGCAGGCCAGCGGCAAGCGCTTGCGCTCCTTCCCGGCCTTGGTCTTCATCTCGCTCCAGGCGGGTTTGCCATCGTCTGGCTGGGTGTTGTCCGGGGGTGCGGAACCCCCGGGGCCGTCGTCGGGGTGGGCGTCATTCCCAGATTCTTGAAGGAAGTTGGAGTCGGCGGTAGCGATGACACTACCGGGATCGCGCGAGCTGGTGGGACTGTGAGTGTCGAGGTCTTCGGGGAGCGCGATATCGTCGGGCCCAAAGGCCAGGCCGATGGAGGCCAAAGGGGAGTCGTCGGACTCGGGAGCCATCACGATGGGTGCAGATACCCCAAGAACCAGACCCGGATCATCGTTTGGCAGGATAAGGGGTGGGTGAAGGGAAACGGGGGGGGAGCGGAGGGTCTGGTTGTGGAAGTGGACGTGGTTTGGCGTTGAGGAGGTGCGTAAAAGTGGAGGAAGCTGAAATTCTGCGGAGGGACGTACCCGCGGGAAGAGGAGGAGGAGGAGGCGGTAAGTCAGTACTGTAAGTATGGGGAAATACAGAGTAATCCCTGGCTCGCTGACTGGTGGCTTGGCATCACCGCCCGCCGTCTTGCAATTAATCAGCATTCTCTCATCTGCACCCACTTGCTTCGTTTATAGGTACGTACCTTAGTATTCTATAGTATTAAGTATTAAGTACGAACAGTAGCAACCTCACAATAACATTAACCTCCCCTCAGACACAGCTTCTTACGTCTCTGTTTCCATCAAGTAGCACTCACACTCCAGAATATGCTGGTGGATTACTGGACCATATCAGAACACTATATATCATCAAGTCTATGTTACTTACTAACCAATTCACCCATAGTATACTCTACTACGGAAAATAGTACACTGTCAAGTCACCGAAAGGAGAAGACCAACCATTTCGCCGTTTCTCACATCTCAGTGACATCCTACGCATACCAGACTAGTTCTCGCCCAAGGGGAGGAACCTCAGAACCCGATCGAGCTGCACTCCATGTCTATCCAGCAAGCCCGTGAACCCGCACGTACTACCGACCTGATACAGCTGCGTTGAGTGCGCCTCTCTGGGCCTCCGCACGCCGGTGCTCCCACGGCTGGGCGCTAGACCGTGCCTGGGAAGGTGAATGAAGTGGGAGGCGCTATAAGACCTACTACAGCTAGTTCACGAGATCACTGAAATCTACAGTCTAATCTGCAAGAGACCAGTAATAGAAACCGGACTGTACCTAGTCACGGCTAGCAATGCGAAATCAGCGGTCATAAAGGCGTCAAATCCTTCCGTGGAATCCGATGGAGAAGTCCCTCCACCTCTTCTCTCTTGATGATCGACTAGTATGCGCAACTTAGATACACATATCAGTCTATTTTTCATTTCCCTTTGCAATGACACTTCTTAGAAATGGCAGCATCAGCCTCGCACAGGGGTCAGAGCCACCTTTGCGCCATTTGCGCTGGCCAGAGTAAGCCCCACCCGCGCCTTCAAAGGCTCCGGGTCTCGACTTTCAATGCTTTCGTACTCCTGCAAAATCCGAACAATCGTATAGCCGGCCTCCGTCAACGCAAATTGCTGAGCAATGCAGATCCGAGGGCCTCCGTTGAACGGGATATACGCCCAGCCGGGCCGCAGGTTCGCCCAGCGCTCCGGCCTGTACTCGGTCGCATCATTCCCATAGACGTCTGGGAGGCGGTGCATGGTATACGAGCTGTACATCACCTCCTGACCCTTGGCGATGAACACCGGTGCTTTTCCGTCGGGACCGCCCCCGGTGGGGAGGGTAGTATTTTTATTCGCGGTGCGGATGTTGATCGGGACGATGGGGTAGAGTCGCAGCGCTAGATAGTCGTGCGTCAGCCTTATTGAGATGTAACCTACCATTTGATGGGAAGGGGGGGTGGGCGACACATACTCTCATTCATTACCCAGGTGAGATACTTCATATTCTTCAGATCCTCAAAGGAAGGTCGCTTGCCTTCCAGGTTCAGCACCTCAGCCCTCAATTTGCGCCAGACATCCTCGCGCTTGCTCATGATGAAGAAGGTGATGGTCAGCAGGATCGCGGTGGTGTCCCGACCGGCCAATAGCACACTGAGCAACTGGTCGGTCAACACCTTCTCATCCTGGGTCTGCTGGACCAGCTCGTAGAGAAACACATAGCCTTGGGACTGGTTTTGATCGAGGTGCCCGGCTTTCTGCGCGGCCCGGTGTTCGAGGGCGCCCCGGACGAACTGCCCGACATACTTGCGCGATTCCTCGGTAGCCTTGTTATAGGCGCGACTTCTATAAAAGACCCGCAGTGGCCCCAGCAGCACGCGCACCAGGGTCCCCGCCAGCGAGACCTTGAAGTTTTCCGCGAACGAGTTGGTCGTCGAAAGGGACTCGCTCCCCAGTGTGTCCACGCTGTGCCCAAACAGGAATTCTGTGGCTGAATCCAGCGTCTGCGCAGATGGACGGTCAGTTTTTTTCCCCTCTTTTTCCCAGGAGCAAAATGGAGTCAGAAGGGAAGGGCCGAAGTACCATTCTCAGGAACAAATCCTGCAAGTCCACCGTCGACCCATCGCTCGGAATATGCTTGAACAATTGCAAGACATGCCGCTCATACACGGCGATATCCGAGATCTGATTGCGCACAAAATTCGGCCGCAGCAGCGCCCGCGAGTGCTCCCACACCTTCCCATCGACGGCGAAGATACCCTCCCCCAATAACGGCCGATAGCTTTCCTTGCGATCGCCGAGATCAAAGTCGTGGAATTGAGTGGCGAGCACCGCCTGCACGTTTTTCGGTTCGCAGGTCTGCACCACCACTCCCTTGCCGAAATGCACGGTGAAGGTGCGGCCAAGTCTGTGATGCCAGCTACGGACAAGCTCGGTGGATTTGTTCTGCGTGTAGGACTTGAGCAGTTCAAACAAGGTGTCGAAGCCGAAGAGGTAGGTTGGGAGGTGCGGCGCTTTGCCGCAGTTGTGCTTGCGGGCGAAGGCCCGGTCTTTTGGCAGGTGTCAGTCGGGCCCGAATCAATTTGGGGGAGGAGGATGGACTGTACTTTACCTGATAGGCTTTGTTGGATCTTTTTGAACACAAACCATCCTAGCACGCAAAGGAGGAGGTAGGATCCGAGTCCGGGTCCTAATGTGAGCAACATCTTGTGGGAGGGGGCACTCTTGACAGTGTTCTGCACTGGATCAGAGGAGATTGCATCGTATTTTTAAAAGAGGAGATGCATCGTGTTTTCATGTGGTGTCAGCTAACTTACATTGAAGTGATAAGCAGAATAGGCCATAGATGCATGGCTCCGCATAAACGGGCCAGTTACTAGTCCAGTGTAGGCTAAGCTGGCACTCACAGCCTCACGCACAGAATCACACTACTTCATCTACGGAGTAGGCGGGTGGGGGCCGATAATGACTGTAATTCAATTCTTCCAATCTCACTCGTCCTCTCGTTTCGGAATGTTTTCGCCCCCACTTCAATTCATGCTAAGCACTGCAGTATTACTGTAGAAGGTCATTCATCCGGTTCTACTGTCGCTCATATTCTGGTCAAAAGCTATGGTTATATGTGAGAATACTGTGTGGAATGGCCATCGCATTCTATCCCCCCGCACTGAGCATATTCATAAGAACTTATTTTCGGGGGTTGAAGATCCTTCAAAAGCTGGAGGCTGTTTCTTCTCCTTAGAGTGATGGGTTGGAAGACTAGATTTGACTCCGTCAGGTACTTGTGTAGAAGCACTGTGGTCAGAGATCTAAGTCAACCAACAGGATATGAGAGATAACAACTCAGGGAGAGAGAAGAGGTGATACTGCTCCCAACAGATAATCAGATCATAGTCAAAAAAGTTCAAGATGATCGAGGGAATCCTGTTGATAAAGTTCTGAAAGACAGCGTTGTTCTCCTAGACACTATACGACGCCGTCGCCGGCCAGGCTGAGAAATTGTATATATGAGAGAAGGGAATTAACTCCAAATCATTCGTGGGTTGGATGCGCTAGTATAAGTGAGGGTATGTCCTTGCTAATGGATATTTCGTTCTCAGAAGGGATCTAGATCATTTTTTCCAGACCACAAGAGATGATAATTCAGGGGATCGCACATTCTGCACCCCATGTGCAGGATACCTTAGGGCTCAGAACTCGGGTCCCCGGTCAAATCAAACGGAAGGCATCAGACATGAGAGGCGTTCTAGCTCGACATATCATATTCAATTATCGCCATCATGCCCAGGATCCGGCCCGCTGGCTGATCGCCCTGACCCACGAGAAGGATCAGACGCTGCTCTTTGCTGAGCAGACTCCTGAGGTTAAATGGCACCTGAACAGATTCGTTGATTCCAGCCTTCTTGCTTTGTGTCACTTGAGGCAGAGAATCCCGCCTCCTTTAAATTGTGGGTGCAGATGAGGGATACCGTAGTTATTATTCTGCTCGCGCGACCTAAAATAGCTTAGTAAATACTTGAAAATTATGTGACTCTTGCACTACCTATAATAACAAGTTTCAAATCACACGATCTCTTTTCTTTCCTTATGTTAGGAACTACCTGAACAAAGTAGTCAACCGTAGGTTAGACAAGGCAAAAGCAGTATCTATTCTATTCCATGACTGATCCTTGGGAATTGGAGATCCTTAAGGACTCAGTATCATCCTATGTACAGTACAAGGTGTGGGGAAAGGGAAGTTGCACCAAGATGACATACAATATGTTCATGGAACGAATAACCGGCGGATCAGCATCGAAGGGGAAGACTAGGGGTGGCTACCCGCGGGTATAGCATTACAACTTACTACGGTACTAAAAACCACTACTAATTACTACCTCCGACTACAACATGGCTGAACTACTATAACTACTTAAGAGGAAAAAGTAATTTGAAACTGACTTTTCAATAAGAATAGGAGTACTACAAGTGGTATTTATGTACAGCTACTGCCGGCCAGCTCTTACTTCCCCACAGGTACCAGGTCAGTATCACAGTGATACTATCACTTTACTGAACTCTTACTTGGGTACTGCGAAGTAGTTGCTAACTACTTGTTAACAAATTATATAAATTTGTAAAGTACTCCCTTTGTCAGTAACTTACAAGGGCCTAGTTATAAGTAATAAATAATAGATAGTTGCTTCGGGAGGGGATTTCTTGATTCTAATTGACTACTCTAATAAGAGTAGAGAAATTAGAGTTCTATCTTTCTCCTCTAGCTCCTAATATAAAGTTGTATAGTAGTCTATAGCTTGTCTACTAAATCTGATATCTACTACTACCCTAGTGATTTTTTTCTCAAGTTTTATATAACTGTTCAAAAGGGTTAGTATACTTTAGAATACCGTCAGCTGAGGGAAACACCCGCAGACGAGATATTTGTGTATATAAAGTAATTTGGAAAGGAATTATTTCTGCTGGCAGAAACACCAAGAATCTAATATCAGCTACGGAAAAATTGCATTTTCATAATGGCGGCTATTGCCTGCCGTAACCGGGTGACATCCGCTTGGAACTGGTCAGTCTCTGTGAACAAGCCTTCCTCCTCGGTCCGAAGTGTCCCATCAGCGTCTCAGGTGATGCTGGGCAACAGACTAATGGAGTTGGGGGCGTTTGTCGCCCAATTGATGTACAACGAGATGCTAGTCATTTTAACTGTCATGCTCTGGGTGAAACAGGGCAGCTGGTCCTTGATCCCACCCAGAGATAGCACTCTCTGGCTACTATCGCTCATTACCAACCTCGCGTGACAGGACATACCAAGCGTCAGGGTAGTCGCTGCGGACGCTCAGCAGAGCGTCCAGGCCATACTGTGTCGAGAGAGCCTCCGTCTGTTTCAGATACTTGGCCACACGATGCTCAGCGGCCTTACAGAACTCCTCCAATCCCTGACAGGCCGTGTAGCGTAGGTTCAGCACGACGTCACGGATGGAGCTGTAGTCGAACTGGCGATACTTGTCCGGAAGGGTCAAGCACCATTCGCTGACGGCACCGGGCCCCTCAAACGGTTGTAGGTCGCTGCCGTGGAAGTCTAATCCGAATACCCCAGTGTCCCTCTGCCCAGCGCTGATCGCAATCGCGGAAATTGGCACCAGCGTACCAACCCGCCACGTGTCGACGAAGATTCTGGTCAGGCTTGTCGTTGATCCGGTACGCGTGACTCTTCATGATAAGCGTATCGTTGATACTGGTGTAGGTGCCGACGATGCACAGCACGGAGACTGCGACTACCACTTGAGGCGGCGCACGTAGTCTCCTGGGAAGTCAATGTCGAAGAGCGATTTGTCGAGAGAGAAATTGATCTTGCCAGTCGTACAAAGGTCAAGTAGCGCCTCGGCGGACAGATGGCGTAGAGATAGTGGAGTCGCCCCTCGCCATATGCCAGCTCCATGTTCTTGAGCGCCAGCCACAGCTGTTCGCCGGTTTGGAGACCAGCGTGGTCTGCGTCATAAAAGTTTGTACCTCCGATGAACGATCGGCCAAGCCGCCCCCCGGTCTCAAAAGTCAGAGCACGTTCCGCCTTGAGTGTCATGTCCATAGCGACAACGTACCCCTGGTGCAGTAAGGTCCGTGTCGAGCCTTCCAATCAGACGTATAGCTCTTCACGGATAAACTTGGAGCGTAGAAACGCTTCCATGGCGACTGCGTCGTCGGCGGCGCGCTGCTGGGTCGGGATATCATGATCGATGACGGCCATGTGTGCAACCTGTGCCTCAATCTGTTTGTCAATACCTTTGATCTCGCGTCCGGCCATGTTGATCTGAAGGCAACGGTCCTGCAGTTGGCGTGTGTACTGCGCTGCGCGGGCCGCCAACTGGCCCAATTCCTGCTGCATGGCTGCCTCTCCTCGCTTGGTGATGGCTTTGACCTGCTCGACAGACCCCCAATTTGGCAACTGCCACGAAGCGTCCACCCCGAAGGGCTGGCCCTTTATACTGGATAGCGGGATACCAAAGAACGAAGCTCCCCTCGGTTGCGGCCTTGCTACATTGAAGATGTCCACCTCATGAAGTTGTGGATTGGTATGTAGTAGATTACGTCGATTGCGAATGCTTCGTTGACAGCTTCCTGGTGACTCTGCCAACGGCTGTATATGATGTCTATGACTTATCATATTGGTATTCAGCAGATAGTGAGTCTGCGAGTGGGGTAGGTGGATGGTCACATACAGTGCCTAGGCTTGGTGATGCGAAATCGTGAGTCGAGAACAGTAGACACCATAGAAATTGCTCCATGGCTTATGACTGCAAAAGAGTGCAAGCTGCAAAGGTGTGAAAAGATACATGAGGTAGCTCCTGAAACTAATGCTAGAATGTTGAGAAGAGATCTCCAACACCGATCTCTAGGTTCTCTTGCTCGGTGATAGTATAGTGTTTGGAAAGACACACTGCATTTTTCTTCTTCTTCTTCTTCTTCTTCTTCTTTCGATTTTGCTTTACCAGAGTCACCCATCTTCTTTGCAAGACATTTCCTTGACATCGAGATGCTGCTCCCTGTTCCTCCTCTGTCGATCCTTGTCTTGTTGGAGCTTCCTAACGCCCAATTGCTTGCCCAAGTTTTCACTCCGCAAGTACGGATTAACTTGGCATTGAACGATATCTCTAACAGCACGATGTGGTAGCTGCGGACATTCCAGCCTTGCTCAGCTCCCGTGCTTGTGATAAGATGCTGCGCTGCTGGTTACAAGTCCCCCTAACGATGCGTGCAATCGCCGGAGCAAAGTGCAAAAGAAACAGCCCCAGGAGATTTGCCGAAGTCGACCACAGTCAACATTGTAGATTTCTTCGAATTGATTGACGCTGCTTCTCAACCCACCGACCGCGTGAGAGTTACTTGGACCAGCTGTTCCTCTAGATTAGGATTAATTGTGCATTGATGCGAACGGTACGTACGTCTTCTCTTCTGTAGACACGCTACTGTTGCCATTGAGACCCGATATTGAATTATCGATCAGTCCTGGGATGGTCATTTCGCATCATCCTTTCAGAACGGATTAATGTGTTGGACCTTGGATACCATGGTAGCTGATATCTTCAATTGATCTTTTTGTTGTCGGATTGAGGAACTAGTAAGGGTCGGTAGTAACATGATCTGAGTAGAACGCTAAGGTGTGCATTGATCGTGTAGCTCAATAGTATTCGTATATGGTACTTCAAATTTTGGATAACATTTACGTTACCCCGAAGAGGAAGTTGGTCAAGATATTTCCGCGGAAAGTGTGCTTAGTGTACTGTAGGGGTTGGTTCTAGTCCGATCTCGGACTCGTGGTCTTCGGGATGACGAAGAGGAACGACAAATTCACCCCCACGGAGGGTTTCCCCGCAACCCCAGCCCGCGGACCGAGCACAGCACGGGGACCAACCAGGGTAGGATCCCACTGGGACGGATGGGAAAAGTTTCGACGAAGTTCTGCGACTGTGACCTGACATTTCTTTGTGTCTTGCAATTAGGCTAAAACCACCGGGTACTACGGCGTGTCCGTCTTGCTGCCATTTCATGTCAATCAAGTGAGTGCCAAGGAAAACAGCAACAACACCCTTCAACTGTGAAGCCTGATCTTAGTCAAGAGGCTTTGCTAGAGTTCATGCACACCGGATATACCCTCAAATCTCGTAGATGCTCTGTAACATCATCACCCAGTCCGCCAGGCCAGATTGGAAGCCCTTCCCCGAGCTAGCCATAAATCTGGGTAAACCGCGGGGGAAATGTCGTCACACCGTTGGGACCGGACTCGGCGAGTCAGTATACAAGGTGTTGCTCACTGTTCCATGGAGAAGAAAATCCATGCGGTCTCACTGCCGACTGCCGACTGCCGTGCCTAAATCAGGGAAGACTGAGGACGATCCACGGCCAAAGACCAGTCAAGACCCAACAGTCGGCCTAGGAAGGACCCCACTCTCGGGGAGGAGGAAAAAGCCCCGAGAAGAGCAGGATGGGGTCATTGAAGCCATTCGCACAATCCCGTCGGGGTTCTTGCCGCTCTCTGCCTCGCCACGGGGACCCGAGAAGTGAATAGTAGCAGACCGACTTGGCAAGTTGGCTCTGACTGTCCAAGGGACGCACAGCGCCGAGAGACAAATGGGGGAGGGATGGAATGGATGTCTTAGTGACTTGTGACGGAAGGAGTGGGTGGTTCTATGGGCTGACCCTTGCGGAAGAAGGGAGGTAAGGGCACCGTCAGGCCACGGCGGGCAAAAACATGACAATATTCTGCCTCCTGGTGCTCTGTTTGTTTTGCTTAGTTGGCAGTAGTCAGATGACTCAATTACCGGGTCTTGGGATAGTTACATTAATTTATCGCGGGGCGTTGGAGCCAGAAAAAAATGACCTCATTTGTTGAGAAAGCCCGGGGAGGGACCAACGGGATGCAGAGGTGGAGATGCGGGGAATGGCTGGGGAGGATAATACCGTATGTATCCGCGTGTCATGACACCAGGTATACCTTATTCTCGTCTGCCAACTATCACCACTGCAGTGAGTGCTTGCTCGCTGGCAGACCTGCGGGGAACAACACAGACTGGACTGATACAATGGATACCACCTTCCATCTTCATCTTCTTGTCAGCTTCTCGGGTGTCATTCAAGTCCGATATTTGTCCGATTAGCCTGTATCCGAAGCGGATCGGAATGTAAACGAGGAACGGGATAACTTAAGTTTACGGAGTATTCTGGTTCCAGTCGAGAATGCTGGGCAGCTCCCGGCCGATCGTATGCTGCTTGCTGCCTGAATGATAATAATTATCTATTTTATTCTGAGAGAAAATTCTTGGATTATTTTCTTGTATTCCTTAAATCTTTATAAAACAGAGTGCAGTTGGAGATTCATGTCCGAGAGAGATGCTGAGTGTTAAGACTGTAAGTAAGTAGAGGAAGTGGTAAGTTGTTTGGATTGAACTGGAAAGCGTCACAGGATTACATACAGGCACCTCCCGGCCCCACTGCGGTCGGGGAACTTCTTCCAGTCCACAGGGCAGCAGTACTCAATATCCATCCAATATCCATCCTTCCACTACATCCACCATCATCATTGTTTCCCGGATGGCAGGATACTGGCACCACGCTCTGACGTGGGGCTCGGCCATTCCAGTTATCCCAGCTCAATTCCCTGCAGGTCTGCTGCGAACTATTGACCGCGAAAATGAAAGTTTTTTTGGGAGTTGATGTTCCACGGTGCCGTGCGCAGGTGAATGCAAGCAAGAGCAGCGATCCAGAGATGGAGAGTGAATGAATCACGGTAAGTAGCATCGCTTGACTTGCCTGCGTTCCGGTCGTTCCATGCTTTTTCTCGACTCTCCCTCGCTGTCTGTCTCTCTCTCGATCTGGATTCCTCCCTGTCGATCCATCCCCATGCTTAGAGCCAAAACAACTAAGCCGATGGGGCTGGCTGGCCTTCGACTGCTGGCGGGCGAGACAGCATTCAAAGAGTGGACTACTTGTGGTAGCTCCGCAGCATCAGCCAAGAAAGTCTAGGTTGATGTTAGTTATTCACTCGTCTGCTGGTCTCTGAGTCTCATAGCTGTGGCGCCCCCCTCCTGCCGTTGCTGGGGTTATTTATATCCCCTCCCTTCCCCCCCCCTGATCGGATATGTTTGTCTTCCCACAATAAGTTGTGTTACCTCGCCATCTTCCTCAATTGCTCGAGACTAGCTCGTCCCTTCCGCTTCCTTCAGCTACCTCGACGCCATCATGAGGCTCAGTTGGCTCGAGGCTGCCGCCTTGACGGCTGCATCCGTCGTCAGCGCTGTATGTTTTGCCGCTTGTTTGGATGGATGACTGGGTGTGAAACTGACATTTGTGCTCGCTAGGATGAACTTGCCTTCGCTTCCCCCTTCTATCCTTCCCCTTGGGCCAATGGCCAGGGCGAGTGGGCGGATGCCTACAAGCGCGCAGTGGACATTGTTTCCCAGATGACTCTGGACGAGAAGGTCAATCTGACCACCGGAACTGGGTATGGGAGCGTAATTCATGCGGTCCGCATCGCCTGCTAACATATTCCAAGCTGGGAGCTGGAGAAGTGCGTCGGTCAAACTGGTGGTGTTCCAAGGTATGCACTGATTGAATGGGTTTCTACTAGAACGGTTAATTGACAATTGTGCCTAGACTCGACATCGGTGGAATGTGTCTTCAGGACAGTCCGCTCGGAGTCCGTGATTGTAAGTCTCGTTAGGAGCCGACATCAAACGTGTCTTATTAACAATGTGTCTTCCAGCGGACTACAATTCGGGATTCCCCGCTGGCGTCAACGTTGCTGCGACTTGGGACAGGAAGCTCGCCTATCTCCGTGGGCAGGCCATGGGTCAAGAATTTAGTGACAAGGGAGTTGATGTCCAGCTGGGGCCGGCCGCCGGGCCCCTGGGCAGAAGTCCCGATGGAGGTCGGAACTGGGAAGGGTTTTCGCCCGACCCAGCACTCACTGGTGTGCTCTTTGCCGAGACGATCAAGGGTATCCAAGATGCCGGGGTCATCGCCACAGCTAAGCACTACATTCTCAATGAGCAGGAACATTTCCGCCAAGTCTCGGAGGCTGCGGGCTACGGTTTCAACATCTCTGATACCATCAGCTCCAACATCGACGACAAAACCATTCATGAGATGTACCTCTGGCCCTTCGCGGATGCCGTGCGTGCCGGTGTGGGCGCCGTCATGTGCTCCTACAACCAGATTAACAACAGTTACGCCTGCCAGAACAGCTACACACTGAACAAGCTTCTGAAGTCGGAGCTCGGCTTTCAAGGATTTGTTATGTCGGACTGGGGTGCTCACCACAGTGGTGTCGGCTCTGCTTTGGCCGGGTTGGATATGTCTATGCCCGGTGACGTTTCTTTTGATTCTGCCACCAGTTTCTGGGGTACCAACCTGACTGTTGCCGTTCTCAATGGAACCGTCCCGCAGTGGCGTGTTGACGACATGGCCGTTCGTATCATGGCTGCCTACTACAAGGTTGGCCGTGATCGCTTGTACCAGCCGCCCAACTTCAGCTCCTGGACTCGGGACGAGTACGGCTTCAAGTACTACTACTCCCAGGAAGGCCCCTACGAGAAGGTCAATCAATATGTCAATGTGCAGCGCAACCACAGCGAAGTCATTCGCAAGGTGGGAGCCGACAGCACTGTCCTGTTGAAGAACAACAATGCTCTTCCTCTGACTGGAAAGGAGCGCAAGGTTGCTCTCATCGGCGAGGATGCTGGATCTAACGCCTACGGTGCCAACGGCTGCAGTGACCGCGGATGCGACAACGGGACGCTCGCCATGGCCTGGGGCAGTGGCACCGCAGAGTTCCCATACCTGGTCACTCCCGAGCAGGCCATTCAAGCCGAGGTGCTCAAGAACAAGGGCAGCACTTACACTATCACCGACAACTGGGCATTGAGCCAGGTGGAGGCCCTCGCTAAGACGGCTAGGTGAGCCCTTCCATTCATGATACTGGTCTGCCGTGACAATCCACTGACAAGTCGCTCGCAGTGTCTCCCTGGTCTTTGTGAATGCCGACTCGGGCGAAGGCTACATCTCGGTTGATGGCAACGAGGGTGACCGCAACAACCTCACCCTGTGGAAGAACGGGGACAATCTCATCAAGGCTACTGCCAGCAACTGCAACAACACCATTGTTGTCATCCACTCCGTTGGGGCTGTTCTGGTGGACGAATGGTATGACCACCCGAACGTCACTGCGATTCTCTGGGCTGGCTTGCCTGGCCAGGAGTCTGGCAATTCTCTTGCCGATGTCCTCTACGGCCGCGTCAACCCTGGCGGTAAGACGCCCTTCACCTGGGGCAAGACGAGAGCGTCTTACGGGGACTACCTGGTTCGGGAGCCCAACAACGGCCACGGAGCCCCGCAGGATAACTTCTCGGAGGGTGTTTTCATCGACTACCGCGGCTTTGACAAGCGCAATGAGACCCCGATCTACGAGTTCGGACACGGTCTGAGCTACACCACCTTCAACTATTCGGGCCTGCAGGTGGAGGTTCTCAACACGTCTTCCAGCACTCCGGTCGCTACCCAGACCAAGCCCGCACCCACTTTCGGCGAGATTGGCAACGCGTCGGACTACTTGTACCCTGAGGGATTGGACCGAATTACCGCGTTCATCTACCCCTGGCTCAACTCCACGGACCTCAAGGAGTCATCTGGTGACCCGGACTATGGGGTGGACACCGCCAAGTATATTCCCGCCGGCGCCACCAACAGCTCGGCCCAGCCTGTTCTGCCGGCTGGCGGTGGCTTCGGTGGTAACCCGCGTCTCTACGATGAGCTGATCCGTGTTTCGGTTACCGTCAAGAACACTGGTCGTGTCACTGGGGACGCCGTGCCTCAATTGGTAAGTTGCTCGTCCGGGGAGTTGGTAGATCGCGTACTAACATGAGACAGTATGTATCGCTTGGCGGACCTAATGAGCCCAAGGTGGTGCTGCGCCAGTTCGACCGCATCACGCTCCGGCCTTCGGAGGAGACGGTGTGGACGACTACTCTGACCCGTCGCGATCTGTCCAACTGGGATGTTGCGGCTCAGGACTGGGTTATTACTTCCTACCCGAAGAAGGTTCACGTGGGTAGCTCTTCGCGTCAGCTGCCGCTTCATGCGGCGCTGCCTAAGGTGCAATGAGCGGATGGGGATTGGGTGCGATGGGGATGATGCTGTATACTTCTTTCCAGTCGGGAGACTACGAATTGATGACTATGTTATTGTAAAGACGAGCGATCCAGGGATCCAGGTACAGGAGGGGTGTAGTGTAATGTAAGCGTAATGATCTGGGGTCGGGTGGCTGTGGCGGTGGAGGTGAAGCGGCGGGCGGGCGGAAGACAGCGACGTCATCCGACTTCCACCGGCACTTCGTCTCCCTTTGGTAACTTCCATCATTTCTCCGACCTCTGCCTGGTTTTCGTCTATCCATCCTGACGCCTCAATTCCCATCATCTTTCTTTGAATTTTGCTCCACGCTTGACTTTGAATTGATTGCCTCCAAAACAAGCCACCACAAGACAGCGCAGCCACTCAAACCATCGAAGCGGCCCGGACGGAAGAAAAAATCCATAACGACGATGCCAACCCCAGACAATCCACCCCCTTCCTCAGCCGGAGTAACAGCGACCACACGGACAACATCACGACCGCAGCAACCTCCGATCACCTTTCTCCTCGTCTATCCGCTCACCCTCCTCGTGGGCTCCCTCTTCTCCGTCCTCTCCCCGACCGCCTACGGCACTCGCGCCAGCAGCAGCAGCAGCAGTCCGCTCCAGAACCATCCCTCCCCCCTCGCGCCAACCATCGCCTCCGACCTTCACTTCACCTTTCCGCCCGCCAAACCGGTGAATTACTTTGCGCGCAAGGACAATCTCTTTAATCTATACTTTGTGAAAGTCGGCTGGCTCTGGACGACCCTGGCGTTTGTGTTACTTTTGCTCACGCAGCCGGCCTACACGGGTGGTCGTCACAGCAGCCGCAGCAGCAGCGTTGGTGTATCTGGAGCCGCCACCCACCGCTCCCGCCGCACTACCCAAGCCATCATCCGATATGCGCTGGCCACAACGGTGTGGTACTTCACGACGCAGTGGTTCTTCGGGCCGGCGATCATCGACCGCAGCTTTGTGTTGACGGGGGGGAAGTGCGAGCGGGCGGTGCCGCAGGCGGAGGACCCGTATACCACCACGGATTTGGGCACGTTGGCGACGGCGGTGGCGTGTAAGAGTGCGGGTGGGGCGTGGCGCGGCGGGCATGATGTGAGTGGGCATGTGTTTTTGTTGGTATTGATGACTTCGTTGGTTGGGTTTGAGGTTTGGGGCGGGCAATGTGGGGGGGATGGTGGGTTGGGGAAGAAGGAGGATGTGGTGGTGGAGGGGGAGAGGGAGAGGGAGAAAGAGAAGCAGAAGGGTCTGGAGGGTGCTGAGGCTGAAAGTGCTGAGGATGATGGGCTGGGGGTGTGGTCGGTACGGTTGGCGTCGATGGTGATGGGGTTGGGGATGTGGATGTTGTTGATGACGGCTATTTGGTTCCATACGTGGTTTGAGAAGGTCTGTCCCCGTTTCTGTGCTTTTCTGTTCTCTTCGAGGTGGACATGGTTCCTGGCTAATAAGTCTTTACAGTTGACGGGGTTGATGATTGCACTGGCCACGGTTTATACGATCTATCTTCTGCCGCGAAGGGTGGCTTCGTGGCGGGAGATTGTGGGGTTACCTGGGGTTTAGATGTGGGTTATGACTTGGGATGGCGTTGATCTTGACATTGATTGCATTGATAGTGAGTTTTGTGAGGGGAGGGGCGTCCATGTTGCTCCCATATCGGGTTTGCATGTAGATCCATTGTAAAATACAGTTTGTCTGTCTGCTTCCAATTTGGTTTCGAGTGACGACAGTCAAGCGACCGGTTCAGGTCCCAAGTAGCCGCGACAGAATGCTGCTGGGAAGTCAACACCTCATGCTCAGTCACCATCTCCGGGGCATCAAGAAACTCACCTCCCGGAATCAACGCCGCCGCATACATCACGCGCGTTATGGGCTGCAACTCCTCGGGCGTGGCATCTTCCCCCTCCGACCGCCAGATATACGGCTCCCAGCCCTTTACGATCTGGTCCGCGTAGCTCCTGAACTCCACCGCCAGCTCTTTATCTGTCGCGTGCTCCGCCACACACCGGAGCCCCAAACAAGTCCCGAACTCCCGGAACGCCAGCCGCGAGCGAGTCTCGCGATCGAAGTAGTGTTTCTGGTGGAAGAGCTCGTCTATCCCCCACATCAGCGCAACTGACACGAAACCACAATCCAAGGTCCAGGGAGCACCTACCAACGCGTTCCACACAATCCCCCATCATCCTGACTGCCCAGTCTTCCTGGTGGTGTCGATCCAGCACCCAATGCGCCGTCCACATCGCCATCCCCAGGTCCAATGGATCCCGCGACACGAACCCCGTTCGACCCGCTTGTGCGGTTTTCCGGCGGATGATGCGCCGGTAATCTTCAATCTCCTCCTGAAGAACCTTCTTCCCTTCTGGTGTCTTTCTTCCATCCCCAGTCTCCCCCCCATGCAGTCTAAACCACCCATCCGTCTCCTGCAGTAAAGTGAACACCACCAACCCATCCAACGGATCCAAATTCCCCTCCGAACCCACCAACACTTTTGACAGAGTGGTATCCATCTTCCACACCATCCGCAACCCCCCCGGACTGCGCGGGTCGTGGATCACAAAATGCGGATGGATGGCAGCCGCCAACTCCACCGCCAGATCATTGTAGTGTTTCTCCCCGCTGGCGAGGGCGGTCCGGTTCAGCGCAAACATCCACAGCGTGAGGTAGTGGTGGTATTGGCCGTCGCTGTCGGGGCCCGTCGCGGACTGTTTGCCGATGCGGAGCCCGCCTGCTACCGGGTGCGTCGGGGGCGTAGCGTTGGGTAAGGGGGTGTAGGGGGCGTCGCGGGTGGTGCCCAGCGTGCGGTGGGTGGATTCTATGAGGGACTGGGCGAGTAAGAGGTAGTAGTCGTGGTGTTGGTGGCTACTGCTGCTGCTGCTGCGGCTGCGGCTGCGGGATGCTTGGCTGGAGGTGCGTTGGTGTTCCCGGTGCAGAGTCAGGAAGTTCAAGACTCCAAAGGCATCCGTCCAGAGGTAGCGGCCCCGGTGGCCGCCAGATTGCGCTGGAGGGGTCCAGTTCCTGGGGTTGGAGATGTTGGTTATTGGCCCGTATAGGGATTCTTGGGCGCGGATGAAGGATTGGAGGGCTGTTGGGGATGTCATTTGTGCTTTGGACGAGGATGTAGTGTAGATCGTGTGTGGATTGATTAATGGTTCGAGTTACTGTAGCTGTTGGCTACTCTACTATCCATTTACTTTCCTTCTAGTCGACGTCGACCGTGGCTGTCATGATGACCCGTAGTGAAGTCATCGCCACACGAACCCTAACCACCACACCTCGTATATATCATACAATCTCAACTCACAACCCACACCACACCAAGCTATCTCCCCCCAGCAAACACACATCATCATGGGCTGAGACAACCACCACTGATTGAAAGTATTCATGAGTAGATTCTGGCGACGAATACGACCCCCCAAAATGTCGCAATTCCAAGACCTCTTCACCGCAGCCGCACAGCCTCTGCCCCCCATCGCCTCCCCCAACTTCGGCGCCCAGTTCGACTCCTTTGGCGACTACCAGGTCGTCCTGCTCGGCGACGGCACGCACGGCACCTCCGAGTTCTACGCCGCCCGCGCCGAGATCACCAAACACCTCGTCACCCACCACGGCTTCAACATCGTCGCCGTGGAAGCCGACTACCCCGACGCCGAGTCCATCGACCGCTACGTGCGCCAGCGTCCGGGCCCCCAGGCGCGCATCCGCCCCGACAGCCCCGACGACAACGACCAGCAGCAGCCCTTCAAACGGTTTCCCACCTGGATGTGGCGCAACCGCGAGACCCAAAGCCTGGTCGAATGGATGCGCGACCGCAACGCCACCCTCTCCGACCCCGACCAAAAAGTCGGCTTCTACGGCCTCGATCTGTACAGCATGGGCGCCTCCATCAAGGCCGTCACCGACTACCTCGACCGCGTCGACCCGCCCGCCGGCAAGAAGGCCCGCCAGCGCTACGGCTGCCTGCAGCCGTGGGTCGAGGATCCCACCGCCTACGGACTGGCCGCGCTGCGTGGCATGGCCGACTGCGAGAAAGGCGTGGTGCAGATGCTGCGGGACCTGCTGGCCCGCCGGCTGGAGTACGCGGAGACCGATGTCCACGACGGCGAGGAGTCCCACAGCAGCCAGCAGAACGCCTATTTGGTGCGCGACGCCGAGCGCTACTACAAGGCCATGTATTACAGCTCCGCCTCCTCGTGGACCCTGCGCGACACCCATATGGTCGACACGCTGCGTCGCGTCCTGAAAAGCCGTCCCGTCGGCAGCAAGGCCCTCGTCTGGGCCCACAACTCCCACTGCGGCGATGCGCGCTTCACCAGTATGGGCACGCGCCGCAAGGAAGTCAACATCGGCCAGCTGTGTCGCGAGCGTTTCGGCCGCGACAACGTCGCCATTCTGGGCTGCGGCACCCACACCGGCACCGTCGCCGCCGCCCACGAGTGGGACGAGGATATGGAGGTTATGGCCGTGCGGCCCTCCCGCCCGGACAGCTGGGAGTGGGTGGCCCACAACACGGGGGTCCCGCGCTTCGTGTGGGATTTCAGGGAGGATCGCATCGCCCCGGACTTCAAAGCCGCCCTGGCCGAAGAGAGCCAGCGGCTCGAGCGGTTCATCGGCGTCATCTATCGGCCGGACACGGAGCGCATGTCGCATTACTCGCAGGCGGATCTGCAGCAGCAGTTCGACGCGTATGTCTGGTTCGATGAGACGGAGGCGGTGAAACCATTGGAGACGGTGCAGCCCAAGACGGTCATGGGCATGGAGGAAACATATCCGTTTGGATTGTAGTTGCTGATGGACTGGGGTGTAGTTGTGATCAACTTATCAACTTATCAGACTGAGCATAACTGAACTAAGTTGTGAATTCGACCGGCATAATTAGTCACGGGAAATGCATAAACACGTGACAACTTATCTAAGCTTTGACGTCAGCTCACCGCCTGCCGCGGGTTTGTTTATTCGCCTCCAGTTTACCCCATGCCTCCCATTTCTCCTCCTGTCGTCACCCTCTTGCATGGCATTTGGTGTGAAGTGCAATCGCCTCCCCTGTTGTCCCGATCTTTCATCGATCTCCATCCCTCGTCATTGTGTATATACTAACCATGGCGGTCCGACGGTCCGCCCGCCTGCGCAATCGCGAGGCCTCCTTGTCCGAGGTAAGGCATTCGCCCCGAGCATCCCACCCCAACCTGCAATCCGAAGGGAGGGGGATGTGAGGAATGTGTGCTCTTTGTACTTTAATGCTCAGGCACTGATGGGAGGGACCCGCTTAGGAACCGCAACCGCAACCCCCAGCTGGCCCCGCCGAGCACCACAGTCACGTCAACACAGATCACGTCAACCATCGGCATGACGACCAGCCCAGTGAGAAACCAAACACCAGAAGAAACACGCGCAGCAAGAAGAAATCCCAACCCACTAAGGAACCCACCAACCTGCCCCCTGTGATTGAACGTGAGGAGACTGCCGTGAATACTCTCACTGAACTCAACCCTGCACCCCAACCACCAGTCGCAGCAGAGCAATCTGCGTCTACTAGCGAAACTAGTAAAACACCGTCTGCGCCGGCTAACGAAGCACCCGAAACTGCATCCAAGGAAATCGAAGTCGAAACTACGCGTCTCGCAGCCGAAAAGGCTGAACAAACAAGAAAGCGATCCATCAGTGCCGCGTTTGACAAGGCCGAGTCGACATTCAAGAAAATGAAGACTGCCGCGTTCACCAAGAGCGGTACCACTCCTAAGAAGGGTGCTGGTGACGCGTCCGACAAGACTGGGGCCTCGCCCAAGAAGACTCCCAGTGCCGCCCCCGCGCGGGCTGAAGCGACGCCCAAGAGAATCACCGCCCATTTGGCCTCGCCAACCAAGGGCACCCCTTCCCGAATCCCTAGCATTGCCACTCCGCTGAAGGCGACCCCCGCAGCGGCACAACCTGCCGGTGCAAAGACCCCGTCGACTGTGATGGCGCGTCCTTCTCATCAGGATATGCATCCGAGCAAGGTCCACCAGAGCACGACGAAGCAACCTGACTCGGGCTTGGTTCTGGGCTTCAACCCCGTCAAGAAAGACGCCGAGGGCAACGTCGTCAAAGAGACTGCCACCGAGAGCACCCCGACCAAGACTAGAGAGTCCCCTGCTTCGACTTACTATGGCACTCCTGCGTTTGAGTTCAAGTTTGCCAGTCCGCAGCTGAGCGACGAGGCCAAGAAGCTCATGGAGACCGTGCGCAAGGACGCGGCGAGGATCAAGGCCCAGATGGTCCTTGACCAGGCATGCAACCCGCAGAACAAGCCTGAGCCCGCGGAGAGAAAGATCGTGCAGCCCAAGGGGAAGACCGACCGTTTCACCGAGGCCCATTTGGCCGAGTTCAAGAAGATGGACTCCATCGCCAACCATCCCTCGGCCTTCCGGACCGCTCCGGGTCGCTTCCAGCCGGTCAGTGAGAAGAAAACTCTGAAGCGAACCAACTCCAAGGCCGGATTGGATGACACCCACAGCAAGTCGCCCTCGCCTTCCAAGACGTTCATCGCGCGACCTTCTCCTGCTCCGGCTGCTGCCTCTGCTAAGCGCGTCAAGCACAACCCTGCCGATGACACCTCTACCAGTCGTCTCCCTCTGTTCAACAGCCCGAAACCGACAGTGCCGCGTCCCAAACACTCTTTCCGCAAGTCGTTGATGACGCCGACCCGGGCCTCGGCGGCGCGTGCGTCGACCGTGAGACCTGCGCGCACTTCCATGATCCCGTCGCTGGTTCGGTCGCCAGCTCCCACTCAGCCGGAGGTTCCACGCACCCCCCAGACCGATTTCAACCCTCGGTTGAAGAGCAACCTGCCCACCTTTGGCCAGCTGAAATCGATCCTCCGCCAACCCCACCAGCTTTTCTCCAAAGACCCTTCCAAGATCGCCGCCGGCACGCATGTGGCAGCGCCCGATTTCACTTCGAACATGCTCCTCGGCTCCTCCCGGGACGCAACCGAGGAACCCTCGCACACTCCCTCTCCCAAGAAACGCGTGGAGTTTACTCCTTGCGTGAAGGGCTTACAGGAGGAAACGGTCTTCTCGCCGTCCCCTTCGAAGCTTCCCCCTGCAAGCGCCTCTCGCGTGGTTTCCGACATTGTTTATCCCACCCTCCCGACGCTGACTCCGGAGCACGCCCGCAGCCCGAGCAAGACGGCCAGTGCCAGTCAGGACAGCGCCGCCACTACCCCTACTATCCGCCAAGTCCGCCCTTCTGATGCTACGCCCCTGCCGGAAATTGCCGGCGTGCCCCACGGGATCGGCCATAAGAAGCGCAACCGTCCGACTGTCGAGGCGGAGAAGACTGATTCTACTTCCATGCCCGACATTGCAGGTGTGCCTCACGGGATTGGCCATAAGAAGCGCAACCGCACGGCTGTCGAGGCGGAGGAGACCGATGCGGAGAACGTGCCCCCGGCGGAGAAGGCGGGTTTGCGCAGCGCCAAGCGCATGAAAATGAGCTCGCCCTCGCCGTTCAAGAAGACAGGTCGTGCTTCGACGCTCTTTGCCAAGGCGACGGGCACTCCCAGTGTTACCCAAGGCCCAGCCTCGAGCGCCGCCACCCCGAGTCCCCTCAAACCCCGGTCCCACACTCCTCTCCGCTCGGCGACCAGACCCTCGGCCGGACACCTCAGCACCAGCACCACTCCGGGCAGTGCCCGCCCTCGCAGCCGGGGGGTACTGACTATGAGCCGTCTGCACTTGCTGTCTCAGCCCAAGAACCGTTTTTCGTAGGGTGCTCGCGCGTTGCCCTGCATGACTTGGATGTCTGTGTGCCGACCGAGCTCGGATTTGCGATTTCTTCGCCGGTTCTCATTTTAACCTTTAACCATCTTCTATCCTTAGGTAGTTTTAGGAAGTGGGTTTTTGAGATGAGCGGAAGGTTGCATGAGGTAGTCCCTGGTCCATTGTTTATTGATTCTTCTTGTCGCGTGGCCAGGGTTGCTTTGTAGCGTGTTTGTCATCTGGTGTTTATGATTCGAACTTGTCAGGGCGCTTGGGGTTTGAACTGCATCAGGCATGCTGTACTGGCGTGGTGTATGGTGTTTCTTTCAGCGGTGTTTGGGATGGATTGGTTCTGTTTGATTAGGTTGTTGATCTTGTTGATTTTCGTCACGATCATGAATCGATTGTTTCTTTCGTAGCGTGTCTTTGAGTAACTACTGAAATCTCCAGCACGGCCCCTACGGGTCGAGTATCTGGCACAGAGATTCGCAGAGTATCAATCCTGACAACCATTCTTGAAGAAGTAAGTCGGACTAGGCGAGATGTGCTGAATGACCATTTGACTTCCTGTAAGTTCCCAGCATGACGGCGTGTTATCGGTGTTCTTCAGAATGAATCACATAATATGAGCGAGCCTTTTGGTACGATTGCCTGGTAAGACCTGCATACAGAGATTTGATGTTTTGGTGAGTTTTCAGTAGTAGATTGTGGTTAGTTTAATTGCCTTGAACCAGACAAAAAAAATGAGAGTATTGACTGACTGCAACAGCGGCAGTGAGGTGCAACTGCCGAATCACACGAGGTAAGCCAGGCTTACTTCCGATGAACTATGCTTTGGGGGGGAGATACATGCACTACGAGATATTCCACAGACACCCTTCACCCGTACCGTCCGGTTACTCCCAGGTGCTATGCCTCTCAAAGTCCTCTATTCTATCAGACCTACACAGCGGGCATCATCGTCAGAACTGCTACTGCACCCAGCACCTAGATCCATTGCACTGGTGAACCACCATTCTGGATCCCTTGCTTCAGTCCACAGTACGTACTCCACTGGCTTACTAGAGAATGCAACTGACTTGGTTAACTGCCACTGAGAACTTGTATACTTACGTTAGCATGCACATCACACACATTAGAACACCAGTATAGGTAGGAAGTTGTCGATTCTACTCTGTCTGTCTTGGCTTGCTACTAAATTAACCAAGTTAACCTCATTCTTTTGTGTGGTATCCAGGTACAAACTCCCTTGAGTTTACTTAGCTTCCTCGTTCCTGTTCCTTTCCTGTTCCTGTCTCTGTTCCTGTCTCTGTTCCTGTTCCCACGGATGCGCAACCATGGTCATGGTCATGGACTGGGACTTCTCCGTACCTCTAGTCAAGGTTGGGGCGGAAGGGCACGCACCGTCGCCACCCACCTTCCGCGGGCTCCACTTCACCGGCCCTTCCGGACCTTGTTTGATTTACTGTAGGTAGGTTAGTGTCGTGGCACTTGGCCGTGTATCCACTATCGACTGTTTACTATTTACTGTTTAGTGTTCCAGCTTCCAGAGCGGAGGAGCCTGACGTATGTCTATGCTCATGCTGTTGACTCGCACCACTACCACCAAGTTAATCTAAACCAAACTGGGTATCTTTAAGATGCACACAGTACACAGTACACAGTACACAGTAACAAACCCCCCAAAATCAGTATGTGCATAATTAGGAACCCGCTATTATAAACACTCCCAGGAACCAGCAGCGGCCATAAACATCGTGACTCATACAATCATGACATGTAACCTCATAACCACCCCCCAACCACAAGAAGAAAACTAGTAACTCTCCGGTGGCTTCCCCCAGTTCCCCGTAAAGTCCACCGGGCTGAGCTCCCGCTCCTCACCCGTGGTCGACAGAAACGAGTTGTTCGTCTGCGTCTCGCCGCTCCACGAATGCGAGACGTCCGAGTGGCCCGTGTGCGGGCCGCGGGCGCTGATACTGGTGCTGCGCGTCGTCGTGCACGTCGCGTGCTCGAACATCGCAATGGAGACGTCCTCGCTGTCCATCCAGGGGTGCGAGCGGCGGCGGGTCGCGATGGGTGCGTGGGTGCCCGGGTGTGTCACGTCCGAGGTCACGCGCGTGGCATCCACAAAATCCGGGAAGTCGAGGCGGCCGGTGGTGGTGGTGGTGGTTGTTGTTGTTGTGGTGGGGGTGTTGGTTGTTATCGTTGGGTGGTGAGGGTGGTAGTGGTAGTGGTGGTGCTCGTCGGGGACTGCCGTCGGCGGTGGTGGGGGACTGCTGACGGCGATGGCCGAGTCGCATTTCCAGACGTGGTGGCCGCGCACGAGAAGGACCAGTTTGCCGAGGACGGCGAATTCGAGCTTGAGCTTGACGCTGTAGATGACGCCCTTGATCATCGTCTCCATGATGTAGAGGTCGCGGTATTCGATGACCAGCAACCCCAGATCCAGGAAGATGATAATGAGATTGATCGCCACGAGCTGGTACATGATTTTGCGCTTGCCGCGGTCGGGGTCGAGGCGCAGCATGCGCACCGTCTCCCAGATGTAGAGCGCCGACAGGATAAACTCCTGCAGGCAGAAACAGGTCATCTGGATCTTCTCCATGATGTTGTAGCCGGCAATGAAGGGGGCTTTCGAGGGCGCGAGGTTGGAGCCATACGTGAGCACCGTGGTCGGCAGGTGCAGGAGGATGGCGTCGATGATGATCATGTACCGGACTTGGCGGAGGATGCGTGGACTGGGCAGGACGAGGTGCAGCCGCGAGTACAGCACCACGGACTGCCCGGTCACCATGGTGTACCAGCCGACGGTGATCAATGTCACCGACAGGGCGGCCGGGGCGAGTTCGAAGTATTTGAGGAGGAAGCCGGTAGAATAAGGAATAAGGCCCAGAGAGGAGACCAACAGGGACCAGAAGTACGGGCCCCGGAATTGGGCAAAGGTCACAAAGACGAGGATGACCAGCTCCACGGCGTTGTACCAACTGATGGCCGCTAGTGTTGCAATGGCGATGCGGATGGCGGTACTCGAACCGGTGTAGCCCCCGACGACGCCATTGCCGGGGGATGTGGTAGGGCTGGTGATCATGGTTTCATCGTTGTGTTGCGATAGTTCTGTGAGGGGAGGAGAACTTGGTGACAGGAATTAGTGACTCAGATGCAAGAGAAAGGGTTGGGTGTTGGGTAGTTGGGTAGGTAGTTGATGCAGGTAAATGGAGCTAAGTATGCGGTAGAGCGGATGAGGTATAGGGAGAAGCGGAGGAGCGGAGAGGAGAAGGAAGAGAGGAGAGGAGAGGAAGGGAAAGGAGAGGAGAGGGGAATAGGAAGCGAGAAGAGTGAGAAAAAGAAGAGAGTGAGTAAGAAGAGAGAGAAATCGAGGGAAGGACAGTGAGCGAGTCACGAGAGGGCGTGAGAGAGAGTGAGAATCTGCAGTGTTGCAGTAGTCGACAAACAAACGCGGGGAAAAGAGGATGACAGCTCCACTCGATCCATCATCACCTGATATTACGGAGTGGTTCATGTCTGTGTCTGTCTGACTGATACCAATTTCTCATCTATACTGTACGTACACAGGCTACTGTGAGTGCTCCTTATTCAATACTGATATCATCCTCCTCTTCCTCCCCCCACAATAACCTCCCGATCGCCCTCATCCCCTGCGTCAACACGTGGAGCTGGAAATGTCATGATTTGGAGACGTAACTTGAAAAGTTATTAATAGTACTCGTACTAGCACTCCGTAATGCAAATTCCATCTCATCATTCCCGGCCCCTTTAGCACAGCCCATCTGCTGGCTGGCTGGCTGGCTGAGGCTGTAGCAATACTCCGTAGTGATCGGCAGCTTATTGACTCCGCTCCCCATCCAAGAAGTGAAGTCATAACGTAAGACACCTTGAGATCTGAAACACCCATGACATAATGTACATACATACACAAAGAATAAACACCACCCATCACACAACACCCAGCAACGCCATCCATAGATCCATGCAACGATAACACCCATAAGCTTACTCCAACCCCAAACCCCTCATTCGAAAGTCTTTTTGTAAATCCCCACAGCCTCCTCCAAACCCAGAAAAACCTACTGATCCTCGCCTCCCGTCATCTCCATCACCCTCTTCACCTCCCCTCGACACTCAGGCATAGCCCCGCGGATCTCCCGCGCCAACACATCCCGAAACGACCGGAACGCCTCCTTCTTGCCTTTGAGGTCCTGATTGCCGCGCTGCACCAGCTCGACGAACTCGCGCGTGTAGATGTCCGGATTGCGCGCTGCGTCCACGTAATCGATAATCTCCGGTGGGAGTTGCACGCTGCCCAGCGCTGGGTCCTGCGGGTTGGTGGTCGGGGCCACGGAGGTGGCGTCCGGGTTCGAGGCCGCAGTGTGGGCTTGAAGGGTTTGGAGGGAGAGAGTGAGGTTTTTGCTGTTTCAGTCGAGGATCAGTCTTTCGTTTTGTTTAGGAGATAATGTGGCGGTGAGGGCTCTGGAAAGATTGGGAGGCATCGCATCGCATACATCTTCCGGACTAGCTCCTGTTGGGTCTCCGGACCGAGGTAGCCGTGGACGGCGGATTGGATCTCAAAGAGATGCTGGATGACTTCTTTCAGGTCGTCTAGAGGTTCCTTGTTAGTATGAGTCATATTTCGAGCTCCACGGGGAGCAGGGAACGTACGGTCGACCGTGGTGAGGGTGATTGGGGCCATGACGATGGGAATAATGATAAGAATGGTGGTGCGGAGAAAGAAACCAAAGACAACGGAGTAGAGGAGAAGGCGGAGTCGGAGGCGCTCACCGCTCTGGGGATTACTGTACAGACATGTCACCTTTTGGGTTCAACAACGGTCTACACAGTACCGTACAGTACAGTAACTACATGAACATCACATTTATGACCATGCAACAAGTCTATCCACCCATCAATACAATTATAGCTCACACGCTCACATCGCTCACAACACGCTCTAAACATATATGTATACCAAACTATACCTCCTTCGTCCGTACACTAGTAGGAGTCACCCGGGGCAATTCAATCTCCGTCTCCATCTCTAAGCCGGATAGACTGGGGAACCGTCGACTGAAGCTCGCCTCCCAGTCCTCACCACTCGCACTGGCAGGCGTCGCCGCCACCGTGGGACTCCGGTCCTGGCTGCCCGATTGCCCTTCCATTCCCGTGGGCACGCGCAGGCTCTTGGGTTTGGGAGGTAGTGCCGGACGTGCGCCGGAGGACGATCCCGGGCGTCCGGTGGCCGTAGCCGGTTTCCCAAGGCTGGTCGGCAGCTCCGATGGCGCGCTCCCGCGCGTCGACCGAATCTCCGAAGGCTTTGCCGGCAAAGCCGCCGCCGTCTCATCCGTGTACCGTCCGTAGCCCGTCGCCGTCTTGGGGGGCGGGGGAGCCCGGGTGGACTCGCCCAGGAGAGACTGCACCTTGTTCTGGATCGCCTGCGATCGTGGCCCGTCGCGCCAACCCCCTGCAGCACCAGGCTGTCCCCCCTCAGCCACCCGCTTACGATATTCTGCGGCCGCCATGGCGACTCGCTTCTCCTCCTGGGAGAGCCGGCGCCGCTCCAGCTCCCGCCGCATTTCCGGCGAGATGTCCTCGTTGCCGTCCATATCGATGAGCTCGCTGGCAGGCTCGGAGCTAAGATCAGCACTCGAGAGCATCATGGGAGGCTTGCTGGGGGCTTCTTCGGTCACCGGCGACTGCACTTTGCTCTCCGAGGTGCTATGCTCGAACCGTCGGAAGGCGTCCCCGAACCGCCCCCCGAACATCTTGGTGCCGGAGAGGGACAAAGTCGACAGGCTAGACCGTTTACTGTGCTTAGCCGTGCCGCTGTACCTCTTCTCGCGCTTCTTGTTGGTTTCCTCTTCCCGTGCGCGGAGAAAGTCTACGTCCGAAGAGATGTTGGCTCGTGAGTCTACCTCGGTCCGCGCGTGCTGCAAGGGAGCCCCGCCCTCGTAATAGGGCGACCGGGGTAGGTCCAGGGACGACCGCGCGCTCTCCGACCCACGGGGTAAGTCATATCGGGCCCCTGCATGGACGGACACCGGGCGGGAGCGACCGTTGGCCGAACGCGAGCGTCCTGCCGACTCTACCACCTCCAGATTACTGGGTCGACCGCCGTCAAGGGAGGGCCGCGGGGACGCTGACAAGTCCGAAATCCGATCGGACGACCCCCGAGGTTGGACCACCGCAGTCGCAGCAGGCGATGGAGCCTTTTTCTTGAGGTCGGACTCGGAAGGTTGCTTGTGACTGGACGGACGCCGCTGATGGTCGGTCGGGGGAAACTTGTAGATGGGCCGACTCGACGGCTTGTACTCAGACAACCCAGGGGTCCCTGGCGGCGAGGTCATTGTACCGGTCGACACCATCGTCGGTCGCTGGGGGGCAGGTTGGTACAGCGGCACCGAGGCGCGTCCCTCATCGCGCGGATTGTCGACGCGCTCGACGGGGGCGGAATGAGTGGACGTAGGTTGTGCGCGACGCTGGCTGGTCGATGACTCGGGCCCGGGCGACTGGTGCTTGGCAAAGGCATCGTCCGCCAGTGCATGGGTGAGGCGCCGCGCAAGATCATCATCCTCGGGACTCGAATCCGGCACGGCCGACTCGAAGTCGAACTTATCCCCCTTTTCGTGCAGGATCTGAAACTGATCTAACGAGGGGAAGCGATTGGAAAATTCATCCGTCGAGTTGCGAGGTGGCTGAGCATTGTCCAGTACGGAGAACGGATCCCCTGAGCCCCGAAACGGGGAGGGACTGGGCTTGGCCGAATGGTGTGGGGACTGCGTCGGTCTTGTCGGACGGCCGCGACGCATCGGCGCAATCTCAGGGATGATCTGGGTCTCCTGAACCGGCGGAGAGAAGACGGCACCAACCTGTGGCGCCTCAGTGGGGGAGGGTGGCAATTCCTGGTACCGACGGGCCTCCGATTTAGAGCGAGCCGCGTAGATCTGTACGATTTTGTTAGCATACCCGTATGACAGATGCTATCGCTACTTACATCACTAATCGGGACCTCCTTGCCCTGCATGTGACAGACCTCGCGCACCACTTCATATATATTTGGCCGCTTCTGCGGTGATTCCTTCAGCATCCAAGCTATCTCGAATTAGCACAATCGCCGATCCAACAGTCAGGCAACCTACCAATCAACATCTTCAATCGATCCGAGAAGACCGGGTAACTCGGGAACTTGTAACTCGCATTGAGGATGGCCATCTGGCCGACCTCTTCAAACGGGGTGGTATAATAACATAGCTTGTACAGCAGGACTCCCAGGGCCCAGATATCGCTCTTCTCGTCAATGGGTTGCTTCCGGTAGACATCGATCATTTCCGGGCTGCGATACTGCAGCGTGGTATGGCGCTGGACGTCGTCTTCGATCAACCGCCCCTCCGCCGCGGAGGTGGCGGCGGGGCGAGGGGGAGCAGCCGATCCAAAGTCGCACAGCTTGTACAGCGCGGCAGTACCCTGACGCGAGATGAGGACGTTCTCCACTTTCAGGTCGCGATGCAACAGCGGCGGCTTGAGGTAGTGCATGCAGGCAACGCCCTCCGCCACGTCGGAGAAGATCTTGATGATCTCGGGTTCGGTCAAGCGGTTCTGCAGCCGCGTGTTCATGAAGTCGATTAAACCTCCACCATCGCAGAATTCCATGAGCAGAAAGACCTCGTAGCCACCACCCTGCAGTTGTGACGCATGGGAGTCGATGTAGGTGACGATATGTCGATGACCCTTGAGTTTCTTCATAGTTTCAACTTCGGTGCGCATATTGGCCAGCGCGGACTTGTCCGGAACCGCCACGCGCTTGAGAACCGCCCGATCGGAGCCCTCGACCGGTTTGGGTAGGCGAACAACGTAGACATGGGCGAAACCTCCCTCAGAGAGGTATTTCTCGACCACGACGCGATGGCTGCCAACCTGGACCTTGGTGCCAGGCAAGAAGGTCCCTGCGGGCGCGGCAATGGCAGCTACCGGGTTGTAGGCGGGAACGGGCAGACGCGGCGCCGCATGACTTTGGTAAGAAGCAGGGTTCGGCTGATAGGAGGACATGTTGCGGGTGCGATCGGATCAGGGGGAGGGGGGCGGAGGAGGGGCCCTCACGGGGCTTGGCAATCGAACAGGCGGACAGAAAGATGTCTATAGCTGCTGCATAGGATGCGAATCTGGGACGCTATGAGAGGTTGGGTATATGGACCCGGTGTCAGTATCCAGAAGGATCGGAGGTGTTGACGATCGGTGAACAGCAAGGGATCTGAACCCGAGGAAGACGGGGAGAGGACAGTTGGCGCGGGGAAGGGGGACAGGGCTGTAGAGGAGTTTCCCAGGGCCAGAGAGTGAAAGATACCAGCCAATGAGTCAGAGAGTAGTGGAGAGAAGAACTAGAAGGCAGCAATAACAGCAGCAGCCAGCAGGATTGAGGGGGAGAGAGACGGAGAAGAATGGGGGGGAGTTGATGAATGACAGGGAGGTGGAGGTCGGAGTAGAGGGGATTGACCGCCTTGGTGACGGAGCGGGCAGAATGATTGATATCAACAACAGACGATTTGAGGATTGTTCCACAGGAAGGGAGATCTACTTATCAAGGTTGGAGGCCAGAAGAGCAAGCAGCAAAAGTGCCTGTTTTTGAGTATGTCGGGAAGTCGAGAGAGTTGAACGCCAGTTCAGTCCAGCATCCTCCCTCAGCTTTGCAGGCATTGCAGGCAGCCATCCCGTGATACCGAGCGGTGGCCGTCACTCACGGGGTCAGCCCGGCATGACAGTCAGGAACAGATGGTTATCCACTAGTTCCCTACCTCCTATAGTGCATCGCTGTTAAGTTTGACCTGCTCCTGACACCCGGGATGCCTGAATTGGGCCATCGAGTCCACTCCAGCCTGAGGCACATGTCACGTGTGGCTCGCAGAATGAGTCAGCAAATGACATTTGTCGCCGGCCAATCAAAGTTACCAGGTGACGGTTGCCCGACGGGAAGAAACCAAAACAAACAAAGTATGAGTATATCAAGATTTCAAGATATTCCATCATGGTAGCAGTAGATCATTCCTACCCGAATTTACCTCTCGGGCAGGAGTTTAGTCCGTGGGGGAGGTGCAATGATTTGAATGGGCTTGGAAGAGGGAATGTGGGATGCTCGCTAGAACCATTCTCCATGGCTTCTCGGAGATCGTCTGGGTCTCTTGTCCGCCGCCAAATATGTGGATGAGGGTCCCTTGTGGGTGGGGATGGATCCGTAGTTTTCAATGGAGCAGTGCTAGATAGATTGCGTCTGAATCTTTTTTTTTCTCAAGATAGACTGAAGAATGCAATGGAGAACTGCCATTCAGTGGACTGTGTTGCACTGAAGATGGAACAACACCACCACCATCATTCACTGTGTAGTTAGTTATCTGGAGGTCAACACAAGTGACACTAAGAACGGAGGCAGTGATTGGCAGTGTGTGTCATTTGCCAGGATTATCACTCAACTAGTAACTATACAGGCTAGTTATCGTCCACTTCCACCGACCTCTTCTTCCCTCCTCTTCTCCCCCCTCTTCTTCTCTTCTCTTCTCTTCTTTCAACATCTCTCCACCGCATTGATTGCGCATTGACGTTCCCCCAACTAGTGAGTCTCACTTACGCCCAACCCTAACATGCACGAAAATGAAAGGAGGAAACCTTACTGACACAATTCCCGTCAGCGCCGATACAAAAACGCGCTGCTGCCTCCAGCGCCTAATCCATGTGTTGTTAAACACCATGCCCCGTCCACGCCCATCCCGACCTCACTGTGTCCCTCACCTGCATTAATTCACCTGAACAAACGCAATCCCAATTCCCCATCAGCTACAATCCACATAACCACCACACCCGCGAAGTTCAAACCCATCGCTCTACCCCAGTCCAGACCAGACGATACCCCAGTCCAGCAACCACACGGACCACCAGTTGCTACCACCCACATCTCTCCACCCCCCAAAAAACCCACCCTCACCACCATCTAGAAGATAAGTACATAACCATAAACCGTAATCGCCTCGACACACCCCAGCTCCTTTAGAGCAACTAAAACGAAAAAAAGAAAAAAAAAGACAAAAAAAAAAGAAATGGACGAAGGTCCGCCCCCACCCCCTCCGCCGCCCCACGGCTCCAAGCCCAACACCACCCACGGCGAATACCGCAAAACCTCCGACCTCCCACCAGGCAATTACGACATCTTCATCATCCCGCCTCACTCGGCCGGTTCCGGCTTCCTCTACCTCCCCTCCCTGCGGACTCAGCGCAACAGCTTCATCGCCGGCTGCGTCTCCACCCTCCTCGCCATGCTGGTATGGGTGGCTGTCTCTCCAGTCCTGAAATCGTGGTACGCCGCCACCGTCGCCAGTGGGAACGGGATGGGGATTGCGATTCTGGCGGTTGGAGTGGGAGTGGCCGGGTGGGCGTTTGGCGCGGCGCAGGCGGGCACCGGCGGCAATAGTGGTGGCGACGGGGGAAGCCATCGCGGGAAACGAGGCGGCTTCGGATTCAGTGGCGGTGGTGGTGGTGGTGATGGATTTGGAGGAGGCGGAGGTGGAGGTCCGGGTCCGGGAGGAGGGGGTGACTATGCGCGCGGAGGAAATCAGGGATATGGAGGAGGGCCTGGAGGAGGGCATCAGCAGCAGCAACATTACGGAGGAGGCGCATACAATGCCAATGCGGGCGGATCATCACCTCCTCCGCCACCGGGAGGAGGAGGTGCATACGGCGCAGGAGGCGGACATCAATACCACCAACAGCAGCAGCAGGCAGGAGGACCGCCACCACCACCACCACCACCGCCACCACCTCAACCTGAAACTACTACCCCTCAGCCAGAACCATCAACATCATCATCATCATCAAGCAAACCCTCCAGCGGCGCAGACTGGGAAAAAGCCCGCGAAGAAACCCGGCGCAAAGAAGAACTCCGTCGCAAGATGGAGGCCTTCAAGCGCAAACGCGAGGCGGAGCAGCGCGAGAAGCAGAAGCAGCGGGAGCGCGAAGCCATGGAGCGGGAACTGCGCGAGCGGCGCGAACAGCTTGAGAAGGAGATGGCCGCTGCCAAGGAGGCCGCCGCGCGCGAGGCTCGCGAGCGCGCCGAGAAAGAAGCCGCCGAGGCCCGCGCCAAAGCGGAGCGCGAAGCCGCCGAGGCAAAAGCCAAGGCCGAGCGCGAGGCAGCAGAGGCCAAGGCCCGCGCCGAACGGTTCGCGGCGCAGGCGCGCGAGCGCGAGGCAAAGCGTGCGGCCGAAGCCAAAGCCCGCGCGGAGCGAGAGGCAGCGGAGGCTCAGGCCAAAGCAGAGAAAGAAGCCGCGGAGAAAGAAGCCGCGGCCAAAGCGGCGGCCAAAAAAGAAGCCGATGCCAAATTCGCGGCCCTCAAGGAAGCCGCAGCAAAGAAGTACGCCGAGAAGAAAGCCAAGGACGCGCAGGAGGCGGCCGCCGCGGCCAAAGCCAAAGCAGCGCCAACGCCAGCAGCCTCCGCAACCTCTGCATCATCCCCAACCAAGAAACCCGCTTCCGCCTCACGAACAAACACGACTGCATCCTCTGCAGTCGACGACGACGACAGCCACTCCTTCCGCCCCTACGACCGCATCCGCCGGCCCTACGGCGCCGCCACGGCGACCACCACCTCCAGCTCCTCCGTCTACTCGGAATCCTCCTCGTACGCCCCGTCGCAGTCCACCGCGCGCACCGAGCCCCCGCCCTCCAACCGGGGACCCTACGAGACCAAAGACCCGGACAAAGTGGTCGTCCATGGCGTCTACGCCTTCAACAACGCCTTCCTCCGCACGCCCGTGGCGCAGCTTGTGGCGGGACAGGGGATGGTCTCCGACGGGCTGGTGCTCCGCATCACCACCGAGGGACTGTTCATTGACGACGACGTGCGCGGGGTCGGGCAGCGCGAATGGGATGTCAAGGCCTGGACGATGAAGCTCGTCGAGGTCTGGTGTCCGCGGTACGCCGCCCAGCGGGCCCAGCACCCGCCCGCCCGCGGCCCGCTCCCGGGACCCTTCACGAAGCGCACCAACGAACCCTCCGCCGAGGAATCCGAGGCCACCCTCGCCCACCTCTTGAAGGTCTGCAAGAACACCTGTCGCCTGGCCAACCCGGCCAAGTCGGGCGGGAACGCGAACTTGCACGTCCTGCGCGCCTCCGTGCGCGACCAGGAGGGGAAGCGATACGTGTTTGTACTCCAGGAGACAGAGGGGTGGAAGGTGGCGATTGGTTTGCAGCGGCTGCGGAGGGGAACGCTGTCGCGCGCGCTAGGCGTCACCGGCATGGCGGCCGCCGAGAGTCGGACGGTGCTGGCGGGGTTGGGGTATTAGTTTGGGTGCGAATATGATGATGATCTGGATGATGAGACGACGGCCGACTGGAGATGAGTGCATGGCAAAGCAAGCCTTGATGTCAAGATTTCTCTCTTCCTTCGCTGTGCTTTGTTGATCTTGTATATCGTTTGTTCTTCCTTCTGAGTGTCCCTTCAGATTCCCCCCCTCGTTTTGTATGATTTTAGCATGCCGGTGAGCCGCTTGCACGTTTCCTTCGCCGTGTTGCGGATAAAATCACCGACTCACCTGCCTACTAGTAGCTAGCTAGCTAGCTGCTCAACCTGATCTCTGGATCATGTACTGTATATAACTCTCTCTACCCGGTCCCAACCCATCCTGTGCAATCCACTCCTGTCAATATTGAACGTTGAGAGACCGCAACAGAACTATAGCTAGTCCGTCTGTGAGAATGTCTGGAGTTCATAGTATGAAGCGTTCCGGGGGAGAACCCCCGGACCCCCCTTTCTTTTCAGCTTCCTGGTAACCATCACTCAATCAACCCAACAACCACCCCCCACCTCCTGAAGAAGAAAAGGACAACTCAAAAACTGCATTTGGGAGTGATGGAGTTTGTGGGTGCTGGTGCATGTCGTTCAGTGGTTGACTGACAGCTTTTCATTGCCGGTTCGATGGTAACTTACTAACTAGTATTGCAGTGGGCGGTGTTGATGTTGATCACTGGTTTTACAACTGATGTTCCTCCCTTGTGGGTACTGGTGCTGGACATACACAAGACTCCCAAAAACTTACAAAAGTTGTCAGTAAAGAACCTTTCTCATCGATTCAGGATCGAAGAACAGCTTTGAAAAAAAAAAAAAAAAGAAAGAAAGAAAACCTCTGATTTAGCAACAAAGTTGAACAACTCATCTTATCCCAGGTATATAACGCCTATTGCCAGCCGAGTAGCACACGAGAACAAAACAAAAGTGGAAACCTGGCTAACACAAAGAAACTGCTGCAAGAGACTCTCCGCTCTGTCGATATCGTCTATGAGCCATAGCCAAGAGGGTTTCTTCACGCAAGCACAATAGAATGAAAGGGAAGTCATAAATGAGAAAAATACACTCTCTGCCCCTTGCTTGCCCTCGCCATGTCAGAAGAGCAGGGAAACTGGAAAAGAAAAATTAAGAAGAAAAAAAAAATAAGTCTATCGATCAATCAACCCATCAATGGCATCGTTCCGTGGTTATGCATGCAGGAACGAAAGGACTCCCGAGGTAGCAGAACTTCGTGAGGTTGGAGAGTAAAATGACACGGGAGACGGTCGAGATGGGAGTCGGAGGGGGAACTTGCACGTTGCAGACGTCGTCAAAGATCTGGGTATGTATGGTGAACGAATATGCCAAGAGAAGACAAAAGAAGAAGAGAAAACCCATCCCGGTGCATCGGTTATGAGCATCAATAATATGGCAGGCAGGCTTGATCGGCGGACTTTTTGCAATGCACCCATTTTCGTTAATGCAAACGTATAGTCAAGCGGAGCAGCCTATTTAAAAGGGGAATCCTCCAGGGAATCCACCTCCGCGCTGGCCACCGGCCTGAGCGAAGCCACCACCACCGTTCATCATGTTGAAGAGCACGCTGGGGTCAATGTTGATATGGGTACCGCCCATACCTCCCATGCCGCCCATACCGCCCATGCCTCCCATGCCTCCGAAGCCGTGCATGCCTCCCATGCCGCCACGAGCGAACATGTCAGACGGGTCAATGAGATCGTCACCGTTGTCGTAAGAGGCGCGCTTCCTGGTCAAAGTTGTTAGCCTCCGAAGATTTTTCAAAAGAACAAATGGAAACAACGTACTGAGGGTCAATCAGAGTCTCATAAGCCTCGCCAATCTCCTTAAACTTCTCCTCGCCCGTGGGGTCATCACGGTTCTTATCCGGGTGGTATTGAATGGCCATCTTGCGGTAGGCCTTCTTGATCTCCTGCTCGGAGGCATCCTTGGACACCCCGAGGATCTTGTAGTAGTCCTTGCGCTGTGCCTTCTTCAATTCGAACTCGGCCTTGCGGATCTCCTCCTGAATACCCTTCTCCATGGGGTTCGTCTCGGCCACGGCTTTGTAGTCGCGCACCGCTTCTTCCCAGTTGCCAGCGCCGCCGTGGGCCTTGGCACGGATCTTCTGCGCCTTAACGTAGCTGGGGTCCAAGCGGAGAGCCTCCGTGCAGTCGTTGACTGCATTGTCGTATTCCTTCAGGTTGATGTAAGCCTGGGCGCGGTTTTGCAGGATCTTGGCGTTCTGATCCTTGTTCTTGGGGTCGACCTGAACCGCCTCCGACCACAGCTCGATGGCCTTGCGGTAATCCTTGGCCTTGAAGGCCGTGTTACCCTCTTCCTTGGTGCGCGTCAACTTCTGCACCGTGCGCAGCATCTTGATGGCAGCCTTCATGTCGGGATCGAGGCCCAAGCACATCTTGAGCAGCTTCAAGGCCTGATCGGTGTCGCCCATGCCGTAGAACGCGCGGGCGCGGATCAGCATCGCGTCAGGATCCTGGCTGTTATCGCGCAACATGCCAATGGCAATATCCTGGGCCTTGCCAAACGAGTTGTCATTACCCATACGCAAATGCGCCTCGGCCGTCATCAACGTCCACTTGCGGGGCTCCTTGACACCCTGGCCGAGCATCTGACGCGCCTGGTCCAAGCAGAACAGCACCATTGACACCCCACGGTCCTCCGCCAAAGCCTCCTCGGCCTGCTTCACGAACCGGAGCATCTTCTCGGCGGGAGCCTTGTCGGTAGCGGAAGCGGGGGGCTCGACGCGGGAGAGCACCTCGAGGGCTTCCGTCGGACGACCCAGGCTGACCAGAATGCGGGCGTGACGGTACATCAGCTTGGTGTTAGTAGGGTCGAGCTCGCGGGCGCGCTCACAGTCCTCCAGAGCGGCTAGGTACTGATTAGCGGCCATGTAGGCGGCCGCGCGGTTGGACAGATAGACGGACGAGTTAGGGCTGATCTCCAGGGCTGTCGGATGTTACTAATGCATCTTGTAATGATAGCACAGGGCCAAATGCGAGAAAACATACCCTTGTTGAATTCCTCAATCGCTCGCGTGTAGTTCCCATCCTTGAAGAATTTGTTACCGGCCAGCTTGAAATTATCGGCCTCGGCCGTATCGCCGTTGGACTTGTGCGGAGGCGGCGTGGGGGTTCGTTCTGGCTTGCCATTGACGCCATTGGTGTCGACATCCATGGGAGTACGGGATTCTTCGCGAGCAGCAGCCATTGCGGAGAGTTGACGGAGTTCGTCGGGGTGAAGATTGAGCGGGTGGAAATTAGGGTCGTGGGTGTATCGATGCCGGACGGCAGACAGCGACGCACGAGGACCAGAGACTGACTTGGCTCGAGCGGAGGTCGACTTGGAGGGGGTGGAGGAAGAGCGACTGTGGTGAGTCGAACGGGAAGTGGTGGGCTTGCGCGGAATGGAAGGGTGCTGAGTCGGGGCTGGCACCGACGACGACTGCGCTGTACGTGTGGATGAGACGGGATGCGACGACGCTGGGGAAGATGTGTGTCGCGAGGAAGAGGACGAGTGAACCGTCTTTGCCCGAAGAGGAGGAGGAGGAGGTCGAGTGGAATGAGAAGTTGAAGAAGGAGGAGGAGGGGGAGTGGGAAAAGATTTGGTCGCCACCGGCGGAGGAGGGGGAGGAGACGAGGCGGGGGTCGAGAGGGGAGTGGATCGGGTGGACGTCGCCGCAGAGGAGGACGGGAAGGAGGAAAAGGAAGAAGAGGTGGACAAAGGAGAATTGGGGGAAGGAGAAGAAGAGGAGGAGGAGGAAGAAGAAGAGGAAGAGGAAGAGGAAGTCTTGGTTGGCTTGGATTTGGAATGTGAGGATGATTTGTGACGAGAGAAAAGATGCGGAAGACCCATGGTGGAAGTGGCCGTGATTGGTGGAGCCCGGCGGAGGTGTCGAAGGGGAACGAAGGCGGTGGAAGAAGAAGAAAGAAGAGTAAGACGCGGTCAACAACAACAATAACAATAATTAATGGTGATGATGATGATGATGTTGATGATGTTGATGATGATGGTGATGATGGTGATGATGATGGGGATTGTGATGGAATAATCTCACTTTCTGCCCACCCACAACCACAACACCACACAACACTTTCTCCCGACTAACTCTTTCACCGCAGTTCTTTCTCCTCTGTACGGAACTTCTCTCAACTGGCTGCTGACTCACTCCAGAAATTAAGTGGGGCAAAATACCTCTCTTATCAGCAACAAAAAACCCAGAGAGACGAACAACAACAGATCAACACTGCAATGCACAACACAACAACAGCAACAGGAATAATAGATTTCAGGTGCAGCAGGAAACCAGAGCAGCAAAAAGGAGAATCCAAGAGCATTTCAAATAACCTAACTGACCCGCTGTCACCAGCTGTCAAGTCCCCAACTCTTTATGGAGTCCACCCACCCGCCATAATTCCGGGGGCTGGACAAACCCTGGCCAATATTTCTCTTCGCACGCGCTGGTCTCGTTCCTCGCCTCGTCATGCTCCCTTCCCCCCCCCCCCTCTCCTTCTCCATTAAACAGAAATCTCTAGTCTAGTGTACGGTTTTCAAGCTAGCGAAGCAAGCAATCAACATGTTTCCATTCGTTTCTATCTGGGGTGCTTGTCACTATCACTGAAATGGACAGTCTGGCCGATAGACAAAGTCTCTCCTACAGTTCGTCCGGACGGCACTAACCAACAAAAGTACTCTTCTTCTAATTTCCTTGGACCCGTTGGGATCTGCCTCTTCCTCAATCGGTCACCTTTTCTCTCCTTAAAATACTTGGGAAAGGCTCAAGCTTCTTCTGCCCGTCAACACCAGCCCAATCCAGGTCTGTGCGCGCCAATCAAGGTTCGATGATCACTTTAGACCCGTAGCTCATTGATCGCAAGCTACCTGGCAGCGGACTCAGTAGTTAGTCTCAGTAGCCACCTCTTGCTTGACCACAGTAGGCGCTACCCCAGACTGCGGCAAACCATCCCCTCCCAGCAAAGTCCTCAACTGCAAGTCGATTTCGACATCATGCACGAGTCTGCGAACCCGAGCTTTCAAGCACGCCTGTTTTTCTGAGCAACGCTGAAGGTAGGGCGCTATTAGGGCATCATGGTAAATCCGACCAATCTTCTGCACTTGTCTATTCACCAGACTTTCTATGTTATCTTTTATCTGGCGCACTAAGTCTTCAAGTGACTGCTCGAGTTCATTCGTAGCTTCTCGAAACACGCGAGGACCCTGCTTTTCAGCATGCTTGGACATCGTTGCGCGAACCGCTTGCAGGGTGCCGACTCCTATTTCGAGCTGATCAGTCACTGTGCCTGTTGCCGCCGCTTGAACGTCTAGTACTTACCTCTATGCTGAACGCACGCTTCATAGGTTTCTTGCAGGCCCGCAGCAACACTTTCTTCAAACCGGTCCTTCACCTTCCGTGCCGCCGTCTTTGTCCAATCTTGGAGTTGCTGTACCTGGTCTCTCATCGACGCATGGAGAATAACTAGTCCGCACTGTAGTTGCTGGCGTGTGGCCCGGGGCAGCTCCCATTGTGCTGAATGGATGGCTTCAGAATGGAAGTGACCGAGGGCATCTTCCGCATCTTCACACAGCTGCTTGAACAACTCGGGCAACATTCGGAGAAACGCCCTAGAGTAGAGTTAAGTTATCCTGCATTGAGTTTTGTGTGCACTGTCGACCTACTTGCGCCATCCGGGCTTGAATTTGGCTACCACCAGGAGCGCTCTAACGCAGGGTCAGTGCCACCAGTTTCTTGAAACGCAGAACCCTCCCTTACACATCGTTATTTATGTTCTAGATGCTCGTTAGTTTTCCTCGTTCGCCGCGTCTGCGAAAGAAGTCCGAAGAAACTTACGTGTTGCTTGTAAATGCCCTGGCGGCGACAGATTGCTTGGTAAGTGTTATAACGAAACCCCGGTTTATCAGCAGCACCATTCCAGCCTGCAACCATGGGGGAAAGCTCCTCGTAACCGTGCTGCCATGCTTGGTCTGACTTGTTAGTTAGACGTGCATCATTCAATCTGAAGACTTACCCAGCTTCTCGATGACCATGTCTTGGATAATTATCCGACTAACAGAGATAACACGGTTCCGGACCTTCTTCATGGTCTAGAGAGGTCAGTATCAGCTGCCCTAAATAAGCCATTCATCAAAACCTACATCCGTAAATTTTTTCATAGCGCCATTGAACTCTGCCTCGATCTCCAACCTTTTCGGTTCCGAAATTGCTGCTACTTCCGCCGCAGCGGACGACCAAAGTGTCATGGATTGGAGCAGCAGATTCAGCGCCACCAAGAAACGTCGTGCGACACTCTCCCGGGCTTTACAAGTCAGGGCAACGCAATAGCGCTGCAAAGCAGGAATCTCCGTTTGCTCCAAATGCGAGAACCCACGAACCCGGGTCTCAACTTCGGGGCGGCCGCGGAGTGCTTGGTAAGCTCTAGGAGACACACAGAACACAGAAAGATTTCGCTCCAGTTCACTGTAGTCGCGACGATGCGGGGTTTGGGGCATACTTCCACTACTCTGCTCGTCTTCTAGATCCAAGTCCGCGATGGTTTGAGCGAAGTCACGTTTGATTTCAGACTTCGAAAATTCGTTCCGCGCCTCGATGCAGAACCGAAGATCATTGAATTCGCTGTTTTGTTTCTTGATGCCCAGCAGCTCGATCTCTTCCTTGGTTTTGGCAATATACTGCTCGATGTTGCGTCGCTGGTTGTCAAGATCTTTTCGCTGGGTTTTCAATTTACGCAGCTGGCGCCGCAGCTCTTGAAGCTCGTCCTCGTCTTCGCCTTCAATATTGTCGGAAAGAGTCATGTTTGATACACTTGCTTCGGGAGTCGCTTCACCGAAGTTAGTCCTCTTGCGCCTTTGGGGGGTACGCACAGGTTCCGCAAGATTGCTTCCTTTTTCTTCCAATTCACAGACTTCTTCGTAGATGGCATAACATTTTGAATGTATCTGTCTCTGCAATTCTTCGTGCACCTGAAGTTCCGAACGCAGAGACTCGAGCTTCTCCGAACATGCTCCCATATCCTCGTCCATGGACGGTAGGTCGAGCTCCAGAGATCGCACAACTTCAGCCGGAACTATGTCATCGGTCTTGGTACAGATAAAGGTTATGTCATTAAAAGCACCGTCCATATGCATTTGCGTCTTGAAATTCTTCCCCAACAGATCATGAGCCACTTTGTCGTCGACTGCTCTATTGATAGGTGCCACGATCCAGTGTGCTGAACATTGCTTCATGTACTCGCTGGCCACTGCAACGCGCGCTGCATTGGAATCGAAGACCCCTGGAAGATCAACGAGAATGGCTCCAGTCGACAAAGCCTCAGATGTGACGAAGACTCGAACCACACGGACGAGAGGCCAGAGTCCAATGCCTCTGTCCGCCGATTCCTCGTCTCCTGCCAATTCTGTTCGCGCCGAAGAAGCGGCGTTTTTGCTCGAAACCTTGGGCCGGCCCCTCTTCTTGCCCTTGCTGTCGATGTATGACTTGAGCCCCTCGGAGAAAGTTTTGGAGTGATTGTCTTCGATCTCGATTTTCTGGCCCAGCAGATCGGAGACTCGTTCGTCCTCGAGAAGCTTGCACGGCGAGGTCTCGAGAAGGGTTCGCCGCTTCAGGTTTGGGTATACAGCCATGATTTTGTCCAAGGCAACTGCTGCCTCGGGATCCTTCGGCTTCTCGTCACGAGCTAGTTCGTCGGAATGGTCGCGAAGGTCTGCAAACAGGATTTTCAACTCTCGTTCCCAGTCTTTATGGTCAATGAACTGGACTTCCGCTTTGTATCGACTTTCGCCATGATTGTAGGAGACTTCGATCGGGACGGCCGTGGATGCGCGCATACAGTCCGTAGTCAAAACACCCTTCTCATCAATGAGCGCGTTGATCAATGACGACTTCCCGGCGCCAGTGCTTCCGACGATGCCAATAACAACCTTCTCCGTCCGAGCTTTCAGGATAGTTTGCTCAATTTCAGCTATCCAGTCGGTTTCAGTCTTCCAGTCTTCAGATCCGCTGAAAACCTTTCCCAAGATTGTCAGAACTTTGAGACCTTTAGCCACAGCCGATTCAAGCGCTTCAATCTTCTGGTTTCGTATGTCACCGATACTGTACAACTGCTCCTCTGAGACTGCTCTTCCGGTTGCACCGGCTGGTACAGGGCTGGTGACAGCAACGGCAGTCCCTTCTTCTTCGACTTGCTCTGAGCGCGACCCGGGCACACTCTCGGGGCTCAACAACATTTGCACTGATGATCCAAACACATCCGCTTGAGACACATGTTAGCATGACTACCACCGTTCGATGAAGCGAAGGGCAAAGACTACAACGGAATGAAGCACTTACTCGGAATTGACAGGGCAGTTTCCGCTCTATTAGGGTCCAGTTCCGCATAACATCTTGCGTAGAGCGCAGTCGCGAATTCAGCATGGTCCACCTGGGCCCGCCTGTACTGATCCAAAGAAGCCAGCTCAAGAGCTCGCTCTAAGTACAGAGCTCGAACGTCATTTTGTGCGGCTGTCCATTCCAGCACGAGATCGGGGTCTGCGGGTGCTGCGTCATATCTGTTAGACTATTCATTGACTTGGTACATAGAAAGGTTGGAAAATCTACCATTCTTTTGATCTCCTCGGCGGTGAACTCTGCGAGCCGTCTGCTCAGCAACGTAATGTATCTTAGCCAGGTGGTTCGTCAAGTCGACTTTATCCGGCTCCGACAAGATGGCAGCCAGATCCATGGTCTCTTGCAAGAGGCACAGAAGCCAACTTTTTCAGCCGCACCCCAAGAACTAGGAGAACAGATGAAGCAAGCAGACGTATTTGAGGTTGTTTAGACGATCGGTTTCCGCAAATGAACTGTGGTGATGAGCAGTAATGACGGGGAATGAAGTGTCGAAAGAGAGTAACGAGATAGGTTGAGGGTTGAGGTTGATGAGATGGATAGACGAAAGAGAATTCGAGTTGAAGGAGAAGGAAAGGTGAGATCAGAGTGCAGGAAATACGACGGCGCATCGCCCGAGTAAAATACATGATTTTCACTGCCAGTTATTGTGTTATGATGCCAGAGGGGGGAGGCAGTCACCCAGCAACCATACAAACCTCGGTGTGTTAGTCGCTCCATAACACGGAGTCGATAAGCGTATATCGGCCAAAAAGTGAATAATATCTCAATCATACATAAGAACTACTACAATCAAAAGATAGTCGTCGGCAATAGTAATTAGAGGTAAGTAAAAGTTGCTGAGATAAACCAAGACTAAGTCAGAAACAGTGGGTATCGTCGCTTTCTGATGCAGTAACTGTGGCCAAGATGACAAGGAAGATAACCAAGGTACAGATAGATGAACTCCAATAGCACAAATCCAATGTTCAGAAGTTCCAGTCATCATTCCAACGCAAGATGAGATAGAGTATCACTAAGATGTCTTCCTCAGCCTGAAAGAGCCTGGATGGCCCTTCTGCGAGCCACGGCTGACCAGCGTGACCTCCGGCCACTGCCGTCTGCCCTTGCTCGATCGGAAAATGGAGCGAAAGGTCGATCGTAGACGTGTTGTTCATATGGCGGAGGTTGATCGGGGTAGTCCGAGTCTGAAGCGTAGCCATCGAACACTGATGGGTACGATGGGTGCGCAGCACTGCGAGTAGAACTGTGCATCGGGCGAGGAGTCAACGGAGAAAGATATGGTGCCGATGACGAAGACGAGCAAGGTTTGAGGACCCAGAGTGCTTCCGACTCAAGCCAGATGAGCTGGCTGGCCTGTTGGACGGGTGGTTCGCGAGGAAGGGGGCCGGTGCTGTGAGTGGGCTGCAAAGTGAGGTCTGTCATGCTCCTGCTCCGCGAAGCCCATGGAGAATAGGCGAAGGATGACGCCGGTGGAGGAGGAGGCAGGTTGAGACTTGGATAGAGTGATGTCGGTGACCTGGCTTCATGTGGACTAGATATGTCCAGGTCCCCTGTTGAGACGATTCTGGAATGACAGCGGCGACAGACACGAGGACTCTGTTCGTGGGTTGCAGATGAATGGTAATCTGCCTTTGGCCGGGGAGAGTCACATGCAGAGGCAGGATGACGAGGTAGTGCGCTAGCCAATCCAGTATCGATGCGGATACGTGGATCAGTCATGATGTCTTTTGAGCTCTCCATTGAGACAGTGAAGCGGAAATCCGCAATAGGAGGGCCTTCTAGCGATGAGAGATCCATTTGTTTCAGTTGTGCCTGTGGGATACGTCTCCCACAGATAAAAGTATAAAAGTCAGGCAAGGAACAAGCAGGAGAGAAACCCCAATAGCAAGAGATTCATCCACAGGACCCTCGGGTGGTACGAGTAGATGTCGGAAGAATGTAAAGCGGAGGGGAATACGAGGGAGACAGGCATGGGAGAAATCGGACAGCAAAAGTGCACAAGGACGACCATGCTGTCATTTAATAGACATCACGTTGGAGGCGGAGTCCACAGCATCATGACACCGAGCATCCTGCTCAACTTTCCCAGGTGCACGGTCATGTTTAATTTCTTTGACCGACATCACAACAAAGCAAAGAAGTCAGATGAAACGAGACTACCAACAAGGCCAGTCCACACCGGAAAGCCTTACTTGCGCCTCATTGTGGGCTCGCCAGAATCCGAGCTATCTGGGTCCGATGGAGAGCAGCGGTGGATCAGACTGCTCATGAACAGGTCGGAAAGGATCGAACGATCTCATTCTGTTGGCGGAGGAGACTCGGGTCGCCCGGCTGGTGTTCGCCTTGGTATGGAAACCAGCCAGGAATCCGATCCGTTGGAAGCCTTTTGCCCCCGCTACTGTAGGATCTCCCTGTTTGCCCTATAACTCCCAATTCCAGGCCTATGGGGAATGATCCATCGCTGGTGGGGAGAGGCGGCGCAGAGCAGCAGGATTTTGGGGGGGAGGGGGTGGTTAAGTGGAGAGTGCACTCTATGCTGTGTGAGGTGCAACCACTATGCCTAAAGCAGAACGCGGGGGCGCCGATAAAAGCATGGTTGTCTGCATGAAGGCGACATTCATGGACTGCAGAGGCCATGGCAAGGAGCTCATGTTTCGAAAATCAGAGCTCCAAAAGGGTTTTGAGAAGCGAGGGCTGCGTGATGGCCGCAGGAGTTGGTGTGTTGGTGAGAAGTCAATGGGTCGCAACACTGCCACATCCTTTGTTGTCCGAGCTGTGAGCTGTGTCCGCTCTGCATTACGGCGGGAAACGACCATTCATTTGGGTACTTCGACTCCAGTTGGATTCCTCCACCCCACGGAAGGATGATAATTTGAAGTCGTCATTTCGTGTGTCTGTGTTGGGAGGAGCAACCGTACGAGGTAGACGCAAGTAAAGAGAGACTTGTTGGAGGATGTCGTTGTCAAACAGACACCATATTGGAGGAAAAGAAGGATGCAGAGACGGGCCGAGAACACAGCAGACACATGACCAGTTACGGTAAGTTAGCGGAATCGGAGTATGTAACTTAGTAGTCAGCAACTAAGAGCGACGACAACAACAACAACAACAACAACAACAACAAAACACAGCCACCTTCTGAAGACCTCCCCTCATCATCCTGAAAATAAACATCATTGACCCCCTTTTCTTCAGAATGCTTCTAGAAACCAACCCCCCAACAATCATTCCAACTAAAGGCCCACGATAGGGCTGACGGTGACAGGATCGACCAGATGAAGTCACTGGCACAGCGCCTTGGGAATCCCACTACTTACCCAGTCGATTCGGGCATATAAAACGAGCCACTGTAGTGGGCACGCTGGGAAGTGTTGCCCTTCTGGAGGCTCAACTGAACCTTCTCTGTCTCTTTCTCGGTCACTTCAGCCGTATGTTGAGTGGTTTGGCGGTGGACAGGACCAGAGTCTCGCCAATGAAACGCACCGCATCATCATCGGATCAGACCCGGTCGCCGATTGATTGAAGGATTGGGTGTGAAACCACCCCCCCCCCCCTCCCCAAACTGCTGCGGCCCCCAACTGCACCCATGCACACTCACCCACTCTCTCGTCTTCAGAGTCAGCCCCTTTGATCAGCCTGTCCTTGCGTGCGGAGTATGCAGATGCATCGAACACGTCGAATCTTTAATTAGTAGTATATTACATGCGGCTGACCGAGGCAGTTGGTGGCAGGGTCGCCGTGGACGGGCTGGCCTGGGCATAAGTAGTTAAGCAGTCACAAAGTCTCCATTCAAGTTGAGATTCTGAGTGATCAAGAGACCGATGCAGGAGTTTGAGTGCAATGGAGTAGAAGGGTAAAAAAAGTAGCATTGGTAAAGTAATCTATTACTGCTTCAGATTTGGGTATGTGAAAGCAATTCATGGGTTACATTAGTCGTATCCAGCCACCAAAAAGGCTTCCCTGCACTCCCCAAGGCGTTCCAGGAAGCATGTAGAGAGAAAGTTAGAAGGGGCAAAGAGCAGATAAAAAAGAGAGAAAAAAAAGAAAAGGATATTTCAAGCAACGAATCGGATTTCTCTCCCAGAAAGCAAAACCTCGACACTAATTATGGCACAAACCCCGACTCTCTTCATTCATTGGCACGCGTCCTTATTTACTGACTTTCCCCGCCCGTAGTTTGACGGCCGGACTCTCGCGAAGGACCCCGGGGGTATACTATGGACAAGAATGGGGAATCTAAGCAAGGAAAAGAGCGGCGACGGCGGCGGCACCAGCGAAGGCGAAAGAGTTGCCGTTGATGGCGCTGGCGGCACCGGTGAAGAGAGCAGCAGAGGGGGAGGGGCTGTGTACTTGGTTAGCGTCTGTTTCATCTGCAGGCCCCGAGGCCAAAAGGGAATTACTCACGTAGCGCTGCCGCTGGGGTAACCGCTGCCGATGGCGGCGGCACCGCTGGGGATCAGAGCAGCGGACTTGGAGGGCTTGCCGCTGCCGGGCTTGCCAGGAAGGCCAGTGGCACCAGCACCGAGAGTGACGGTGGAGTAGGTGACGGTGGGCACGCAGGTGGTCACAGCGATGACAGTAACGGAGTTGCTGGCAGCAGCGGGGGGAGCACCACCAGCAGTCTCGGCAGAGGCACCGGAGGGAACAACAGCGGGAGCCGAGGGAGCGGAGCCGGCACCGCTAGCGGACGAGCCACCGGCGGGGGAGCTGCCAGCAGGAGCCTGGGGAGCAGCGGTGGCACCAACGGCGGAAGCACCCTCAGGGACGGAGGAGGTAGACTGCTCAGGGACGGAGGAAGCAACCTCGGGAACGGAGGTGGTGGTAGCCACGGGCGAGGCACCCTCAGTGGTGGTAGCAGCGACAGCCTCGGGGGTGGAGGTCGAGTGGACACGTCCGGGGCAGTTGGTGACGGTGGGAGCGCAAGAGATGATGGTCACATCCTCAGTCTGGTAGACGGTCTCGACATCCTGGGGGATGGCAGCAACGAGGCTGGCGAAGAGGGCAACGGTGGCAACGGAGAAACGCATTTTGATTGTTGTGTGGTGATGAATCTAAACCGTCAAGGTCGATAGATTGGAGTTTATTTGGAGGTAAGGATTGGTAAAGAGAGTGTGGACAGTTGGGTGGTGTGTAAAAGAGTGGCAGACCGAAGTCAAGAGGTTTGTTGCTTCAAGCAGTTTGAATCTGGAAAGAGAAACAGAGAAGGAATCAAGAAGAACTGGAGCAGAAGGAGGGGGAGATGAGAGCCTTTGTATCATCCGGGAGATTAACCTGGAGATCGTTTCAGGGCCAAAAAGGGGAGAAGCGGGCTGCAGGCGAGTGGAGAGAACCCAACTTGCGTCTAACTAAAGTCTTGGTGATGTCTGGTGTTTGGCCCTTGGGGCACCGCGGGTGTGTGAGAATGTACCTGGCACAGTGAATGGTAGTCCAGTAGGACAGTTCCATTGAGTATAGGACAAACTAGTTCGAGTCTAGTAACAGTGATACTGAAACCGCATAGGTAGTTTAGGGGTCAATGATGGGTCCGCCCTCTTTTTTTTTTTTCTTTTTCTTTTTTTTTTTGTGTCTGTTCTCTGGCCCTCGTGGGATAATTTCACAGTTAGTCCCTGTGCCCAGTGTTCAGTCCAAGCGCGGGCGGTTCTGTATGATAGATCGGTTGTTCAATTGCTTCTTTTGACCTTGTCGACTTCCCTATTTAGTTGGATCTTCTACACATGGGGTCTTTTAGTTTCCCTAGTATCACAGTAGTGAGATACTGCGCAAGTCTCAGGTCAGGGTCAAAGTATAGCACGACCACCTATAGCCCGGTGATCCAACCCTAGTTTCAGCAGGAATCCGTACCTGCATATGTCTGCAAGCAGGTACCCTTCTGTTGTAAAACTCCTCCACAATTCAAGCTCTACAGAAGGTGTCATGAGTTGTGTGCAGTTGCCTACCTACCAAAACGAGCGTGGAAACCCGAGACACCAAGAAAAAGTGGCAGCATGAATTGAATTGAATGAGATTCAGGGGCAGCAACTCAATTACTGAGCCACAGCACGTTTGGAGGCCCCGCTTTAACTGGTGTTTCACCCGTCCCCTTCAGGCCCAATCATCGCGCCTTAATGAAGTGGATCACTGGAGGGGACTGTCCCTGGCGCCACCGACCATTCACCATCTTGGCTGTCATCCCGCTGTGGCTCGCTTCCCCGCTGTGCTCCCAATCATGAATCTTCCAGTGGCCAGCACAGTGGAGTCCCTCATTGCCCCTGTCTCGCTCCGACCGAGGTGAAGGTCGGATGGTTGTGCTTGTTTTCGAAAGGAAAGAAGAATCAATAGTCAGGTCGACTAGACTTAGGAAGCGGACTACCGAGTCAGAGACGGAAAGTAAGACAAACTATGAATAGTCAAGTTAGTTCTATCCTATTTTTTTGCTCAGGATTGATGCTCCAGAGGGTACTCTGTCGTCTGTCAACAATTTCACAGTAGCAGTCCTCGGGAATTTGCCGACCAGAGTCGATGCCGCTCTGATCTTGATCATAGCGTTCAGCGTACGGAGTACCTTCCTTAGTGAAAACCCTTGCGACTGGTTTGGGACCTTGAAACGGCTTGCATTCCATTCTATCGATCCCCCATGCATGTTTCTGCGTGCGACGTCACCCTGTCTCCTTAACTGTCGCTGGTAGTTCACTATGCAGGCCTTTTGAGTCTCATTTCACCACAAATAAATCCAGCTTCTCTCCAGTGGCCGCTAGCCCCCATCGAAACGAACAAGTTCAGAGTCTCGCTCAGCGCCACAGTCGTCCTCATTGATTGCTTAATCTAATTCTAATAATCGCTAATCAAGATTCGGCTAGCCCCAAAGATGTGAGAGGGGGAATCCCTTTCGGTCTGTCTTTTGACTTTTGTCCCCATGGAGCCGACAAAGCGATGGGATGGGCAGACGATGTGTGCGTATCCAGATCGATGAGGTGGGTGAAACGCGGCAGAGAGCCGGAAAAAACGATGCAGTGATGGATGAGATAAAAGACGCAGAACCTAGTCAGTTCGTACCTACAGCAACTGCATGCAGAAAGCGTGATGGCGCAATCGAGACTCTTCGTTTCAACTGGGGGGAAAGGAAAGCGTTCGGAGCTGGGAGTTGCAGATGGTTAGCCGCCCTGATGCAGCGATCGCCTGCTGCGCGGGCGGCTAGCATGATGGGGTACAATCCTCAACTCTGTTGTAAGAGGGCGGGTAACGAGCATCCACACGCACATACACACACACGCACACACACACACATACACACACTTTAAACTATCATCGGCGAACTATTGGAACCCTCTTTTTTCGCTATTAAAAGCTCAGACGGGCGGTCGTTGGGGAACATGTAATGATCATTTCCAAGGATTTCACCCCCAACCCTAATCCATTGCGACACGGGTGCTTTTTTTAGGAGAACCCGCTGCGATAGACAGTGAGATAGTCAGATGGAAAAAGGGGGCCAAGATGAGGTGCCAACTTGGGTGTGAAGATGTTTCCTGGTTTCGCAACGCATTAGGAGCTTACTATCGAAAACAGTGGACAGCGGACAATTCTTGAACCCGTGGTGGCAGCAGAACCATTAACTACTAGTATGCAGCGAACATAGCGTCAGGAGAATCCCAATATCAAGTTCGACCGGGAAAAGGGGAAAGCGGAGATCACAAGGAGAAGAGCCTGATCACTACGGAGTATAAAATGCTAGCATGCCCTTCAAGCACATGTTCAACTACTTTTCTCTGACAATACAGCAAAGCTCTTCGTTAATTGTGTTCAAGTGCCGATGCTGGTTGAGGTTTGCTCCACCGATCAACAGGGGGGGGGGGGGACCGAACAGGCAATCAATCGGCTGCGATGTACAACTTGAGATTCACCGGCGTGAAATCTGGTCTTTACCCCGGGTTTCTGGTTGATGAGTGAAGGTGCTCGAGGAGTAGTAGCTTGGGTGGAGTTGAGCGCATTGGCCTACCGTGGTTATGGGATGTGGTTATTGTCCACCATCCTCGTCATCGTCAGAAACATGTAGTCATAATCAGTAACCGAGACTCCACTGATGGTCAGGGTTTGACACGGCGCCGATGATCACTGACGCTGATTCAAAAAGATGTATTCGGATCTGTGTGGGAGAGGGAACCTCTTCAAGCGAGGATCGTCCACGCCGCGCGTCTACCGCAAGATCTTTCTGTGTGCAGTCAAGCCACCCACGACTCAGCGATAGTGACTTACGTATGAGAAGGGAATCTGACTACGCAGTATCTTCACCGTGATTTACATACGGAGTATAGTATGGTAAAGAGTAGTAATGACGCGATGCATGGCTGCTGCATAACCCGGGAACAAGCCTTGCCGGTTGGCGCGCATGGCTCGTAGGGCTACACTAGTTGTATCGATAAAGGGGAACCGAGCAGTGCTTCGCTCCTGGGATTCAGGGTTGGGGGGTCGAAGCCACAGACAGGGTGTGAGAACATCCATTGCAGTGCAGCTTTCCCCAAACTGTTGCCCTGCTACCGTAGATTGGCCCCTGCTACACTGGGTCTTTGCCAACAATCACTATGGCGGTGCAAAATGGCGGATGCTATTTTAAACCGGCTCAGAAGTGGGTCTGGAGCGTTTGTGGCTGCTTTCCCGTTATACTTACTTGCTGGTGGTGGCTTCGGAGAAATCGCGATGGTTTAAAAATAAAGACTGCCAGGGTGAAGGGGGAGCGAGTAAGCGTCACTGAGGAGATTGTCTGTGTGTCTATTCCACAAGGCTGAAGATGGCACGTGTCATGTTTAGACTTCATCTTAGGAAAATTCATCATACGGAGTAGTACCTGTAGCGCTCAGCACCATCAGGAACAGCAGCAGTAGCAGCATCATCATCATCATCATCACTACTACGACAACTAGAAGAATTGCTCCAATCAGAAGAATGAAAGAGAGAGCGCGCAAGATTATAGCCCCTCTCTCATTTACTAGCAAAGGTATATCTTGGAACGAGATGATGATGACTGGGGACGAGGGAGATGAATGATTAAGACGGAGCACAAGCACTGGCTGATGTAGATTGAAAGGTGGAGTTCCGGATGAAAGTACCGGATCGGATTGATGGAGCATCGCAACCCAGTCAGGAACAGGGCAGGCCAAGTACATACAAGTACTCTTGCGACTCAGGTTACTGGGTAGTTCGAAGTTCCATCAAAACCCTCGCTTCCACTCTATGCTGTCACCGAAGAACTGAAAAATGAGTTTTTTTCTCATGCCCGCAATTTCTTTTTTTTTTTTTTTTTTTTTTTTTTTTTTTTTTTTTTTTTCATGGATGGCTATGGATGCCCGACGCATCAGGCATCCATTAGACAATTGCTGATATTGATCAATATCACCCATTATTAGGCAGCTGGGGCTGATCTGGACTAGAGTTAATATTGGAAGTCGTTGATATCCACTGTAAACGTGAGATAGATGAAGTATCTATCTGAGCCAGTGAACCAGCTCCTTGGAAAGGACCACTTGAGTATATAAAAAGATCGCCAAGTGGACACGGAGCTGTCAAGAATAGTAGCAATTCTCCAGCGCCTTTTGAAACACTGCGGTTCCACCAGGTCGGACTCCCTCGCCTGTCATGAATCCATGCTATGATGTGACCATATTTAATCCTGGCTGCTAGCTGTCTGACTCTGAACTTTTTTGAGACTAAATCACTCTTGAACTACTGATACATATTTATTGTGTGGTTTTTCAATTCCATCATAATCAACTGCTGCGGCCAACTGACAGAAATCAGCCTCTTTTCCCCCTCCCTCCCTCCTCTCTCTCCTCTTTTCTTTTTCTTCATTTGTTCTTTCTGATAACTGACCTCCTCATAAAACCACTTACCTTCCATCGATTTAAAACCACTCTCTCACTCAGAAGCGATACAATTCGTCCTCACTCGCTTGATCACTAGTACTGCGAACATTCATTCGATGGCATCGCATGCAGTAGTGCATTGAACTTGATCAACAACCCCTCTCAGCCGCCGCCCGCCTGCGTAATTTAACCCCACGGCCTTCTTTGTTCCGACCACCACCAACCACTACAAACAACTTAACAGTATCCATTACCGACACCTTCTCCTCTTTCTCCTCTCTTCTTCAAGTCCTCCATCTCAAGCTGTCATAAAACTACCGAATCCAACTCCTTGTTTTCCTTCCCAGGCCTCCTCCCCCCTTTCTACACTCTTTTCAAAGTGTCCAACTCAAAGACCGCCGATCTGGCTACCTTGGCTGACCCCAACGAGTTGTTTCTGCCTGGTGAGAGGCAAAACAATCTCGCAATGTCATCCTCGCCAGTTCCCCTTCTCAAGCCACCCGTGCCGGGAAATCGCAGCAATGGCAGCAGTCCTCGTCCGCCGAAACTCACTCTGGGCATTCCTCCTTCTCCCAACGCTCGTCCTGTCACAGGAAACGGCGTTCCGGCCACTGTAGCGCCCCCGCCGACCGAGGTTCCTCAGCTGCAGCGTCCGGTTGCCCGCCCAGCTCCTCCCCAACTGCGCCTCGCTACTCCCATGGGTAGCAGTCAAGCCATTCCACAGGTCAAGCCTCGACCTGCTCCTCCTCCTCTGGCGACCACCGGCCTGAACGAACCGAATGGACATTCTCGAACGGGCAGTTTCACCTATCTCGACGGTAAGGCCAGTGGACCGGCCTCCGCATCTTCCTCCAATTATTCCGCTTTGTCTTTTGCTATGGGGCTCCGACAACCGCATGGCAGCACCCCCGATCCGTCATCCGCGATAAGTTCAGTTTATTCCGACCGGGAAGGAGGGGTATCAATGGAGCGGGACAACAGTGTGACCAACTTGATCCCGGATCTGGATAAGCTGAGTTTGGAGAAGGGCAGGCCCCTCGATGTGGATGATCTGGATGATGAGGGCTGGCTGGCGGCCAGTGAACAGAAGAAGATTGTGGAGCTTGGTAGTTTGGGTGAAGGAGCGGGTGGTGCTGTCACTCGGTGCAAGCTCAAGGAGGGAAAGACCGTCTTCGCTCTCAAGGTGAGCTTGGTCGCTGGGATGCAGCCATTCGGTGGATACTAAACGCTTCTCTAGATCATCACCACCGATCCCAATCCCGACGTCAAGAAACAGATCGTTCGAGAGCTTAATTTCAACAAGGACTGTGCCTCGGAACACATCTGTCGCTACTATGGTGCATTTATGGACAAATCCACGGGAACGATCTCGATTGCCATGGAGTTCTGCGAAGGCGGAAGCTTGGACAGTATTTACAAGGAAGTGAAGAAGCTGGGAGGCCGGACGGGTGAGAAGGTCCTGGGCAAGGTGGCTGAAGGTGTTCTGAACGGCTTGACCTATCTCCACAGCCGGAAGATCATCCACCGAGGTAAGCGCGCAAACAGCCATTTTCGTTTGTGGATCGGACATGTCTAACTGGGGATCTGCAGACATCAAGCCTTCAAACATCCTTCTTTGCCGAAACGGCCAAGTCAAGCTTTGTGATTTCGGCGTCAGCGGAGAGTTCGGTACCAAGGGCGATGCCAACACCTTCATCGGCACATCTTACTACATGGCGCCTGAGCGGATTACTGGACAATCGTACACGATCACATCCGATGTCTGGTCGTTAGGTGTGACTTTGCTTGAGGTTGCCCAGCATCGGTTCCCCTTCCCCGCTGATGGAACGGAAATGCAACCCCGGGCCGGCTTGATCGATCTTTTAACCTACATTGTCCGGCAACCGATTCCCAAGTTGAAAGACGAGCCGGATAACGGCATTCGTTGGTCGGACAACTTCAAATACTTCATTGAATGCTGGTATGTATTACTTGGTTCTTGTACGGAAGGCATCGCTGACCTCCTTGCCAGTTTGGAGAAAGAGCCCCCACGACGAGCGACCCCATGGCGGATGCTGGACCATCCCTGGATGCTGGACATGAAAAACAAAAAGGTCAACATGGCCAATTTTGTGAAGCAAGTGTGGGATTGGGCAGAGTAGGCAGCATCTACAGCAAGCAACTGGACCGCGGCGACTTTCCATTGCCCACCTCTCTTCCCATTGGACTGATTCTGCTACTCCTATTAATACGATCGCATATTACGGTCTCTCCTCTTGATGCTTACAAGTGGCTGGCCCTTGATTGACCAGGATGTCAACTGCATACGAATCTGTGATCATGACGACGCTCATTTTTGTTCTCATCCGTGCCCTGTCTATCCTTCCCTGGGACCATGGAGTTGGAGATGTTTTTCGCGACCCTTTCTGACTATCCTCGTCCGACATGATCACGCCTTTCCTTAATACAGATCCTTCTTCCCTTCCGCTGGTCCAGCCAGTGCCAAGGCAGCCTCGAATTCTCTATGCATTCTCGGTTTCTTTGCCCAGCAAGAACTCCATTCGCATTCTGCCAGCAACTCGATGTTGTTGATTTTCACTTTCTGCTTCACAAAAACGGGACTTTGTTTGGTTGCCCAGCGGTGCTGGCTTTCTTCTTCGTGCTCTGTGTGTTTCCATTTCTGTTTTTTCCTCTGCGTGTTCTACCATCTTGATTTCCCAGTTTGTCATCCTGCACGTGAGCGAATCCATCCATCCATACATCCATTTATACATGCATACATTCATACATACAATCCACAGAGAGTTCAAAGGCATTTCTATCACATACATTCCTGAAGGTCTTATTGTTCTGACTGTTTCGCTGTTTATTCTTTTTGTTTTTCGGTGATTTTTTGGGAACGGAAATCAGATCCGCCTATTGTGTACATCGCGATATTGGGCGTCTTTCATTTTGACTAAGCTGCGAACTTTATCCTCGTACGCAGTATATCGTCTGCTTCTAGTGTCGTATAGTTATCGGGTTAGCCTGTGCGTAACTGGCTATTGTAGGGCGAACGCAATCTGGTCTGATGGATACCGTACCATGCCCGTGACTTCCTGAGTCAGGCTCGTAAGTTGCCGTTTTGTTTCGTTCCATAGCCAGACCCGGCCGGACAAGCCTCTCCTTGTGATTGCATTAATCATGTACTCTCGGTAAATAACGTTCCAATAATCGAGAGCTTCCTGTTCACGCAAATTCGATTCGCTCTCAGGTCATTATTCCGTATCTACTTACCCGCAAGACCTCCTCCTTCTCCCCTTTCCCCTCACCCCGCCGTACCCAAAGGACAACCTTCGTACTGTGCTGTCCTGTCCTATACATCTCCAGAACATACCAAGCGAATGCCACTAAACCACACATGCCCATTACCATTGCAAAAGTCCTCTGCGCATCCATGATATAAGAACTTAGCTCAAAATAACCAGCACCTCAGCTCCACAGCGAAAACCATAAGTGGAAGTGTGAGAATAGTAAATTATATATACTAATAGAATAGTATAAAATGCAAAGAAATTTGACACATGCTATGCTTGCCCACGCTAACAATCAGCAAGAAGACACCAGAAACAACAAGACCCACCCCCCCCCCCACCCCCCCACCCCCATCATCCTACCCTATCATTATGGATAGAAACATACTCATACGGGAATCTCATTAGAAAAACGGCTAAGCGCCTGTGCCTTGATCTGTTCGCGGAAATCAAGAGCGGTTGACGGGCTGCGCGCCGAGCACCCAGCCTAGTCCACTGACTAGTCCGTCCGTCACCATGTTGCTGACGACGTCTCTTTTGCGGACGCGGTCGGAGGGGGTCCCGCCGGGTTCGTAGTTCTCCGCGGAGACGGCGGAGTCGGTGCGCGTGTGTGAGGAGCTGGCCGCTGCGGAGGGCGTGAAGCCGTTGTGGTGGGGTTGGGGGAACGAGGAGGCTGGTGAGGCAGTTTTGCTGGTTGCGGATGCTGCCGCTCGCAGCGGGAAGGCGTTCTTCTGCAGAGCCAGCGCTGCGCCCCGCGCGACTTCGAAAAGGCCCATGGGCGCTTCTTCGTGGTTGAGGCGGTGGTGCGAAGCGTGCGCGCGGGCGCGGCGGGCATGGTGCTGTCGGGTCTCCAGGGCGTCTTGTTCCGAGGAGTCGGCTGGCCCAAAGCCGCCGGGGAGGCTGTGCATGGTCAGAGAGGATGTGAGATCACCCTTGGTGTCCCAGATGTCCTCCTCTAACGATTCCTGCGTGCGGAGGTTGCTGAGTTCCTCGTCGCAGCGGCGCCAGGCACCCAAAATCTCGGGGAGCGGGTCTGGGTGATCGGACGGAACAAGGATAATGGCGAGAGAGAGGAGTTCCATTCGTTGGGTGAGGTGCGTGATCTGGGACTGCGTGCTGGGCGGGGTAGAGTTATTAGACGGTGGTGGGCGATACCGCCCGGCGGCATACACCGTCCGCCAGGTGATGTCGTCTGTAACCGTCGTGTCGGGCGTTTTGGGGGAAGATGTGGGTGTGAGCCTGGTAAGGATGTAGGAGTACGCTGTGCCAAAGTCATGAGAGGCGAGAGCGGAGTTAATGGCTAAAGACATGATGCGGCGTTCGGCGGTGAGGGTGGCGTCCTTCTCGGAGAGGGATTCTGAAATAGAAGACTCATGGTGATCGGAGAGTTGCGGGGAGAAACCGGCCGCGACGAGGTTGCGGCCTATAGCCAGTAGGTCGTCGACTTTGGTGTAGCTCTTAGGGTTCTGTTCAAGGACTTTCTCGACGAGGGAGAGAGGGTCGGAGTGCACACGGATGCTGACGGGTTGGAAGGGGACGCCGTGCTGTAAGGTGAGGGAGTAGAATGACAATGAGTGCGTTGCTGCAATGAGAGCGTTGATCTGCTTGAGAGCAAGTGAGTCTGGAAAGTGCGGCTGGAAGGCTTGAAGACTGGATGGCATTAGCGTTGATCAGCAATGGATAGAACCCGCGTTCAACTTACATCTCGTATGCTCGCTTCATTCCACCGCGGGTTCGATTGCCGTTGCTTGCATTATCATAGGCCGTGTAAATGGTCTCTTTGACAGCCTCCTCGACCTTGAGCGATGACAGGGTTGAGTTGGAGCCGAGGTAAATGTCGACGGCGAGTTGGTATTCTGTGCATATTAGTTACTATGCCGACAAATGGGATGAAGACAAGCGCTCACCTCTAACTTCAAGCAGCGCTTTCAATATCTCGGCTTCAATAACCTCCCGGTCGACCCTCCAAAAGATGCCATGGTAGGCAGGGCGGAAGTTATCCTCCTGAGATGTGTGTTGTGCGTCCCAATCGCGCAGCCAAAGTAGTTGCTGGCGGACTTTGCCCCAGTCTCGACCCGCCTTGCTTTGCCTGACCACGGATTGAACTACAGTGCGCATTTCGAGCAGTTGCGTGTCCAGATTGTTGTGTAAACAAAGATTTGCGGCTGTCCGGCAGGGCATCGGATGGCCCAATTCACTTAGCACTTGGAGAGAGACGCAAACAGCGCTGAGGAACGAGATGGAAGAAGCTGAGGGGCGAGTAAGTGGGTTTGTTGTCGTCAGAAGCGCATTCTGCATTAAAGAGATTCTCGAGGTAGACGAGATTTGCTCCGAGTCGTATACCACTGATGGGAGTTCTGCGTCGTCGGTCTTGAGCAACAACGACTGTTCTAGGTCCAAGAAACTGGCGATTCGGGCAAGAACTTTGATCGACCCTTCCAATGCGGCCGCGCTGACATCGGCATTTGCGTAGACAACCGCCAGCCCGGTCTGTCCGTAGCGCATCCGCAAGTCTTTCAGCTCGTCGCCTGTTAGACTAGGATCCTCCTCAGCATAGCCTCCAAGGTCGACATCCTCCGGGCCGTCCCAGTTTGTGAATGCGTTGACTGCGCTCTCATGGTCGACCAGACTGCGCGCCAGCAGCCACTCGTTGACCTGCTGCCATCCCACCCCAGCATTCGTCTTCGGGGTTATGTCGTCCTCAGGCAGAGCGAGGGTGTTCCGCTGTGCGGCTTCGTTAAGCTTCCGCCGCTTGGTCCTGTTACTGCCATACATCCAAGCACCCACCAGTCCGCGGAGATTCTGTACTAGATCCATGCTGGTCTTCGTATCGCCGGTCATCGAAAGCAGAACATTGATAGCGATACTGTTGTCCATAGACTCGAGGATCTCTAAAGAAAAGGTCTCGTCCTGGCTGGGATAATATTCATAATTCAGGCGAAGCAATGGCAATAGACTTGAAATCAGCCATGTGCGGAGAATGGGGGAGCGAGGGTAGAACGGCACGAGCAGGTCGAGGATGAGGGATTGGAGGGCGGTTTCTGAATCGATGCGATGAGCGCGGTGAATTAGGAATTGTGTCAACAAATCGGTAGAATCGTCGGTGTCCTCGTCATTGGGATGCCTCAAGGGCAACAAACGAACTTTCCGTACTCGTTTCTTTGCGATAGTATCAGTCAGATGTGATACAGCAGATGTATCAATCTCAGCAGTCGTAGCATTAATGTGTCCAGCGTCGACCAAGCTTTCGACGATAGGTGCGTATGTTTGGGGAGGGCAACTCTCGGGGAGAAAGGTTAGTATGATGCGCAAGAGGCGCTCGGTTGGCAGCCAGCGAGAGTATTGAGCTTGGAGTTGCGGTAAGCTGGAGACATCACCACTGACACAGAGATGAATAGATAAAAGAATCGCATGGGCACCTGAGATCCGAGAAGGACTGGCCATGGCGTATTAACAGAGCCCAAGATCAGCAATAATTGAGGAACTGGGAAAATAGAGGGTGATGTGTTCGCGAGGGAGGAGGAAAGACGTCAAGCCCGGGCACGGGCCACAACCTCCCGAGGTCGAAAGCAGAAACCAACCAATTGAACGGCAGGCGGTGGAAGAAAGAACCTCTTCGCGCATCACAAGTCAACCTCCGATCCGCTCCAGCCCAGTTCCCCCCCCCCCTCCCCTCCCTCCCTCTACGCTATTACTACGCCTCCACCCTTTCAGTCTCCTGCTCTTCACCTCCCTCAATCGCACAATGGCCTCCGGCTTCGGTAACAACGGCGGTACGTCACTTTCGCAGCTCGTGCTGCGGTCAATTGAGTTCCAGACCTTGGGTGGCTTCGCTGGCCATGATGCCCGCCTTGACAGCTTCGCTAACTTTACCTTCCTTTTCGCAGGTCCCTCCCGCTGCTACGCCTTCTGGCAAGAGGTTCTTGGTTGCTACGTCGTCAACTCGGCCGAGGGTGAGGTTGGCAAGAAGAAGTGCCTACCTGCCTTGGAGGATTACCACGAGTGCCTGCACCACAAGAAAGAGGTACGCTGGTCTCAATCAAATGGACTCGATCGCAGATGCTTCCCAGGATCTTTGAATAGTTGCCAATGGCTCTTGTAACTGACACACCTACTTTTATTTCAGATCATGCGGACGATGAAGATGCAGGCCGCCTACCGCAAAGCCGAGGCCGCCCACCCCCGTGATAATGCGCCCAAGGCCGAACAGATCCGCAGTCTGGGACTGCTAGGGAAGGAAGAAGAGTCGACGGCGTTTTTGTCACGGACATGAGGCGCGTTTGTGCGCATTACGGGAGTGTGGTTCCATGTTGATTGTTTCATTACTACTACCAAGACTATGCTGGTTTGTTTACCTTTTTTTTTGTCTGTTCATCACTGCGCGGTCCTTCCCTGTATAGAAATGGACAAATTTCCTTGATCAGTTGTGGAAGGTCGTGTGCTTGTGGGCGGTGTTGGTCGCCGGCTTAGGCCCTCGCATCGACCACCTATGCTGTCCATGATACCTGGGCAGTCCATTTCCGGCAGTTGGTGATGCGTATACTAAGTAGGATGGCATCGTTGGCCATTGGCCTGGTCTGGATCAGTACCATGTGTAATTCCAGGGGTAGGTCCTGTTTGGCACTTGATAGCTGAGAGTACTATATCATGGTGAGACAAAGAAAGGGTCAAACAAAGCAAGGATGTTTGTTTGTGTTATGAGTTGAGATACAAGATATCTACAAAACGATTATTCCAACACGATAATTTCTTGATGAGAGAGCATTCGAATAGGATTTATCAATGTTCTATATGTCCCTGTTTTAAGATCAAGTACTAAGTTGAAGTAGTAAGTAGTTAATGTGCAGGTTGGAACTATATATATATCTAACCGGGTCAGTCCACGGGAATTTTAAAAAGCACCAATGGATGCGATCTGATTGGCTCAAAGATCTCCCACGTCATCCGAGGCTCAGAGACTGTCATCTCGGGATTTCACACACTCAGGGCTGGGGCGGACTGACTGACTCAGGATCTTAGTCGTCGACGGGCTGGGATGGAGTCGTCAGCAGCAGAATTTTAGCCGCGATGGTTGCGCACTGAAGGCTGGCGTCGCGACGAAGAATTTGCGGCGGAAGCATGAGGCCATCTGGCATTTCTTGGCACGCTATGAAGTGGGCGATCGAAACAAGCTCACATGGCGCGTCTCACTGGAAACGCACGCAAGTCATTATTCTAACCACAGAAATCCTACATATATTGCATCTCAGCGAGGTTTGGATTATTGAATGCAACACGCAGGGCCTGCCTTTGTCCACTGGCTGTGGACTGGTCGCGTCATTGCCGTATTCATCCGGGGGGAGGAGTGATGCCTGCTAGGAGGAGTATATGAGTATATGATCTGAATGGACATTATAACTCAAACAACTTCAAGGTAGACATTAGTTAAGAAGTTGAGAATACTCTGTCACTGATGCCAATTATACACAGTGGAACTACTACAAATTTCTCTCATGAAATCCTTCTTTTCCTTCTTTTCTTTTTCATTTTTTTCATTTTTTTTTTTTTTTCTTCCCTCTCCCTGCACAGGAAGATCCTCATCTATCACGTGATCCCACGAAAACCTTTTACGGGAGTGGGGGGCACTAATCCGGAAGCTGACTAGTGTCCAGGGCCCAAGTATGGGTAGGCGCGCCCAGGCAAAGATGCCCCCAATGATATAAACAGGCTGCGTGACCTCGAGGAAGGCCGAGCTGCTCTTGTTGATGCTCCTTGTGCAGCCCCAGCCCCGGTACAACGCCCCGTCCTTACTTTACTTGACTTTACCCGACATTTTATCTACTCTTCAGCTCTATCAACCAACGAACTTCATCTTGGTTACCTTTTTCGGGGCTCACTTTCATAGTTCCCATGATTTATCCGATTTGCTCGGACTGACTGAAACTATTCACTGTCATCTGTCTGCTCGGACCTTCACTTAGGACCGGATCTCCACTCAACTTCTTGCCTTGATTATCTCATTCTTGAACCCATACTCTCGATGGCTGTGACGTGGGTGTAACCGTCGTGTTTTCTTTACATACGCCTCCCCTTTCCTCCACTCTCCGTCGTTCTCTATCTTTCTACTTAACCCTTTTTTTTTTTTTCTTTTTTCCTAATATCCGGTGAATGGGGGCGGCGTGCTATTGAAAGGAGATTGGGTTACCATTAATTTGTTAATAATTCTGGTCACTTTTTCCTTGAGCTTCGTTGACGATACCCCTGGCTTTGTTTCATTTGTGTTATATTACGAGTATACCTCTTTTCCGTGTCATCCTCCGCCATGACTTCCAGGTAAGTTTCCTGCCATTCCGCATCCGTCTGGTCCCGGCCACTAACCGATTTCGTTCTAGACTTGACCGTCTGGTCACGTGAGTCTACACACAGCATCCCTGCATGCTTACCTAAGGAGACCCCCACTGACCAATCACTGGCAGATTACTTGAGACAGGCAGCACGCCGCTCATCCGCAATACTGCGGCTCAACAGCTGGCCGACGTACAGAAACAGCACCCAGATGAACTGTTTAACCTGCTTGGTCGCATCCTGCCTTATCTGCGTTCCAAATCGTGGGACACCAGGACGGCTGCTGCCAAGGCCATTGGTCTAATCGTCACAAATGCAGACACGTTTGACCCGAATGAGGAAGACGGTGAACACATCAAACCAGCCGACGATGAAGATGGCGGCATTGAGATCAAGTCGGAGGGTGAGTCGCCTGCCACGGCCACTGACCTTCTTCAACTCGAGACCATGGATCTTCCCGCCATCTTGAAATACGGCAAGCGGTTACTGGGAAGTGCAGGGAAGGAGTACGAATATTCCTTAGCCGCCATGGATCCTGCCGCTCGACTTCAGCATCAGAAGAAGACCCTGCACTCTCGCCTGGGGCTTGCAGGAGAGTACATTGAGGAGGAGCTGATCGATGACAGCGATCTTGTCCTCAAGACGCCTGGAATCAAGGATGAAGCTCCACAGCACAGAGATAGCGTCCACCAGCTACCGTCCACGACCCCTCTTGCATCGCCTATGGAAACCGCCAACGGGGAGGAGGCCGGTCTCAGTAAGCGGCAGCTCAATCAACTGAAACGAAAGAACAAGCAGAGCGCAAAAATGGGTGCGAACAAAGTCCGAGTTGTAGACTTGTCGGCTCGGAGACCGTCGGAGAACGTCACCACACCTGCTGCCGTCACTCCTCATCCGATCAAGACAGAAAACGGCGAGGAGCGTAATGGCGAGGTGAAACAGGACTACTTCAACCTTGAACGCTCGGCTGGCGGCGACGACGATCAGAAGATTGTTTCAGAATTCAAAGGGTCGGTCGCCCCCGAAAAGTCCTACATCCAACCGGAGATTACCGACGAGGGTCCTAGCAATTCATGGCCATATGATCCTATGTGCGAGTTTCTAATGGTGGATATCTTCGATCCCAATTGGGAGGTGCGTCACGGGGCCGCAATGGCGCTTCGTGAGGTTATCCGCGTCCAAGGTGCTGGAGCGGGCCGTGTGCGAGGGAAGAGCAGGGCCGAAAACAATGTCCGCAACCGCAAATATCTGGACGATCTCGCCTGCCGGCTTCTTTGTGTTCTCATGCTGGATCGGTTTGGTGACTACATCTCCGACAACGTGGTGGCGCCCATCCGAGAGACCGTGGGTCAAACACTGGGTGCACTCTTATCCCAGCTCCCATCGCGCTCCGTGGTCGCAGTCTATAAGTGTCTGTATCGGATCATTATGCAGAACGACCTTGGACTGGAGCGGACCATTTGGGAGGTTTGCCACGGTGGGATGATCGGTCTCCGATACTTGGTAGCAGTTCGCAAAGACATCTTGGTGAAAGATTCTGTGCTCATGGACGGGGTTTTGGAGGCTGTGATGAAGGGACTGGGTGACTACGACGACGATGTGCGGGCTGTCAGCGCTGCAACCCTCGTTCCTATGGCCGAGGAATTTGTCGCTTCCCGTCAGGCCACACTAGGCCATTTGATGACCATTGTATGGGACTGTCTGTCGAATTTACAAGACGACCTGAGCGCCAGTACAGGCTCGGTCATGGATCTATTGGCCAAGCTATGCACTTTCCGCGAGGTCCTGGATGCCATGAAGGCAAATGCATCCGTAGATTCTGAGTCCTCGTTTGGGAACCTCGTTCCCCGCTTATATCCTTTCCTACGACACACTATCACCAGCGTCCGTTCAGCCGTTCTCCGCGCTCTAATCACCTTTTTGCAGTTAGAGGGCGAGGGCACGAACGGTTGGGTGAACGGCAAGGCGTTACGCCTGATTTTCCAGAACTTGTTAGTTGAGCGCAACGAAGGTGTGCTCAAGCTCTCTCTACAGGTGTGGTCGGAGCTGCTCAGGGCTTTAGAATCGCGCGGCTTGTTCAAGACTGAAGCTGATCTCCTGAGCCATATCCAACCCTTGATCACCCTGACCATGTCCCCCTTTGGCGTTCCCCGATACCCAATCCCCATGAATGCTTCGCTCTTCATCAAACCCTCCGGCGTTCCCTTCCCGATGAGTGCTGCTGCTCCCGCCAAGTCCTCTCCCAGTGCAGTCAGTGCGCAGGTCGATGGGGCCAAGAAGCGCGGACGCAAGGTAGAGAAGAAAGAAGCTCCTACTACGATGTCTGCGCATAATGTCGATGGCCACATGCTTCAGGGCGATATCGACTTGGTAGGCGCCGATACCATGTTGCGATCCAAGATCTATGCCGCCAAGGCGCTCGGCCAACTTCTTTCTGTCTGGGACAAGAGCGCACTTCCGAGCCTGTGGCAGTCTATCGTAGAGGGTCTGCGTCATTCCGCATCCACGTCTCAGCTCTCGTCTGCGATGATTATCGAGGAATACGCCAGAGCGTCAGGTCCAGACAGCAAATACTCTTCTACTCTCTGCGAGCATTTGCGACCTATCATCGAAGGCGAGCGGCCGCTGTGGTACGGCGACATCGCGTGCTATCTGCATGTTGCCCGCGCCCAGTGTCATTCACTGCTCAACGCTTTCCGCGATCATGCTCATGTTCCTAGCTCAAGACTTCCGACGCTGGCTGTCATTGTCCAAGGAGACGCCGAGGCCGGCCCAAGTGCGTTCTCACTGGCAGATGCTGAGAAGGTCATTGGACCAGATTTTGAGCGGTTAAAGAAAGGTCTGGCACCGGCTCAACGCATCACGGCTCTGCAGGTTCTTAACGATACGCGGGCAACCGCGGAGAATTCTGTCGAAGAAGCAAGGAACGTGCGAGAACAGAGGGACCTACGGGTGCGGGCGGCTGCAGCTGGTGCATTGGTGGCTCTGCACGATATTCCCAAGAAGCCGGGTCTCATCATCAAGGGAATAATGGACAGCATCAAGAACGAAGAAAATGCCGAGCTTCAACAGCGTTCCGCTACGGCGATCTCAACATTGGTGGAGTATTACACTTTGGCCACCAAACGCGGGCCCGTCGACAAAGTCATTGGAAATCTGGTCAAATATTGCTGTGTCGACTCGTCTGAGACGCCAGAATTCCACCACAACGCCTCGTTGGAGAAATCAATCCTCTCCTTACGCAAGGAAGAAGATCGGCGCGATCACCCTGACGCAGCGAAGTTCGAGCGAGAGGCGAAAGCGGCACGAATCATGCGTCGGGGTGCGAAGGACGCTCTCGAGCAACTTGCGACGAAATTCGGTCCTGATCTCTTGGAGAAGGTACCCAATCTCGCCAAGCTGGTGGAGCGGCCCCTCAAGGACACGCTTACCGGGAGTCTTCCGGAGGACATCCTTCACCCGGACAATGAACTGGGCCAGGAAGTCGTTGATGGGCTGTCCACCTTGCGCGCCCTGCTACCCAAATTCGACCGTGGTCTGCACTCCTGGGTCATTGGCCTCATGCCTCTCATCATCAAGGCCTTGCAGTGCCGTTTGTCAGTCATCCGATACGCGGCTGCCAAGTGCTTTGCAACTATCTGCAGCGTCATCTCGGTGGAGGGCATGACCATGTTGGTCGAGAAAGTACTGCCCACCATCAACGACCCCTTGGATGTCCACCACCGTCAAGGCGCCGTCGAGTCTATCTACCATTTGATCCACGTTATGGAAGACCGCATTCTTCCCTACGTCATTTTCCTTGTCGTACCCGTGCTTGGACGGATGAGTGATTCCGATAACGATGTGAGATTGTTGGCGACGACGTCTTTTGCGACGCTGGTTAAACTCGTCCCCTTGGAAGCTGGTATTCCTGACCCGCCCGGTCTTTCTGAAGAGCTGCTCAAGGGCCGTGATAGAGAGAGGAAGTTTATGGCTCAGATGCTGGATTCGAAGAAGGTCGAGGAGTTTGCATTGCCAGTGGCCATCAAAGCGGAGCTTAGGCCTTACCAGCAAGAGGGTGTCAATTGGCTTGCCTTCCTCAACCGCTACAACCTTCATGGTATTCTCTGTGACGACATGGGTCTTGGTAAAACTCTGCAGACAATTTGTATTGTCGCAAGTGATCATCATTTGCGAGCAGACGAGTTCGCCAAAACTCAAGCGCCAGAGGTTCGAAAGCTCCCGTCTCTGATTGTCTGCCCACCCTCTCTTTCTGGTCACTGGCAACAGGAGGTCAAGCAGTACGCTCCGTTCCTAAACTGCGTTGCCTACGTTGGGCCCCCGGCCGAGCGCGCCAGACTGCAAGACAGCTTAAATGCGGCGGATATTGTCGTAACATCATATGATATCTGTCGCAATGACAACGATGTTCTGCGTCCGATCAGCTGGAATTACTGCGTGCTAGATGAAGGTCATCTGATCAAGAATCCCAAGGCCAAGGTGACGATAGCGGTCAAGCGACTGGTTAGTAACCACCGGTTGATTCTCTCCGGTACGCCCATCCAGAACAACGTGCTGGAACTGTGGTCGTTATTCGATTTCCTGATGCCCGGATTCTTGGGTACGGAGAAGGTCTTCTTGGACCGGTTCGCCAAGCCGATTGCGGCCAGCCGGTTCAGCAAGTCGTCCTCGAAAGAACAAGAAGCCGGCGCGCTAGCGATCGAGGCGTTGCACAAACAGGTGCTTCCATTCTTGCTCCGTCGCCTCAAGGAGGAGGTTCTGAACGACTTGCCACCGAAGATCATCCAGAACTACTACTGTGATCCTAGTGAACTGCAGAAGAAACTCTTTGAGGACTTCTCCAAGAAGGAACAGAAGGAGCTTGCCGACAAGCTGGGAAGCTCCGAAAAGTCCGACAAGGAGCACATCTTCCAAGCACTGCAGTACATGCGTCGTCTCTGCAACTCCCCAGCGCTGGTGGTGAAGGAAGGCCACAAGCAGTACAACGAAGTCCAGAAATACCTGACCACGAAGCACAGCAACATCCGGGATGTGTCCCACGCACCGAAGCTCAGCGCTCTGCGAGACCTGCTTCTTGACTGCGGCATCGGCGTGGACCCGCCCACCGAGGGCGATCTGGGCGCCGGAACCAGCTACGTGAGCCCGCATCGAGCCTTGATCTTCTGTCAGATGAAGGAGATGCTCGATATCGTCCAAAGTGAAGTCCTGCGCAAGCTGCTTCCTTCTGTTCAGTATCTCCGGTTGGACGGTGGCGTCGAGGCCACGAAGCGTCAGGACATTGTCAATCGCTTTAACTCGGACCCGAGCTACGACGTCCTGCTTCTGACGACCAGCGTTGGTGGTCTGGGTCTGAATCTGACGGGAGCCGACACGGTCATCTTCGTGGAACACGACTGGAACCCGCAGAAGGACATCCAGGCGATGGACCGAGCCCATCGTATCGGTCAGAAGAAGGTCGTGAATGTCTACCGCTTGATCACGCGGGGAACACTAGAGGAGAAGATCCTGAAGTAAGTTTGCCCTTCTCGTATCCAACAACCAACACATACTAATGTTCTCTAGTCTCCAACGCTTCAAGATCGACGTGGCCTCGACGGTCGTCAACCAGCAGAATGCCGGGCTGAACACGATGGACACAGATCAACTCCTGGACCTCTTCAACCTGGGCGAAACCGCCGACAACGCCGAGAAACCCAGCGAGCCAACCGGCAATGAGGTGGACATGGTGGACATCGACGGCGAGGTCAAAGAAAAGGGCAAGAAGGGCTGGCTGGACGATCTGGGCGAGCTCTGGGACGACCGCCAGTACCAGGAGGAATACAACCTGGACTCCTTCCTTGCCACGATGAAAGGCTGAAGCAGTCAGCCTCTATCTTTTCGGCCAACTTCCTCGTCCCTTCCCCTCCATCAAGGAGAAACCCGACATATTCCCCCCCTTTCTACCTTTCCTGAACTCCAAACCTCTACCTACTTACCTACCTACCTACCTACCTACCTCCCTACACACCCGATCTCCATCACCCCAGTACCCTGGAGTCCATTGACCCACCCAAACCATTTTATTGAATTGACGACCGCCTCGGAAGGACACGAGACGACCTGACCTTTGATTTCCTGTTTTTGTTTCACCATACCATCATACCATGGATAGACACGGAGGGCTTATTTGATTCATCATTGTTGCTTGATCGCCTTGCGAACAAAACTTAGGGAGTGTATGCTACTGCTGTGCTTTTTTTCTTGCTCTCTTTTTCTTCTTTCTCTCTAATTTTTCTTCTTCTATTCTTCTTTTCTGTTCGTCCACAAATCTTCTTTTTCTCTAGTCAATGTATTATAGCTATTTGTCTGTCCCCCTTCCTCCTTCCCGCTTTTCTCCCGGACGGGACTGATGATATCATGCTCTTTACAACTCTCATACTCTTTTAATATGATTGTAACCTGTGAAACGGAGTAATTATGGGTAAATGAAGTGTCAACTTCGAAGTCACGCCGAGAGCGGTGAAGTCTAACCGCATAAGTAGATAGAAGTATCCTCACCCATGGACAGACACTGTGGAATCTCAACCCATGCGAAGATCACCACTGACATACTTCCCAAGGACTCCCGGGGGAGAACCCCCGGACCCCCCTTTCTTTTCAGCTTCCTGGCCCAGCGCAACCTCAAGTCTGTTGTAGGTAGGATATTGTCTTCTTTGACCTGGGTGGTCTCTGAGGGCCGATCAAACCGTTCGATAAAGCAGTGCATCACATTCACCCAATCTTCATCAGGAGCTAGTTGTATTGTAGTACGAGTTAGGAGGTCACCGTTACAGTTACAGTTACAGCCACAGCCCGCAAAGAGTGTAGTAGTACACAACACCCAATCCAACAAGCTACATAAAGTCACCCACGGGGTGGCCATGAAGACAACAAACAGAAACAAAAGCAGAACAGGACAGAATAGGGTTGCGCAAGCCAAACAATCACAGGCACCACCAAAGGAATGAAAAAGAAAACGGACCTGATTAGCCTCAGACAAGAAGAAGAAGAAGAAGCACACACGCCCCACTCAAACCTCGAATGCCTTATACCCCTCCACCAACCCATCCGAGAACTTGGTGGCGGCCACCCATACCGGCGCGTACTGTTTCACCTCGTCGAGGGCCGGGATGGCCCCGACGCGGTTGTGGTCGCTCCAGAGACAGACGACCCTGCCGGTCAACTTGGAGCGATCACCACCGGCCTCGGTATCGGGCGAGTCGATGAGAATGTACTCGTCCTCATCCTCCGTCACGAGGCGCTGCTCGGCAGGCGGGGCGAGCACCGGCGGCGGGACGGTCCACTCGACGTCCACGGTCCACGAGTTCTCCCACTCACGGCTCCACAGGCGGATCTCCCGCGTGCCCAGCGGGGAGGTGTGCGGGAAGCGGGGGTCGTAGGCACTTCCAGCTACGCTGAAGGAGGAGATCGGGGTGTCGAAGAGGATCTTGCAGGCGCGGGTGTTGAGGCCGGAAAGTTGAATCTGGGCGGTTTGGAGGTTGTCGTCGCGCTCCGCGGCAGCGGCAGCGGCAGCGGCAGGGGAAGAATCCGAGGTGGAGATGTTAAAGGTGAGCCAGGATTTGTAGTCCTCCTGCGCGGAGGGAACCACGTCCGGCATGAGACCCGGCCAGGAGCATTTCGTGCGCGGGCCGAGCGGACTGCAAGACACGTGCTGGCCCTGGGCGCTCGGGAGCGAGTGAGCGACCTGGGCGACAAAGGGCGAGATTCCAATCAGCGAAACGTTGGTTGCCGCCGTGTCGAGATTGAGCTCTTGCTGGAAGAAGATCTTGAGGCGGTTCGACGCCGAAAAAGGAAACGCAACCAGACAGTAGATCAAGCATCCCAGGAAAACAGCCAGCAGGAACAGCGGGATGTGGTACGTGTGGCGGTGGATGTATGGGAGCAGCGGGGTGAGAAGGAACGTAGTCAAGGCTGCGACGGAGAGGTAGATGAACAGGGAGGAACTGCCGTCCTGGCCGGTCTGGTGCAATGCGCTGGTCAGCAGCAGCGCCAGCGGACCGACCATGATGAGCACAATAGGTGCCGTCAGCAGAAATTGCAGCACCCAGGTCCATCTCGGCAGGTGTGCGCTCCAGCGCTGTTCGTGCCCGTAGATGTTCGGGTCGCTGGGCTCGTCGTGGTCGTCATGCTCGCCCGTGACGCGCACGTAGTTGGCAAACGTGGTACGCTGGCCCCCGCCCAGCAGAGAGGTTGACTCGGTAGGTTGTTCGTCGTCCGACGCGGCGTGCTCGTCGCCATCGTGCTCCGAGATATGTTCCTCCCCGGACGCCGTCCCCAGTCGACTGCCGCCGTAACTGCTGGGACGGCGCGACGAGGCCGGCACCGGAGCATACTGACTGGCGTACTCTGACTTCCGGGGCAACGCGAAGAGCTCCAGGTACGAGATCCAGGTCGCCAGGAAAGTGCCACAGAAAGAGAAGAAGACCCAATAGCCGCCAGCCAGACCCCATTGATTCTCGTAGACCGTCGCAATCACCAGCATCACCCAGGCAAGCACGAACATCCACGTCAGGGTATAGACGCGGTGGAAGGCCGAGGGCCGAGCAAAGTCGGCGACGCGCGACACGAACCAGGCCAGAAAGGTCCAGGCCGACAGCATCATGGCCCATACCGCATACTCACTGCTGTGAATGATCAACGGATTGACCTTGGTCAACAGGTAGGCCAACCCCACCGTGACCGCCGTAGGAATCACAAACAAGAACGGGAATCGGAAAAATCCGCGCAGTCCCTGCAACGAGACTACCTCCGTATCATCCAGCCCCTTGACCCTGGAGCAGAACAGATACATCTTGTCGGCCCTGCTTAAGGCAACACTCGTGACTAGCAAGCCCAAGGGCGCGACAATGAGCATCGTCACCGACAAGGCGAACAAGGTATGCAGCTGGAACACCACGAAGGTGGCTCCGAACAGATCGAACCATACGCCCCGCGATCCCTTCTTCCCACTGTCCCCATCATCCCCGACTAACCCCTCCGTCGTCTTCACTGCCGCCTCCAACATATGCCAGAGACTCTCCGCCGTCGTATGCCTCGAATCATCCTGGTCGGTGTGATACCTAGCCCTCGGTTCCATGAACGCGACATCCAAACCCCTCATGCCCAGGTCGCCGTCGAACACGACATAGTCCGTCTGGGAGCTGATGAGGCCGACCTCGAACCCATTGGCCGCCAACACCGAGCCGAACGGGTGCTTCGCCCTCTTGTAGTTCCTCGTGACCTCGACATCACTCCCTCTGAACAGAATCGCCCGACCTCCCGCTCCGGCGCCCTCCAGATTCAGAAACGTCTGCGTGAACTTCGACAGCGGATGTTGACTGAACACGCGCGCTCCGTTCAGGAAGTCCTCCTCGCCGTTGTTGAACAGCACCACCACTCCGCGACGGGGGGTATGGCCAGGTGTCGTGAAGTACTTGATCAATTGCAAGCAGGTGATGACGCCAACGCCGTCGTCCGTCGCACCATAGCCGGTAGAGACGCTGTCATAGTGGGCGTTGACCAGCACGCCGCCGCCGCCGCCTCCTTTCCCTCCTCCGTTATCCGAATCCAAGACCGGGTCATAATCATCATCCTCTTCGCCACGGATGTAGATAATGAGATTGGTGCCCTCGAAGTAGACAGCCGTGTTGGAGGATTTGAGCGAGTTGCCGACGAAAGTGAGGTTCGACTGGTTGTCGTCGAAGATGTAGACAGTGGGTTTCGTGGCGCTGTCGCCGCCATCATCATCATCATCATCGGTAATATGGTGCATAGTCGTAGTAGTAGAAGTCGTAGGAGTAACAGTCCCCTCGACCCTGACATCAGCCCCATTCTCCCCCACAATCTCCTTAACCCGACTCAGCAACCACTCCCGAATTTCATCATTCCGCCGAGAATTATACGGATGGTACCCATTAGTCAAGACCTGAAGATCGGCCCAAGCCTCGCCGAGATCGAGTCCGTCCGGGGTGGAAGACGGACTGGGTGCCGAGGGCAGAATATGGTGGACAACCAGCAGCGGAATCACGAAGGCGAGGTAGACGGCGGCGGTGATGAGGGTGACGGGCCACCGCGTAAAGGCCAGCGGGTTGGCGCGCGGGGTAGCCATTTCTTCCGCTTATACTTGAATGATTTCCCAAGGCAGGACAAGGAAAGTCAGTCATAAGGCTGAGGTGTCCGTGATCGCTCTCAGCTAGCTGCACAAGCCTTGTTGGGCTGGGCCGAGCTGAGCTGAGCTGAGCTGAGTTTACCACTCCGTGCAGTCCCAAGGAAGGGTTTCTGAGATGCGGAGAAGAAATGAGCGGAACGGTAGGAAATGAATTGAATGGGATGATCGTTGGATGGTCGGGGTGTCAAATGCCGAGGCGGAGCCAACCCGCCATTATGTCATACTCTTGGTTAACTCAAGTTAGATAAGTTAAATCACTGCATTTTCTATATTCTTATCATCAATTCCTATAGAATGGCAGACGAATTCCAATCTGCAGCTACCTGACGGCAGCTCTATCGATTTACTCAATTCTAAGACGGTACCTAACTATAGCACCCCCAATGCACCATGAGAAGACTGATGATACCTGTACCATACCAATGATCCTTGAGAAGTCATTTTTTTTATAACAGCCCGCGGTCTTCAGTCGGTCGATGCATATAGCAGAGAGCCAGAGAAAGTTGAAGCCCTTTCCAGGTGAATACCACCGCCAGTCAGCCTCGATCCGAGAGAAACAGCCGACAACCAGCTCCGAAATAAAAGGGGAAAAGAGAAAAAAAAAAAAAAAAAAGAACCGCTACCGACTATGCAAATTCATAACAAAAATCCCTCGATGTGCACACAGACAGAATTGGAAAACTTCGCTGCTTAGCATCCACAAAAAGAATAATGAAAAGAGAAACGAGACCATGTTGTAACACAATACACAAAGAGAGAAAAAAAAAAAAAAAAAAAAGATAATGATGGAAGCGCTCGAAGAAGTGAGAAAAGAAACAGGCTATGGGTATCAACCGGGAGTATGTCCAATGTCCATGTAATCATCGTCTTGAATTGCCGTGGCCGCCGTGGCGCGCATCAGATTACCCATCTGATGATCATCCTCATCGAGTTCTTCATCGTCATCGTACATGGTGACCTCCGTCATGTCCTGCGGCGGAGGTGGAGGGGGGATTATGTGGTTCAATTGATTGCGCAATTGGTTCACGCCATCGCCGCTGAAAACACAAAACACTTCGCGCTGCTGGGGGGTGAACTCCGGAGGTGCTTCGCGGCAGTGCATGGTCAGATCTTCTCGCGAATAGAACGCATGGATTCCCGTGAGACTGAGATGCGTAAGACGAGGACAGCTATTGACTAGAGCATGGATTCCCTGCGACCAGTTAGCATTGCTTCCAAAGGGGAAACGGGCTGGGCTTTGAGCGCATACACTCAGGCTTAGCAAGGTACAGTAACTGAGATGTACCCTCTCTAGACTGCTGATTCCTGATTGGTGATGGGAAGCCTTGAGGCTCGCCAAAGCTAGAATGCTGCCGTCGGTAATGGCGTTGCACTTTACCAGGCCAATGCGTCGGAGTTTGGGTAAGGTAGCCAGCTGCTGCACACTGGCATCTGTCAAACGGGTACAGCACGCCAAGTCTATATACCGTATTCGGTTGCAAGACTTGACCAACTGCATCACGGCTGCATCGCTGATATTGGAACAGTGTCCCAAGTGGACGTAGTGCAGATTCTTCCCGAGCTTGCAGATGGCCCAGACTGCGCGATCCGTGATCATTCGACATTTTGCGAGGACTAGATTCCGCAAGCGTGGCGCTGATGCCACGATCCGCTCAACTGCAGCGTCCTTGACCCCCTCACAGGATGTCAAATCCAGGATGCGGAGGCTGTCCAAGGAGATATGAGGGGCCAGTTCCAGGAACGCCATATCATCAATCTCAGTACAGTGGGCGAGTCGCAGCTCGCGCAAGTTGGGTAATGTCGTCATCAAGGCAGTGATCGATCGGTTGGTGACGAGTCTGCAATCATGAAGGTCAATCTCCAGGATGGCCGGGCAATTCTGCGAGAACGATAAAATCGATTTATCCGTGACTTGCACGATTCCATTCAGTTTTAACTGTCAGATATTAGCCACCGTGACTCAGATGCAGAGCATGACCATGACCACCTACCCGCTTGATCTGTCGGCAGTTACGAGACACGACGATCAGGGAGTCGTCGGTAATCTTGTTGCAGTTCGTGACGTTCAGCCCCTGGAGGCGAGGACAGTTTCGAGCCACCGTGTACAGCGTGTGATCGGTGAGATGTCGCAAGTCCGAAACATCCAACGCTTGTAAGTGGCGATTCCCTTCCACCAAGTCCGACACGCCTTTATCCGACAGCTTTGAGCAATTGGTCAGAGTCAACCGCTCGATCCGATTGCATTGTGCGAAGCTCATCACCGTGCCGTCACTGACATCGCTCGAGAGAGCGGATAGATTCAACCTCTTGATCTGATGCGAGTACGCGAAGGCGCTGTTCGGGTCGCTGACGGTGGTGCTGATGATCTTCATGTTGTTCCAGCTATTACACGCTGGCCGGTGCCACAAAATCCCCACACAGTTGGCCGCCCATCCTCTGCAGACCAGCATACAGCTCATCATATCGGCTGGCGAACTCAGTCTAGCGAAGATGGCAATCAAGATCTCCGGGGGCAAGCGCCCGATGGGCGGTAGAGCTCGATCTGATTCGTAGTAGGCATGGGAATCCCGACCGTTGATTGCGCCCAAGGACGACTCCGAATCGTTCGCCTGGGCTGTGAAGAAGTCGGTGTCATCATCTGCGGTGCGATCGGGGGAGGTCGAGGAGGAGGATTCGGAGGGAGCTTCGCTCGATTCTCGAGCGGGTGGCCTTGAGCGGGGCATCGGGACCACTGTCGGAGGGTAGTGGCAAGCGTGCCCGTCAGAGGAGAAAGGGCGATAACTGCTCACTGTGCTACTTCGGCCAGGACAAAACGTGCTGTCTGTGTGGAAAAGGAAGTATTCATATAAGATAGACTGTCACCTGCTCCAAATGGAAGGCCGGGAATTGTGATCAGAGATTCGCGACCGATCTCTAGATTGTAGGTTCGTCCTGAAGGGACAAGGGGGCAACAAGTCTAAGTTGAGAAACAGAGGTAAAACCAGATTGGTCCAACTTGAGGGAGAACACGCGTCGGATGTGTCTGTAGCAGGAAACTAACGGAGGCAAAGCAAGGCAAGGAGGGGAGGGGATCCAGGGAGGTGAATAGGGCGGCGTTGGGCGGAGGAGGCGAGGGGAGAAGAAGGAATCCCGGTCAGAGAACCGAAAGGGTAGATTGAAGGCCGGAGCGGGATTGAGAGCGCCCCAGAAGGTTTTATAAATCCGGCAGGAGATAGATGTGAAGATCGTATGCTCGGATAGAGTCAGGAGAGTGCGAGTATAAGTAATCAGAGCCGCGACAGTGGGGCTGTCGGAGAGATGAATCGAGAGAAGAAGAGAAGAATGGGGGGGGTGAGGGGAGGGAGGAGCCAGAAGGAGGAGGGGAGGGTAGAGGCTTGGTTGGGGGGAGACACTGACGAAAGAATAAGAAGGCGGTAAGTGAAGTAATGTATGATGATGATGATGATGATGTTGACTCTTAAAGAGCACAAGAACTTATTCGCTCATTCGTTGATCTTAGCCTGATTCATGTTATCTTTCTTTTGTTCTTGTATTTTGTTATTGTCCCAATGAAAATGGCGCTTGATTGCGAGCCCTGAGAAAAGGAGGGGAAAGCGTGAGGGATTACCTATAGTAGTACTATAACTTAGTAGTTACCAGGCTACCTTAAAAGGCTTACCTACTACTAGTAATAATAATATACTGCCAGGGATGCCCGCCAACCCAACGACATCATCCAGCTATTCTTGGGTGAGTGTGACCCGTGCGCCGACTATTAATTAGGGCATGCGGTGATTATTATTAGCATCGCTGCACTAGCCATCGGTCTATGCTCATAGCATGGATCCTGTCTGCCTACCATCATTGCGAGCTGCGAATTGACTTTTATCTTCAACGTCCTTCAGCCACGGCTTCCCCTCATTCCTGTCGCCTAGTTGGACATCTGGTTCGCATTTTCCAACTCGGAGTGTAGACGCCGATTAGATACTCGTACTGGCAATCTTAGCCTCGTCTCCCAATTCCTCTGGCGAAGAGTACCATAAAAGATTGAAGAAGGAAGACAAATGATCAGACATCAAAATACGCGCAGTGTTATTGTCCTTCGCGACAACGTTACAAATCCTATCTAATCTCCATAATGCCCCTCTGTTCAGGCGAAATCATACATCTTGAACCCTTCCATTCCCAATCCCACCCTAGTCAACCATCCTTTCTCTTCTCTTCTCAAATAGGAAGACTTTATCACCTTCTTCATGTCCGAGACGCCCCCTTCGCCCAATCTCGCAGTACATTTTTCCTGAATTTACCCGTGCTGGTTTTGGGCAGCTCCGCCACCACCTCGACCTCGCGGGGGACCATGAACTTACTAATGCCACTGACATTCCGCGCCCATTCGATGACCGCCTCGCCGTCGAGTTCTCGGCCTCCCTTGACCGTGATGAAGGCCTTGGGACGTTCGCCCCAGTGAGCATCTGGAACCGAGACAACCCCGGCCTCCAGAATGTCCGGGTGGGTCACCAACTGTGCCTCTAAGGCAACCGAGGAGATATTCTCCCCCCCTTAAATGTCATACGTCAGCACAACATTCCAGATGCACATGAGACGCGAGAACATGAACCTGAACAGCAATCTATATGGAAGATCAGACGCCGGGGTCTATCTTACCGCTGATGATGATGTCCTTGGCGCGATCGAGAATCTGGATCGCTCCGTCAGGATGCCAGACAGCCAGATCCCCAGAATGCAGCACTCCACCGAGGAACAGTTTCCGCGTCGCCTCTGGGTCCTTGTAATAGCCGCGGCTGCAGAGATTCCCAGCAAACACAACCTCGCCGATCTCCGTGCCATCCCGGCGGACATCGACCACCGTGCCCTCGGGAACATCCGTCTTGATCACCCTGGCTGGCAGACTGGTCAGGAATCCATGGCCCTGTCTCGCCATCTTCTCGTATCGCTCGCTCGGTGGAAGGGTTTCCCACGCGGGCATATGGTACGACTTGGTGATAGGACCGTAGGTCTCCGTCATCCCGTACGTATGCACGGGACGCAGGTTGAGACTCGTCATCTTCTCAAACAAATAAGCCGTCGGTGGACTTGCCGCCACAATTACACGCACCGGCTGTGGCAGCCGTTCTGCCTGCGGACTGTGGCTCAGCAACGTGTTCACCGTGGGTGCCGCATTAAAATGCGTGATGCGTTCCTCTTTGAGCAGCCTCCAGATCTGCGGATAATCGATCTTACGTAGGCAGTAATGCGTACCCCGGACCGCCGTCACAGCCCAGGGGAAGGTCCACCCTGTGCACACAGTATTAGTCTCTTTCTCGCCCAAGTTGATCAAAGCACTCACCAACCGCATGAAACAGGGGCAGAGTCCATAAATATCTGCATCGGTCCTCATGCACATTTAGCCCAGACTCAACCAAATTCGCTAAGCACGCCAAATAACAGCCCCGATGCGTAAGCTCCACCCCTTTCGGCTTCGCCGTAGTTCCACTGGTATAGGCCAAAGCAAGGAGATCCTCCTCGGCGGCTGCCTGAGCCTCTAGACCATCCCACCCGCGAGCCCCAGTCTGGGAATCGAACCTCAATCCCTCCAGCACCGCTTCATCAAACGGGCCAGACAACTGCCCTTCTGAGACGTCGGTATCCGTATCCACAATCACCGGCACCTCTGGCTTTGATGTTTGATACCGTTGCAAGAGGGGCAGAAACTCCTGATCCACAATGATCACTTCCACCTCCGAGTGTGTGAAAATATAGGCGATATCATCCTCCTTGAGACGGTAATTCACCGCTATAAGAGCTTTAGGGTTAGCAGCAGTCTATATCAAACGTGTATGCGGTAGTTCTCCTCAGATTCCACAGCCCCCTTCTACTCAAAACACACTCAGTAAAGCCACCAATCTTACACATGCCCCCATCCAACCTAAAATCAACAAGAAAACTTACCAACCTGCACCGCCCCCGCAGCCGCGATCCCAAAAATGGCCTCCAAGAAAGCCGGCGTATTCGGACACAGAATGCCTACGCGCTTGTACCCATGGCTCTTCAAGAAATAGGCCAGCCCGCGCGCACGGTCGGCGAACTCGATATAACTCCTTCGGAGGATCTGGTTGTTCGTTCTGATATGGTAAATCGCTTCTGCCTGGTTTGGGGATTATCTTGGTGAGTATATATTGGGAAGGGAGGTGTAAGGGTTGTGTTTGGAGATGAAGGGAGGGGATTGAGTTGATTGTGTTTAGATATGAAGGGGTGGTCTGAATCAAATCAATCGAGGGGTTCAGGACACAGCAGGACCAGGAATGGTTTGAAATGAATCGCGAGGCTCAAAGCCCAGACAGGACTAGAAATGCGGAGGTATCGATTGACAGGAGCACAACAAAAGTAACCTACATCTGGTTCAATGGCCGCCGCACGCGGAAGAAAGAAGGTTGGTGACAGAGTATGGAAGTTGACTGGCTGGGATATAGACGATGAAGGGGTGTCTGTGGTCGGCGTCGCGGTAGAATCGTGTCCAGCGAAGGGATTGAACTGAGCCAGTAGACCCGTCAAGCGGTTCTTTGCCGAGGAGGAAGACATTTGGAGGTCACGGTAGGAAGGAAACACACGAAACCCGGTGTATGCTTTAATGTTTGTAGGTACTTGTACTGTATCTCTTCCCTAAAGAGAAACCCAATTGGATGAGAATCTAGAAGAAGAAGGGTAGAGATTAGGTGTGATTTGGAATCGAGAAGTTGAGGGAGAAACGAAGGGAGAGGGAGAGGGGAAGAGGGGAAAGACACAGTGGACACTAGAACCCTTGAGAAAAAGAGGAGTAATTACTTACTAGTTAGTAAGTGTAAAATGCGGGGGAATGATCTTCGTTTCGGGACGTCAGGGCGGCGGGGGGCGGAGCACCGACAAAGCGGGGGTCGTCTTACACACTACAGAGTTATAACCTTGTCAACTTCATCCGGAGTCAGGTTTTGACTTGGTAACTCCCGGAAGAGATTGACTTTGAACGGTCACTTACTAGCCTTCAAGTCAATGAACTACTGTATTGATCTTCATAGCTGAGAACATCCCACCCGATTTTCAGGCGGTGGTTACCGTACGTGGATTGAGTGATTGACCTCGGGAAACTTCTTTAGTCCTTAGCGGCCTCCACCTCGGCCCAGCGGACAATCAAACACAATACGGTGTACAATTAATTTAACGCAATCAATCAATCAATCAATCAGTCAATCAAGATCACGCCTTCTTAAAGGCTACCCCACGATAAGCCAAAGACCCCAATAATTAGACAGTAACCAGCCAGTAGATCATCTCTCCAAATCCCTCTACTACTTAAACGGACCGGAAACCCGATGACTAACCAGGACAGAAACCAGGCCGTTCATGTGACCTCCCCTGGGAAACTTGCGGTTCCATGGATAACTCAACAACCAGATAATCATAATCAATCTTACAGCAGCGTCTGGAACAGATTAGTAAACTCTATCCAAGAGTATGTCAGATACTGGAGCTACAATATACGGTTGCACCCATGGGACACGTGAAGAGCCATGCAACAACAATCACGCCAAGCGGCTATTGTCGGGCTCCGACTGCATGGACACATTCCGGCCAGTAGTTACAACTACAAGTCTGTCTCGTCACATCGTCATCCTGGTAGGGCGGCATTTCAGTCTTTCAATCACCATTACCACCACAATGCAGAACGAAAGGTGGCTGCGTGAGTGATGTTCGAGCTACATGGACAGCCGTCGCAGGCTTGCTCAAAGCAAAGAGCTGGCTAGATCTTGGAATAACACCAGATAAATTGAACCCGGTTCAGGCGGCAGATGCATGGGCGACCGGGTCAAGAAACTTGATCCGAGCTATACTATATACTACGGCATAACAGAGCAGATGAAGACCACAGAATAGAATGTGAAAGTAATGGTTGTTCTTTTTGGGTCGTCACAACAAGTCATTTGAACTCTTGAAAAGAAATTTCTTGGATTAAACCGCCACGGCGCGAATCAACGGTCAGCTAGTCTGAACAACCTTTCATCCCAAACGACTCCCGTAGATTCTTCTTTTTTTGTATTAGAAATCGATTTCGCCAGCCTCCCATGTGCATCACAACTTGATCATTGTGGGGAATTCATGAAAAGGTAGGGACAGGGAGAGAAAAAAAAAAGGTCGATCGGTTCGCTGTCCATCTTTCGCTGTAACATAACCGTTCGCGATCCCATCCCATCCCATCACAGACACAAGCAACCAGCCGCGCAACCAGGTATCTAGTATCCGTACTGAGCAAGCTCGGTCTTGGTCTGCTCGCTGACAGCCGCCGACTTCTGGGCGTGGACGAGTTGACGGCGGGCAGCCTTCTTGCGCTCGTAGTAGGCGCTGCTCTTAACCTTTCTCCGCTCCTCAAGTCTAGACACAAATATTAGCCATGATTCAAGGAACAGCCGAGAAAAGCTGCTTCAACACAGCACATAATCACATACCTGGCAACGACGTCCTGGTACTTCCAGCCAACCTCGTGGCTCAGACGACCGACGGTGCAGTACTTGCGACCGGGGCGGAGGCGGAGGACACGGAGGGCCTGGGGAACGACGACGCGCTTCTTCTTGTCGTAGGGGGGAGGAACACCCTCGAAGACCTTGAGGCGCTCCAGAGCGGCAGCACCACGGGCGGTCTTGTGGGGCATCATACCGCGGACGGCCTTGTAGAAGATGCGGGAGGGAGCGCGGAAGTGGAAGGGACCTGCGGGATTCAGATTCAGCACCAGTCGAGACGACCCGGATTGTCGGAAAGGGTTCAGGTAGACTCACCACCGCGGGTGGGGTTGAAACGAGTCATCTTGCGAAGGTAGGCGTGGTACTTGACTATATCGCACAATCCCAAGTCAGTCGAATACATTCGCGAGTAAAAGCGCATCTCTTGTGTCCCTGCACACTGTCGCCTGAGATGTTCAACCCTCATCATTCATCCTTAACCTCCGCGTCGCATTATAACCACTACCTCCCCTTACACCTCACAGAACCAGACACCAGACACAATATCCCAGACGACAGTGGAGAAGCACTCAAGAGATTCGGAATTCGGATCGAATGTGGTAACGTACGCTTCGCGCGGAAGAACTCGCCGGAGATGTTAAGAGCCTCACATCTCACGACGACGATCTTCTGACCGTTGAGCAGCTGCTTGGCGACAGTGCTGGCAAGACGACCAAGAAGGTGTCCCTTGCCGTCAATGACGACCTGCAAGTTCCAACAAGAACAAAAGTCAGCGATTTCTGGTTCTCATGTAGATATCCCGTTTGTCCTTGAAGTGTATCCCCAGTCGCTCGTTTCCTTTTGACCTCCCCACTCCTTCCGCGATTCCCTCCTCTTGAATAGCAATCCCCTTCCGCAAATTTGTTGAATTGTATAAAGACGTCTCTCTTCAAGGAACTTTCATGCATGTATGGGAAGGACTTCTTTTTTTTTCGGGCATGTGTGCAATAATGAAGGGGCGGTGGTGGTACGCACGACTGGATCGATGGAGGACATCCTGCTGTGTCGAAAGGAAAATATCCAGCGATTGGAAGAGCGCTGCTCTAGGATACTCCCTTGGGATGTATGTTGTCGGCGGTTGTTGTCGTTGTGGGCAGGTTCAACGCACACAACGATGTTCGGATGGAGGTTCGCTGGGTTGTCGCTAAGCGAGCGGCGCTACTTGGTCTTTGTGCGGGAAGGGACCCCCGTCGAGGGCCACAGCCCTAACCTCTCCTCCCTCTCTCTCTTCCGTGGCTTGACGGTCACGTGAGTGCCGACTCCCGGTTCCAGATTCCAGCCCTTTTCGCTCGGCGCAAGTCACAGTGATTGTTGCTGCTGCTGCTGCTGCTACCTTACCTTATCTTAGCATTGATGGATTTTCTGGGTCAAGTTAGGGCAAATAACCACTGTCTAAAGTTACATTCGCCTTTTCCTCAGCTGATGATCAAATACTCTGTGCTGGTCAGCCATGTTATCGTCATGTCTGCTTTTCGCCTTGGTCATCGCACTTTGAGACTATACCGCCATTGCATTAGTTTTGGAGAGACTTAGACAAGTGCCCACCCCCCGCACATACTACTAGATAGACCCAGTGTTCCCCCAGATACGCCTGTAATTTATCTATGTTCCATGTGGTCCATCAATCCACTTTGTCACGGTCGCATTTGCCATGCCGGTCGCTGGGGCGCTCGAGAAATTGTCGAGTCTTTCGAGCAGTCATTCTGAGAATATTCTGGGTGCCATCCATCTGCGTCCTCTGAAAGGTAAAAGCATCAAGCGATCAACGGCTCTAGTCATTCATGCCCAGAATGCGCCAGATACACGGGCGCATCTGCTCACTTAATTACGAGACAACAGGTGAATCTCATTACTGTACCAGTTCAAGCAAGAGTCCCTGGTCATTATATAGCCTAGAAGTAAATATTGTATACATTAAGATTAGTATGTGCTCTCAAGTGACAAACCATATGTCTCGCCGAACCTATAGTCCAGCATTTCAGGGTGACAGGAAGGCTGAGCCCAAGACGTCAAAGCAACGGCACCAATAACGAAGGGACTGATCGCAGGCATCCGCCATGTCTAATCGTATATCCAGGTCCAAACAAGGGGGTCATGCAGCATTATACAAAACGGAAGACGTGCTGTCTTCCATCGCACCATTCACATCGACAACGTGCCAGCTTGTGTCTAGTAGAAAGGCAGTTTGGCGTCGCGCGTACCCCTCGCAATGACTTCCTCGAGAGTCCAGCGAGGAGGCTCAATAGCTTTGTGGCATCCATTGGGACCCTCCTCGAGGGAGAGGGGCTCTTTCAGGCCACCCGCAACTCCGGAAGAGAACTTGAGCTCCAGCGCATCGCCGATCTCATCGCACACCTGCAGGATGCGATCGAGGTCATCCTTGGTGTGCGCAGCCGAAACGCACAGTCGGGCACGCGAGAGCTCAAGAGGTGTAGCAGGGTAGGTCACAACAACAACGGAGATCTTTCGGCGCAGCATTTCGCGAGAGAAGGCAGGCATCTTGGCAGGGTTGTACAGCATCAGAGGAACAATAGGCGAGTCATCGTGTCCATAGACAATGAAACCAAGTCGCTTCAGTCCGAGTCGTAAGTAACGGGAGTTAAACGCTAGACGCTGCATACGCTCCCTTCCCTCGCCTGGGTGAAGGGGGTCCTCATCGGCGATAAGTCGTAGCGAGGAATAGATCTGCGCCAGAACAGGCAGGGATGGAGCTTCTCCGTAAACCTGACCAGCATTGATGCAGCGTACTTTTTCGATGATCGCCTTATCGGCGGCAATATAGCCCCCATTAGCTCCGAAGGACTTGGTGAAAGTACCCATCAGAATCTCGACCTCTGCAGGGTCGACCCGGAAATAGTCACACACACCGCGTCCATGACGCCCAACCGCTCCAATCGAGTGAGCCTCGTCAACAAACAGATGGAACTTGTATTTCTTTTTCAGCTCCAGAATCCTTGGAAGGTTGCACATTGTGCCTTCCATTGAGAATAGACCCTCCACGGTGACAAGAATCTTCTTCCAGGGCCGGTGAGTGCGCGGCTGACCTTGTGATATCGCCTCCCTCAGGCGCTTCTCCAGATCCGCCATATTGTTATGCGCGAAGACCTGAATCGCTGCGCCCGACAGACGGGCGCCAAACCGGATGGATGCATGATTAAGCTCATCAGACAAAATCAAGCACCCCTTTTCCATAATAGCCGGGAAGATCGTAGCGTTGGTGACAAAGCCCATAGAGAAGACCATCGCAGACTCCTTCCCGACAAACCGGGCGATCTGATCCTCGACCTCAGCATGCAACTTAGTGATCCCCGCGTCAGGGGTTCCGGCGATGGAAATACCGTCCCTTCGGAGGGTCTCCTCCGCAAAGTCGGTACAGGGCCCCTCAGACTGAGCAAACCCAAGGTAGTTATAGGAGCTGAGATTCAGGGTATCGGTGGTCGTGCCGGTGAAGCTGAAATGCAGGTTATCTTCGGTGGTCCGATCGAGGAGGGTTACGTGTCTGCCGGGTACGCCGGTGATCGGCCGCTCGAAGCAGTCATTGATCCTCTGCTTCAACCGACGCGTGTAAAAGCTCTCAAAATCACTGTATAGCGAGGCGTACCCGTTCTGGGGCTTCAGGTGCCGATAGGAGTGAGACCGGAACCACTGGGCACAGAAGTCGTGGAAATGGCCGAGGAAGATGAGAACGAGGAAGCTGACATAGGTTGTCAAGACGAAGAAATACGGCGGTTCATCAATGACAGGATCGGGGATCTCTCCCCCGGGATGTTCGCTGGTATAAAGATGCGACGGATCGCCGAGAGGCCCGAACTCGGCGTGCTGCTTCGCTAGCTTGCGGATCGCTTCAGGATCTGGCGCTTTAGCATATGCTGCGCCTTTCATTGAGTCTGGAGAGCTGCCACTGACAGCGCGGAGGGAGGCGATGGCTGTCGAATGGGCAACAGGAATGTCGGACGGGACAGCAGAACCACCGTTGGCTGCTAGGTCTTTATCAGAGCGCGGTTTACTGCGCTTCCACCGAGGCATGTTGCAATTGTAGCTCGAGGAAACTTGTGCGCCTTCCTCGAGACTCAGCACTAGGGAGAACCTCGGAGACCTGACAGCTTTGAAAAAGCAACTAGCAGGCCAAGGTATGGCAGACGAGAGTAAAGTGTGGAGAGGGAAATGATGCTGGAGGTAGTATCATGAGGTTGCTGAAGTCTATCATCATGTAATCGGGCGGAGAGGGGAAATTACGCAGGTCCCACTTTTCGGCTGTTTCGGGAGATGACTTAACCATTGCAGGTCGTTCATTGGGGGCGTCCACGAAGACAAAACCTGGCTTTGAGCGGAGATTGAATACTGTAGTTACTGCCTCAGGTGTCGAATGATCAGACCAGACCGCTTATTTGCCCTCCCCTCATGAGATCACTACTACTCCTTATGGTCCGGTTATATTCATCATAATTCAGAGCTGCTGTGGAATATTCGCTGTCTCTTCTTCAGATCGGGGTCAACGGTCTCACTAGCTGTAAGTACGCAGATCGCAATAAGCGAGTAAGTAGTCAATCAGTCAACTAAACCCTACCTAGTCATCTCGTTAATTACCAAGCCTTATTGTTACACAGCAAGGTTGCATGTAATTATCACCACAGCCATGTTCCTGGCTAAGCCTCGCTATTAATAGAAGCAGAATTCTTAACTTGAGTCTACGAATATGTCATAGATCGCATCACGAAGATGCGGCGAAGCACACGTTTTGTTTGTGTCTCAGATACGCATGCTTACACCCCTTCTGAGGCCGGCTTCAAGTTACCAGCTGGAGACGTCTTGATCCATGCGGGCGATCTCACCAACCATGGTAGCATGGCTGAGCTCCGTAGGACTATGGATTGGATCTCCGCCGCTGATTTTGAAGTTAAGATCATTGTCTGTGGTCAGTCCCTCCGATGCGTCGATGCGCCTGGATAAGAGCCGCCTGTGGCTTGGCCCAGCCCAAAAAAAGACGGAGAGCCGTAGGGCTGTGAGAGAAGAGCTCCAACAGACATGATTGTACTGAAATATGAGAACACTCCAGGAAATCACGACGTCACGCTGGATGCAGAGTTTTACGCCCGCCACGGCTCGAAATTTCATGGTCAGCATCTCGAAGACCCCCAGAAATGCATCGAACTTGTCACCGAAGCATCCAAGTCTTCCATCGCATTTCTCAGGCACGAGTCAGCACTAGTTCGGCTGAATCGGCCCAACGGCCCAAACACGGTTTTCAAAGTCTTTGGCTCCCCATACTCCCAATCATCAGGAACCTGGGCTTATGGATACGACTCCTCGGAGGCAGCTCGACTCTGGAGCAGTATTCCATTGGATTCGGACATTGTGGTAACACACACACCTCCCCATTCACACTGCGATCGTCACGAAGCAGCGGGCGTATCAGTTGGCTGTGAAGCTCTCCGTCAGGTCTTGAGCAACGTTCGACCGATGCTGGCCGTGTGTGGCCATGTGCACGAGTCGAGAGGCTATGAAAGAGTGCAGTGGCTCCCATCATCTACACCGTCACACTTGGCATCAACCACACATGGGCGGGCAAGTCAAACCATTCAGGGCGTCCTCCCTCCTCGAGAAAGTAAAAAGCAGAGCCTCGTGGACCTTACCGGGAAAAGGTCACCAAAGCTAGACAATGACGGTTTCTTTGCTGAGCAAGTGGCAACGTCATTCAGAACAGTTTTCCAACCGAGGCAGAAGGTCAAACTAACTCCACTGCCTGATCCGTCGTTGCCTGGTTCGGCTCAAAATACTGAAGCCGACCGATTAGATTCAAAATCCAGCCCTTCATGCCTGAAGGAAGGAGAACATGACGATAAAGGTGGACTCCACTCGCACAGACGCGAGACTTGCATCATCAATGCAGCGGTCATGGCAACGAGCTGGCCTCATCGAGGAGGGAAGAGGTTCAATACGCCCATCGTGGTCGATCTAGACCTCCCGACAGGGAGGGGATTTTGAGGAGCAACTCTGAAGTGCACGGGCTCAGAAATATGACGCCTAGCGTTCCTAGAAGCACCAAAGCATCATCTCAGCTTACTGTGTAGTACTGCATTGGTTTCTGAGGTTCTGATCCCATCGAGGATCCCGCGAACAGCTTGAGCTTTGACCCCGGTTTGACGTATCCGTGGCTGTTTTAGGTTGTATGCGTTTGTAGTTGCCTTGGAACAAAAGAAGAAGACTTTTCACCCGGACAGTAGGTCTGATCCGCTCCTTTCTACTTTGGGCAGACGCCTTAACATGATTATGACATGATTGGAGATCCATATGAATCGTCGGAAAAGGATCGTTGGTAGTAAGAATTTACATCAAGAGCTAGTGGCAGCAAGGCGGGGTACTGGGAATAGTGATGCTTCATGGCTTCCTTGCTCAATGCGCAGGGTCGAATCGTCATTTGACGACATCAGACCAGGATCAAAAGTCACCCAGTGGAAGCAGACAGGGAAAACAATGAATCCCATGAGCAAGAACTCATCATGCCTGCTATTGTTAGTACAAGAGAGACAGGCCATGGATAATGCAGTTGTTTGATCGCAAGACGCAGTCATGTTTCAAAGATCACATGAAACAATCTTTGGCGTAGGTGTCGTCCAATTGTCTAATTGTCTCAGTGTCTCATTGCAAGTTTGACCTACAGCCAAATACAATAAGACGGGGGGTCAGCTGGGGTTGGCCCTTGGAGAGTGACCTGCGAAGAACTGATAAGGAGGACTTGTACCTCGATCAGCGGTTGCCAGTCCGGATAGGTGGCGGAGACGAGGACCCATCTGGAACCGCTTAGTGAGGGGTTGCAACCCGGCGGCGCTTAGCCTTGTCCAACAATCAAAAGGGTACTTCGTCACGAAGTACGGGTGATAGTGTAGTGGGGGAGAGGCGAAGGGGGGTGGGTGTTTCCCGACCAAGCCAGCCTGTGGTCGCCGAGGAGAACAAGAAAGTATGCGGAGCTGTGCGCACGCTCCATACATGGTTGAGCATTATTTGTTGAAGTTGGGAGTATCCAGCAGGGGTAATTGCGTTGAATCACTAGAATGTGGGGTGAACCGAGGGGTCAGAAGCATAGGATGTCAAGGATGGGCGGATGACGGTTGATATACGGCATGTTTGTCAGAACTGTTTTGACTTGATTATTATAACACTTATTCTTATTTTCATTCATCAACCTTCCTCGATGGTCTAACGGTCATGATTTCCGCTTGTCAATCCCAGTTGGGAACAAGCGCGGGAGACCTGGGTTCGACTCCCAGTCGGGGAGATCTTCTTTTTTTTGCGCTCTTTGCGCCTTGATACGATATTGTGTATGGAGTACCCAGCTGTACTCAAAGCTGCAGCGGCGCAAACTCCCAGCCGCGTGGCTCGGCTGTGCCTTATTCTTTACTCTTCTTATGATGCTCCACTTTACCGGTAACGTGGAACAGATCAGCTCAGCTGGAATGCTGATCATCTCAGCCATGCCAATGCCACTGGCCGTAAATCGAGTTCCAGCAGCTGAGGTGGGCCCCCGCCGCATCAGGCTTCGTATTAATCACGGTCATTCAGCGCGAGGACCACCCTCTCCACTGCAATCCGCATGTGTCGCCCGGGGTCCGGACAGCGCCACCTGGCTGGGGTCAGCGCGCTAAGGCGGCGATGTCCATGGGTTTTCATCTAATGGAGCTGGTGGCTGAAACTAACGCCCAAGTTGGTAAGGTAGCCGCCGACTGGGTTGATAAGATGCAGCCGGACCGATAATTGTCGGAACTATTGGTGGGCGCCCAGTCATCCCCCCCTGATGCGGCCTGCAACTGGTAACCGTATAATCGCGAATGCTTACTGTGTCAGTTTCCATCACTCTTCCACGAGGTATTTGAGACTTGCGATTCACTTGCACCTCCACGCCCCCACTTGTAGACAGGCTCCCATAGTATGTGGACGATGCAACCCAGTAGGGCCCGAAACAGCCCGCATATAGGCAGCTTGGATTCTTCTGAAACTCGGGTCATACTCATACTCCAGAAGAACTAATGCTCACTCTTTCTTTGGTCAGCTCAGATCGGAAATAGTCATACGGATATCGCAACACCATCTCGGTTGAAGGGATGCTTGAGTGACCGATCGGAGTTGGAGTTGCCCACTAAGCGACCATCGACTTCGGCGATCCTGCAGCCAGAACGTTGCCGCAGCAGGAGACACAGATACTCTCCGACTCGGCGAGAAGCTGCTTTAAGCTCATGCTAACGTGTTCGCGCTATATCTACTGCTCGTGCCCCAAAATCCTCTTGACGAATGTCCAAGGTGGCCGCTTGATCCTAAACCGTCTGTGCGCTCGGATTGAATGAGCTACCATGAGGGATTTGAGCACCCGTCTGCAAGCTAATGCCGGGATAATCATTGCATGGTTCGCGGCCAGAATGAATGGCCAAGCCTCGCTTTGGGGGCAGATGACTCGGCCCGGGGTCCAGTCATTCCTTCGGGAACAATCAGCTTCTTTAACGACACACGTTGGAGCTAGTATGAACCCTGGTAAGCATGAAGTGGCACAGGCAAGGTAATCTGACAGGCCAGTGCAAGGTGAGATTGGCTGACCACGTACGATCCAAGCGTTGGAGACCTCCCCAATGTACCCATCCTTTAGCTTTCATCGCGTGGTAGATCAAGGTGATAGATCTACAGGGAATTGAGTCACGCCTAGCGATGTGTGTGATGAGTTAAGCGCCAGAAAAAGGTCGAGAAGCAAGCCTAAAAAGAGCAAAACATAGAGACGAAGCTGTTAAGAATACTTCGAACTTCGACCACGGAAACTTATCGGGACCAACCCACGGGATCATTCCACGCGAGCCGGATCGGATCGATAATGTAAGATGACCGTGGTTACTGTGATCCATGGATGCTTCGTCAGGTACCACGCTAAATCGGTGTTCCCGGCGAGCCTGGAAGTCGCTAATTACATGCATCCGCTGAAATGAAGGTCACCGTACGGAGCAACACTGACACGAAAAGCCGTGTAGAAGACACGGACGACGAAAGAGGGGAAATCGCGGAGGGAGTGGTGAGGGGGGAAGCAATTCGAGGAGCTAGTTCCAGGCTGCAGAACCCTACGTATCATCTCGGTGAGGCAACAGGAGTACAATGCAGCGGGGAATCGAGCGTAGGCAGATGACTAGCCAGTTGATTGGACCGTAAAGGCCTCTCGGTGAAAGCAAAAGGTGACGAGAAATGATCAACCTATGAGAAGGCATGGGACGTTAGGAACAGCAGAGATGCCAGCTTGGGTGTTGCAGTCACAGCGGGCGCCAACAAGTTGCGGTGGTGGTTCTGGTGATGCGGGGTTCAATTTCTGCCGATGACGGCGACTGGTCAGACTAAACAGGGTTTAGGGCGGGTGGTGAGTGTATGGATTGAGGGTCCGGTTCTGGACGATGATTAGCCGGGCTGGAATAATCTCTCTGATCAATCAGCATGCAAAAGGGCAGTGTCCAGAGAAGATTGGAGACTTGTAGAGACCAAATCCGAGGCCGATCGGAAAGGCGAACCCACTTCCAACCAGCTGCCCCGCATATATCCTTGACCGGTGGACGCTCGCCGTGGTGAACTGGGATGGTGCGTGCTCATCTGACAGGATAACGGTCTAGGTAAAATGGGGAAAGATGAGACAGGCGAGACAGGCAAGACAGACAAACGCCTTGGCCTCATGCTGGCTTTTAACCTGGAGGAGATGGTTTAGTAGAAGCAGGCAAGCGATGAAGTTTGAGGTGGAAATGCGTAGTGGTAAAGTGTTGGTCACCCTGTTCTCTGTTGACTCTCTTTCTTTCAACTGGGGGCCCACTCGAACCAAACAAGAAAGACGGTTGGTACTCCATCGGTACTCCGTATGCTGCGGTGTATACCTAACTAGTAACTATGATAAGGTACTGTGACAAAGTCCTGTACTTGAGTTACAGTAAGCAACCAGTATAGTACCTGGTCACCTTCCAACTCCCACCAGGTGTCAAAACCAACGAAGTATAGCCAGAACAACCGAGCTTGTGTACCACATCAGGTCCGGTTTAGAGACGAGTTGACAGGTTCCTGGGTCTATCTTCTGGGGAATATTTATCTTGTCTGGCACCTCATCCGCAAAGACAGAAGCAACGAGGCCGAAGAAGATCTATTCCTAGTGCCTTACGCCGCGATCCTTGGTTGTCATTGACCGCTTCACTGTCCATTAACTGAAGAAGGCGACTCCCAAGCCAGTATTAAGGACGAACAAAAGTCCCCATCGTTGGTTTCATCTACCTCACCGCTGCTTCTGAGTTGGTCACATTTCTTCCCTCAAAAAGAGGGCGACAAACGCCCGAAGAAACCTGAGTCACGGGCGAACGAACAGACGAAGGAGAAGAGAAGTCAAGAAGCAGGGCTTCTCCTTCTCTTAAACTGTCCCTCGTTGCATTTCTTGATTACTCAGTGGAGTGTTTTCACTCCGACGAGAACTCACCCCCTCAGCATCATAAGCAAGATCATCATCCATTATTGTTGGCCCCAACATAATCTACCCCCCTTCCGCGGCTTGCACGGCTCAGTGGCATCATTGAGCGTCTCTAAGCCAGTTGAGCCAGCTCAGCCTGTTGCCAATCTAGCTTTGAACGCCATCATTGACCATCACTATTATTCATCGTTGTCCACAGTGTGTGAGCCTATTCAGCAGTAGCATTGCCTACTAGGACTCCCTAACGTGGTGCCACTTCACGCGCCTATCCTTCATTTGGATATTGGGAAGATAACAATTCTCATTTTCTACTTTTAGTTTTGTCTTTTTTTTTAGGGGAAGAAAAGAGAATCAGCGTGGCGCAGTCTGCTTGGATCTGACCTTTTTATTTTTTTTTTTCTTTAATTTATTTGCCTCTTTGGTGTTTGGTCGCCTCTCCCGTACAACTGAGTGAATGATTACCAATTGGTACCATACATACACAGGTCATACACATTTCAATTCCCCTGAAAACCAAAACCTTGTGTTCTCCATTCCATCGCCCCAGTTTCCGTTTCCTCGATTGACTGATTGATTGATGGATGGATGGATGGATGATTATTATTATTATTACTCTCAGACCAGTCAGTCTTCAAGTAATAATATCCTGACATCCTTCTCTTTCTCTCTTCATCGATTGCCTGCTGCTTCCTGCTGTGCCGGTTCCCCCCTTGGCTGACTGTTGCTGTTGTCATCCATCCATCTTTTTCCACCTACGCCCCCCCTCCATCCCTATCAATTACTATTCTAGCTGCAGTCTTGCTGCAACGCAACTTTCTCCTTAACTCCTCCTTAATTCCCTTTATTTCTTCTTCATTCTCTCATGTTCTCCATGAATTGGCCGCATATCCGATCTGGTGAAATCTTGAGTATAAGCCATTGATCGTCACGAGAACCCACGTCACCCCATCGTTCCCGTTCATCCGCCCACTCTCCCTCCAGGGTACCTGCACGATAGATATCACACTGCCTCTCCATCCGGGAAAGAGAAACTCGCCTCCCGCTCTAGTTTCTGGTCCACCGCCTCGGTCGCTTCTGATCACTTTTATACAGCGCCACACATCGCCTCTTGCTCGCCTCTCTTATCCCCTACCCCAACCCCCCACCTAACTTCTCCTTCTGTCCTGGACCATACTAGCATTGTATGGTCTTTGTGTTTGGTGCGCTCTCTCAATTGATCATAGCTTTCACATCATGTCCTCCTCCATACCTGACATTGATCCATATGTGGTGTTGGGAGTTCAGAAAGATGCGACCCTCGCTGACATCAAATCTGCCCATCGCAAATTGGTCCTGAAGTGTCATCCCGACAAGATCAAGGATGAGAGTCAACGGAGTCAGGCTCAGGATGAGTTTCAGAAGGTTCAACAGGCTTACGAACTCCTTTCCGACGAGACTAGAAGGGCCAAATATGACACCAAGGTGCACCTCGCCGAGCTTCGACGGGAGATGATGGCGCGCGGAGGGAATCCCAACGGGTCATCCCGAAGTAATGGTTCTGGTTCCAGCGGCCCGCGCGAATACCGCAATGGACGAATTTACGAGGAGCGAACACCGGCAGACGCGACAAACTATTACGAGGACGATGGTTTATACTCCGATGGAACGCGGCCCACAGCTCGCAAGTATGATGATTACGGCAAGCGCCGGATGAAGGTGGCGGAGGAGAAGAAGAAAGCCAAGAGTGTCCCTCTCGGTACCGCACGCGCTGCGAAGGAGATTCTTCGAGACAACGTGAAGACGACCCACTCATCTCGCGACAAGTACCGTACCAAGGAACGCAAGCGGGATGCCTACGACAAGAGGTATCCTGAACGGGCCGCTCCATTCACCGACTCTGAAGATGACGGCGCTTCTTCCGATTCTAGTGCATCATCGTACTACGTACGAGTCAAACGACCCTCTGAGAAACGAAGCCGGGAGTCTTCTACACGCAAGGCTCGACCAACCGAATCAACCCGCCGTCCGGAACCTGCGCGTTACGAATCAGAAGATTACTCGGATCGCAAGGAAACTAAGCATGAGAAGATGCATGACACCGCACGGGATTACATTCGGCGGTCGAAAGGAACTGTCCCTGTTGAGATCGATCGTAGGGCCCGGAAATCCCGATCGCCGCCTCGTCCTTACGCTTATGATTCGGCCGATCCCGAGTCCTCCTCATCCCGGCGCTCGAATCGATCCAGCCGACCTAGCAAGGAGACTGTGCGCAGCTCGAGTTCGCGCAATAATTCTTACGAGCATATTGAGTCCCAGTCGAGATCTTATGACGGCAAAGTTCCCAGCATGCCCACGGCTGCAACCTCACCAGTGGTCAAAGGCTCTTCGTCAATCCGGCCTTCTCTTCAAACTTCACAATCTGCATCCACTGCGCATTCGCATTCACGGTCCAAGCCCATGGGTCGTACAGAGCAGATTCTCCTTTCCATGGCACGTGACGGTAACTCCCGGACCACGAAACTACGAAACACAGAGAAATACGATTCCGGTTATTCTAGTCCGGGCACCCCAGACTTACCACCAGGAGAAAGCCCGACCCGAATGGCCAGATACAAGTTCTTGGAGCCGGAAACTGTTTTGGTAGAGCCGAGCATGCCGCCACCCCACGCGTCATCGAGACATGCAAGTGCAAGGAATCACTCTCCCCCTCCGCGGGATCGCTCGGGCCCAAGTCGACCCATAACCAAACCAGTTCGCAGCAGTACTTATGCCTACCCTGCCGAGTACTCGAGTCGCTACGAATCCTCATCTAGACCCAGTGCTTCAAGGCAATCGTCTTCGCGACCCCTTTACGGTGAAGTAGAATACGCTCGCAAGTATGCGCGCGAAATTGGGCCAGAGCATTACCCTCACCCGATCGGGAGACGTCAATCAGCTTATGCTCAATAGACCATGCCAGCAACCCACGAAGCAATCGTTTCTGGCTGCACAGTTAAATCGTCATCTTACCCGTTTCTCTCCACTTCTTTGCATCAGGACGCCGTCTTCTCCCCTCAACAAACTTACACCAGCAAGGATCGTCCGGAACGCTTGCTATGATCCATCTATATCTGCATCGATATGAGGGAATCTCTCACGCCTATTTTGTGATGTATTTCATGAAACCACTCTCTGATTCGATATCGATGCCCTTTCGACCCTCGAGTTATCCGTTTCCTTCTTTTCTTCCCACGTACATCTTGATTGTGCTTGATTCTTCATTGCAACTACCTCGGCGCATGGTATGGGGTTCGGTGCATCTGCTTTTCGGAAAGATCCAAGAAGGGATTGGAGGAGGTGGCAGCATTCAACGAGGCGAAGATCCTCGACTACCCAGGAGTCTATGATGAATGATTGATTTACGAATGACGAACTTCGTATTTGGGACGGAAAGCGCTTTTCACAACATATCCACATGGTACAGTACAACATTTTACCTACTAGCTACTAGCCACGCAATACAAATCACAACTTGAACCGCTGCAGGTGTAAATTCACTGAACTATCTTCACAATAAATCAAACAATAGATCAAACAATAGATCAAACAATAAATCAATAATAGACCTAAGTATGTTATTCTCAAATCTATCATATTTCAAGTACAACATCTTCTAATACTACATGACCATCAAGTACATGATCATCAAGTACAGCATCATCAAGTACATCATCTTCAAGTGTTTCATTCCCCCCAACCCACTCCCAAACTCATGAACCAAATAGCCAGAACCAGTTCCTCACAAATAGATCGGGCATTCATGCAGCAGCAAGAACCCTCCCTCCTACAGTTCCCCTTTGCGTCAATGCTTCGAATCTCGCCCTACGTAAGTTTCCAAGAAAGAAATAAAGAAAGAAAGAAAGAAAGACAGACAGACAGACAGACAGATCAAATCCCTTGAACCAGCTAAGGTAGGTTCTCCAACGAGCCAGAGCCAGAGCCAGCAAGTGAGCGAGCGCGGGCATCTGTCTCCGCTTCGAAGGTTACTACTTACTACCTTGTATTTGATTATCGCGCCGGTACTACTTGGGAAGGTAAAAGAACTACTACCGTGGACATATCAACCTACTGTGGACTCCATTTAGGTATGAGCGGACAGCGCCCGTTGTTCACTACTGTAGTATACACATTACCAGTGGGTAGGCTCAAGTACAACTGGACGTTGGGCCACCACCCACCAAACCCAACATGCCCCCCCCCCCCCCACTTAGTTGCTCGAACCCCACAAGGTACAGTTAAAAGTAAATGGTTCAACCCCTCCCCACCCGGGCTTGTTCTGGTCTCACCAACATAAAACTCCTGAAATGTAGACCATCCGTGCAGCGAGAAGAAAGAAGCATAGCAGATGGATTGCACTCTTGAACCCTGTTTGACCGGATTTCCATCCTCGAGAGCCAACTGATTACTACATAATGTAAACGTAGCTGAAAGATAAAACGTTGCCGCTGTAAATAGTGGAACAAGAATTTACATCACGAATTCGGAATATGAAGAACGGGCGCAGAGACAGAGGATAAGGTAAGGTTCGACAACGGAGAAACGAGGATTTTTGGCAGAATAACATCACCATGATCGGACATCTAGAGAAGGGGGAACCGGGAGCATCACAGTATCGGAATCGGAAGTAAGCGGGTATGTGGACTGTGCAGGTCTGCATGCATGTATGACGAAAAGAAAAGGTAGTGAGTGATGTATGTCTTCAGGAAGGGGGGAAAGACTGGCTAGACCACGGTTTCTCATCGGATCAGTGACGTCCGGTCGCTGCTGGCTTTGGCTGAATATGATAGAAGAGGGCGGCTGCGCTACAATTTGAGAAGTGGGAGCGGAGCCCGTTCAGGTGGGAATGGAAGAATCAATTGTGGCAGTATCGTCTAGGCTAGAATGGATGACCGAGGGCGAGGTATGATACGTGGGATGTCAGATGGATGGGTAGAGGTTGGAGAGGATTAGGGTCACGCGGCCTGCTTCGAGGCGAGCAGTGAGTGGGATATGATATCAGTTAGGCAGTCCGTCAGCTTCATGGCTCGGTCCAGTCAACCTGATCCGTCACAGGGTCTGAACCATCCTTGGCATATGTGATCCGCAGACGTAGACGAAGTTTAGGCGGGAGGGCCTGTGGCAAATATTAACAAAACGTGCAGGGAAATATGCAGGAAATAGCAGAACTTACCCCGGTCAAGCCTGCAACTTTGAGCATCTGAATGCCCTCATCGCCAGCTTCTAGATCTGCCTTGCTGATCGCGTTCAGCTGGAGACGCTGGCTCTTGGGAACAGCCGCCTGTAATCCGACATTGGAGAATTGACCAAAATTACCGACATTACGGAACCGTGCTTGAATTTGCGCATTGCCATTGCTGGCACGTTGGACCTGAAGCGTGAGTGTCAAATCATTCTTGTTGTATGCTGTGTGCACGGGAGTCGAAGGTGCAGGGCTTGGACCGGGCGACGCAGTAGACCCAAGGCCTCCTAAGAGGTCCAACCCGGAAGATGCGGGCTGCGTTACGCTGGGAGAAGGCGAAGTGCCATTGGAGTCGAAGAGGCCCATAATCGCGCTAGTATTGACGGATCCAGCCGGCTTTTGCGCAGGTTGAGGAGATGGTGATGACAGGCCTGAATCGCCACCGAGGATATCTGCCAAAAGGTCGGCTGTGTTCTGAGAGCCGTTGGTGGTTGGAGAGGTTTCTGGAGCATCGCCACCCATGAGATCGAGTAGCATGTCCTGCTCGGCTTGTTTGACTGGCTTCTTAGACTTGTCTTTCAACAGCTTGCTCTGGCGCTTTTTGGTCGGAGCGCCCAGGACTCTCTGCTCTTCCCGGATCTCAGGGGGAGGCATCCGTTCCAGAACGCCGCGGCGGATCTGATCAAATCCAAACAGATTAGTGTACTCTACAGCCCGCTGTTGAATCTCAACGCTCAAATCGGCGGTTCGGCTGCTAAGGAAGCGACGGAGGCGCTCGATCTCAGCTGGGTCCGACATGCGCACAGTCAGCTTCATCGAAGCCGTGGTGATGTACTCAATCACAGTCTGCGTAGCATAAGTGCTGTTGAGGATGTTGTTGAAAAGGTCGACGATGTCGCTCTCCTTGACCTCCTTGACCAGCTCTTCTTCCTCATATTGGCCACCCCGCAGGAGATTGTCCCCGTATTCCCCAATGACCCAGGTGGCGGCGAGAGTGAGACCCTCCTGGGAAATGTCCTCCTTCAGCGCCAAATAGAGCTTCTGCACAGAGTAAGTCTGCAGGTCTGGAGTAGTGGCGATGAGGCGGACAAAGGAGGACAGGATCTGTTCCTTCACGTACGCGCCAGCAAGCCTGAGCACCCGGAGGATGGTGTCCACGTGCCAGCGTTTGTTGGGAGCATAGCGGTCGGCAGCAATACCTATTTGCGTCGTCATTGCAGGTTTGAACTCGTTGTCGGCGACCTCCAGGAAGGCAAGCAGTTCACGAACAAGAACGCGGACGTTGCTCTCATTGATAAGCATAAAACTCAAGTCCAGAGCTCGTCTTCGGATACTGATGTCCGGGTCGCGGAGACACTCCAAAATCGTGTTGCGGTGCCGCTGTACGGCATTGGGCTCGATGGCGACGACCTTGTTCAGGGTGTTAAGAGCGACATATCGAATATTGTTGTCCTTGTTTGTAAGGAACTTTCCGAGAATGTTGACACCTAGTACTCGAAGACCTGAATCCGCCTCAATGTCAAGGATAGTGAGTACAGCCTCGTAGAGGATGGCATTACCGACATTCTTGGTCGAGTCGGTGTTGGTCGCCACCTGCGCCAGAATATCATTGATTGACTCGCTGGTTGCCGCGTCTCCCCGTCCGAGAACTCTAAGCAAGCGTAGAATCTTGACCTGAAGGAAAGGATCCGTGATACCAGAGACGTCATGTTCTGGAGCATAGCCTGAGCTTGTCAACCCTTTCAGGGCGCGCACAAGCCCGCCAGCAAGAGGCCTAAACATCTCGATTACTCCTTCTTGACCTTCCTCGGCTTCTTCTGCCTCACACATATCGATGACCAAGGTCAAACCACATAGCAAAACACCGTGGTTCCGATCTGACAAAAGAGTCTTGGCCTTCTCTAGGAAATGCTCCTGTAGGTCAGGAACCTTGCGACAAACGCGCATCGCGCACAGTGCTGCCTTTCTCCGGATATAAGGGTTCGCGGTGGACATAAGGGCTTCGACTTCGGGGAACAGGTCTCGAGACATTTCAACGGAAGCGATGTTGCCCAGGGCACAAAGTGCCAGGCCGACAATGTATTGGTTGGAGTGATTAAGGTCACTGCAACACGTCAGCTGGGGCAGATTGTTTGTAGTGGAAATCGCTCACTTCTTCAAAGAGTTCGTTACCAGCGTCAATACTTCTTGGTTCTCATCTAGCAATAACATAGTACCCAGGTAGCCCAGCCGCTTGTCTGCGAAACGGTGGGAGGCCAAAAGCTTCAAACACTCGATCTGGCCAAAGTGCGTCCTTTCACCCAGAGTAAACAGATACAAGAGCTTGGCCACATTATTTCTCCTGTGCACCAGTATAAGAACCTTGATCAGGAGGAATAACAGCAATAATTGACTAGAGTGCTGACCGGACATTGGAATCGTGGCTCTCTTCTCTGAAGGATGCACGGATGGCCGCACTCTCCTTTTGGATCACAGCTCGTTCGTCGGCGATTGTCTTGGCCGAGCGGACATTTCTAATGAATTGCTTGACTGTAATATGAGGGCGATACCGAATAGATCGTTAGTGAATTTGGAATGGATGTGTAAACGAGGAGACATCTTGTAGGGAGAGAGAAGG